ACCTTCCATTTGCCCCTACATGTATGACTATTTATATACGGTCAACAAACCGAATTTCGAGAGAAGTAGAGGAAGTCAAAAAGTCCATCCACACACGGGCAATCGTAGGCTCTGAACATCAACAATGGCTTTTAACATCTTATAATGGACACGTATCTATCTACATCACATGCGCATTTCATATATATACAGCTACTACCTACAAGGGGGACTGACAGTATTGGGAGGATGTGGACAGGCATGCAGACCTTCTAGACCTTACGAAGGTACTTTTGACCAACTCCCGGCGGGTAACAGGGACAAGAAAATGTTAGCTTAACAATGAAATGATGCCACGCACCTTGTTTCATATGCAGTCTACTACTAGTATTTTAACCACCGATATCTACGAGGTAAGCCCGAGAGTAAGAAAAAGGAAATACCGTCTCCAAAATGGGAATTCCATGGGTTCAGTCTTCCGTGTCATCGCCACCTCCAAACCGGCCCAGTATGATCAATCACATAATTGACTACTATTATTAACTCTCCTAATTTATTATTAATTGTTGATTGATTAACGAATGAAATTCGAGGGGGAAAAGTGTTGTTTCTAAAATTCCCTCATGCTCAGAAGAATTTAAAATTATTTTTGTATTTTGTTCTGTCGGTCTTCTTCCTGCAGACACCGTTTACCAGAATCGTGATGGTCAAGAAGAGATGGACGATGGGTCCTTGATTTTAGGCTTCACAAGAGAGTTAAGCGGCTATTCTCCACCAGGAGATTTTCGCTGGGAGCTTCTCCCGCTTCGATTGTGGACCTTGACCACTAGACAAAGATGGGATTGATTGCATGGCGATTGTTCCGACTATCTGATCTGACTTACCCTACAAACGATCATATAAAATTGGTGATCTCTGTACCATTTCAATTTGTACAATACAAATTCGAGAAGCCATCTTTCGGCATTACCGGAAGAAGTGTTCCGCAAATTTGTCACCAATGCGGGAAGAAATTTTTAAAGTAGAAGGTTAAGATATATAATCAAATCAAATCAGAATAAAATAAAATATAAAAGCATAGAGGGATTGGTGAATAATAATTTCGATTTTTATTTACTTTTTGGGCTCGTGGGAACGGAGGACCTCGGGCGAATGTTGAAAGGTTATGCGGTCATACAAGATTCCAATACCAAGGAAATCCGCAAACACTATCGAGTAACTTTGTATTGAATCTTCATCTTGAATTCAATCAAAATATTTTGGGTTTTATTTCGAACTGAATATTCGAGTTGGTTAATTTTCTAGCGCAGAGATCCTACTAGTCCATATTATCTCCGTCTTCTCCTCCGGGGACCTCGCCCAACTTGCCACTTGTGTTGATTTCCAAGGAACCTCGGTCTAGCCCAGTTTAGGGTAGAGTTATGGATTACCCTGCACCTCGCCCAATGTGGCGGTCCGATCACGGCAGTAGGCTCCACTGGAGGAGCCGATGGCCCGCTCATGGAAACTTCGACGGAGAACGACCATCAGGCGGTGTGGAGTGATCGTATGCATGGGTTGATGATGGATAATACAATACCTACGGAACGGACTCCCCTCCCCGTCTTATGGTCAAGCGCAGGACTATACTATACTGAACCCTTGAGGGCTGAACAGTGAATAAGGCAAAATTCCGCTGCTTGATCTAAAGCTTGGCCTAATATTTTTTTTTTCTCTTTCTCTATTTTATCTTCTGTGTTAGCTATTTTCCAAGGAGGTTTACTCATTACAGAGTACTACTCTAGTATTGGGGTAGTGATTTTTTTATTTTTCTTATTTATTTTTTATACGGAGCCCTAAGATCATGAGGTAGTTGTTCGACTTTCTGACCTCAGCCGAGGTCTGAACCGATTCCCAATATCGATCGCTCTACGACGAAACTCTGTCCATCATCAACAGGCAGAGTATAGTTCCACGACAATATGTTTGTTCATAAATACGACGTTGATACTTTGTAATGGACTATGATTCTAATTTCATTATGTTATCTCTTCTGAAGATACTGTGTTTAACCGTCCCCTCCCAACAGGCCGACTACTCCTTCGTACTGTACATAGTGTCTACATGGATCCATTGACAACAACAGTAAATCAAGCCAACTAACCAACCAACCGTTGCATCCGCTACGTGGCAGGGAATAGGGCAGTTTTTCTCACATAAAAAACTTACCATTCATCCGTGGCTGGTCCAAACAGAGAGAGTTTACGAGATAGACTAGGTACCTAGTACCTCCCAACTAAGTCACTAGTTATCTAGCCATCATAGCGAAAATCCGCCCCTCCCTAAATTCAACTACTGCAAGTTTCGCTTGCAGATCGTCCACTTTACTAGTCTCTCCCCGTGACTCTGTTCTTATTTTTCTTCATTCCGCCGAATCCGGGACACGGGCATTCTCGGGCTCGAGGGCTTTTCAGGGTTTCTCTCCCTCGGCACTTTTTCCCATGAAAGGTGGTTTTTCCGGTGCAGGCCGGAGTAAAGCCGAAGGACGCTAACAAGTCCTCTGTTTCAGTCGCGCGGTGAGCGAACCAATGGCGCTCGGCCTGTTGTACCAAAGGCTTTAGGAGAAACGCCACAAGCGGCCAGTGGCCTGAGTTGTGTCAGAGGAGGGGGCAGTGTATGTATCTGTAAGAACCAGTTCAAGTTAGTCTTTTCATCTGGACTACAAGAGATGACATAATAATTCAATGGGATGTTTCGGGAATTGAGTTCGTCGAGTGAAAGTATTTACTAGTACGTCAAAATAGATATCATATTGCGTTATTTTATCTATTTTATCTATTTGTTTTCATTTTCCATACCCTTAGTTAGGGCTTTCAATGTAGCATTCACGATGTCTTTTTCTTTCCACCAGATCATGGTAGCTTGACCACATGATTTCTTTGGCAATTGCCCGCCAATGAATAATGAATTTATTCATTCTCTTTCTTCATTCCCAAATCTGACAAGATGTCCGAACGCCCTGTCTTTTATTCTCCGTTAAGAACAATAACCATGGACCACCCCAGTAAAACAGAAAAAAAGAAAAAAAAAATATAGAACCCCTTTCTAGAAAACTTGATGGCTGACGACGCGTGACCAGCTTACTGTGTATATACTAGGGGATGGATCTATATGCCTCAGGCTTTGTTACTTGTTTCCTGTACGGAGTAGTCTTAAGCATAAATCATCATCTTGGTCCTATGTATAATTAATCTATATGATACCTGTACGTGAGTAAGATTCCGATCGCCATTAGCCCAAATACGAACGGCTGCCTTGGTGTATAAATATACACTACTACATCCATATATAATTAGATATATGTACCTCTGCATCCTATACATATGCATACTATAGCCTTGGCTACCTTACTCTGCTTACTTCACTTATGAGAATATCTGCTGAAGCCACATCACAGCCTCATTCCCATAACTTACATAGTCGTTCATACCTTCCCTAGTACCCGAGTATCCGGATAATTATAGCAATAGCACGCAAACACTGAAAGACCAATTGATACACTTCCCGCTTCAAGAATCAGTTCCAAGCCACCCCCATTCCCCCATCTCTCGCCCGAGGAACCCCGGCACGTCCTTAACCTGACACCAATTACCGAACCGAACTGAACTGCTCAGGTACTAGTATATCACGACACAACTCACAACCATAACCCCTTTTCCTTGGCCCAGCATGATAATAATCGAAAAATTATACAGATGTATTTAAATATAAATTCATGTATATACGTAAACTTAACTTCCAGAATGAAACTCATTATCCCCCTGACTTAACACTAGAAGGGGAGAAGGGAAGGGAAGGAATGTCCATAACCCTATGAGGCATATTGCACGCGCTGGGCGTGCATTGTACCTGCAGAATTTAGTTCTACTGGAAGTGGTTTAGATCCTTATCTGGTTATTGGGACGGTTAAGCGGCTTTTTGTGAAACGAGCCGCTGTGGGGACTTTTGGTGGAGCTGGAAACCTTGAGGGTTGGTATGGGTGGTGGTTCGGGTTTGAGAGGTTAGGTGTGTTGTGTTGAAGGGGGGTAGATATGTTGTTGTGCTGTTGTGTCTGGGGGGTAGTTTGTATGTAGACAAGTAGCGAGTAAGTGATTGTATGGTTCTCGGTGGTATAATATATATACCCTGGCTAGTAGACGGTGTATGGTATATATATGTATCCATGTAGAAGGTTAGAACTAGGTATTGGTGAATCGCGGTGCGTTCCCTTACGCTCTGAGAGGTTTCTTCTAGAAGGCTAACAGGGAATCTATGGAATATATACTTTCCGTGGATGAGTACTGGAATGAGGTTAGACAGTGGATGATAGGATCTTCACCTACTGTCTCGTAAAACAAAATGTACACAATATGCAAGGCATATGGGTCGAGAAAGATATGACGCACGTATTACCATCTGTGCAGGGTACATAAAAAGGTCCAGATCCGGCGCAGGGTGATATCATGCGGCCGGACTAGTACCAGGTACCTCAGAACAAGGTACTGAACTGGAAGGGCTTGTGCGCAAGGCTAATGACGCGATGCAAGGACGGTGCAGATGGAGGCGTGCCGCTGATAGGTCAGGACATGTCTGCTTGCATCGGACTTATCCGCTGTGATGTATGTGTATATCAGGATCGATTGGTCTGAGTAGGTGTATGTGTACGGGATCGATTCTGATCTCTCATGCTGTGAAGGCGCTGCTTTTGACAGACGTTATAGGACAGCCGAGGTAGTTTGCCTAGGGACTTTTGTTTTGCTTCGGGGTAGAATTAGAGTATGTGCCCTGAGATCTCTGATGATATCCGTGGAATCGGAGTTTCCCACGCTCAACAGAAATACCGGGGGGTTTTTTAATGTGAGGTTATTTAAGGGACCTGGATGTACTCTGGTTTGGATAACATGGACACGGCTCAGAAGGTATCCCGGTTAATGTCCATCTAGTACAGACGTTGTTCGCGACTAGGTCTCTCTATATGGCTATGACTGCGACACAAAGAAGATATAAATAATAGTCCTGCATATGATAGGATGTAAAGAAGGTAGGGTTGGCAGTAATATCCTATCACTCTATGTTATCAAGTAGTAACAGAGATTGTATATAGATTGTTAGCCAACAAAGAAACGAATGGAGAAAGAAAAGGACAACGGTTAGAAATCCTAGTTGCTCTGGACAGGAACAATGGACTGATACATTCCTCGTAACCGCATACTCCCAGGAACAAGGCAATATCGACAGACCTAATTCATAAGAATAAGCGGACGTTGACAAATTGCTACTCTCGGTGTTTACCAGCAAGGTCTCCAGGGTGCGATATCAGCATCGAGGCGGCGAATAAAGCCTGGCCCACGCAACTTGTGGCGTTGTCCTGCTTAGTGCATTGTGACCTGTTTAATCTGGCGGCTCATCTTGTTACACAACGATCTACCAGTGGCAGTAGATGATCATTGTTTCAACTTGAGATCCGTCTGCAGATTGATATCATACATTTCAGAACATCGGCGGGTATTGAGAAGAAAAAAACCGATACTAGTCAATCTGATATACCAAGCCAGGCTGATACTCCGCCACCGTGTGTGATATAGAAGAAATATGAAAGCGATAATATACACATACAATTCCGTAAATAGGCTCCGATTCTAGCCCTGGCTTCGGTGCGATCCGCTTGACGTATCTATTACTTCGCCGCCACCGATCCCCACATCCACAATAACGGGCCTCTCCTCCTCCACGGGGTGGATGGCGTGCTCCACATTGACCTTTGGACCCTTGAACCACTTGTGCGCATCCACTACCCACCAGATACTCACCGCCAGCATCGGAGCGCCCCAGACGAGACACGTCCAATTCATTAGATTCGGCGTCAGGTGGCTTCCCGTTACACTGGGAAGGCACAGAATCGGCACCATCAGCAGCACAAAGAACACGCCCATTCCTCCAATGTACGGACCAAATGGCCCCAAGTGCCATGGCCCTCGGCGGAAACGGTTGCCAACGAAGAATACCCGGATGCAAATAGGAATAGCAAAGGCAACAAACTGTGCAATGGCGCCGATGGAGAATAATGCACCAATTGCGACATCTCCGGCGAGGATCAAGAGGCACATGAGGACCCCGATGACGGCGTTCATGATGACAGCGTTCACGGGCGTTTGGGTGCGGCTGTCGACTTTTTTCCAGACCTTTGATAAGGGAAAACAATCATCACGAGCATAGGCGTATGTCACTCGTGATGCGGCTACCATGCATCCTTGGCCCATCGAGAAGCCGCAGATAATAGTTAATGCGAGGATTGCTAGAGCGGTTCTTTTCGGCATCACCTGGAGCAGGTATGATGCCCATGGCTGTCCGAGATCCGAGTTCAGCACCGCATCAATGTCAATGACGGTGTAGGCTACCGCAAGCTGCAAAAACCATCCCATCAAGCCTCCGACGCCCGATGTCATGACAATGGCCCGCGGGGAGGCGATGTTCGCATTGGAACATTCTTCGCTCAGATGGAACGGAGAATCATACCCAGACATCGTCCATATAACACCGACAAAGGTCATAAGCACTGCCACTCCATCTGGGTAGTCAGTTAAATTGGTAATTGTGCCCCATACTTCCTTGGACGGTGTGAACTTGGGCTCATTCTTTGTTCCTGCGGGGATGGCGATGATGACGGTGATGAGTGCAAACATGTTGAATGTTGAGCCCCACGAGTTGAATTGCGCAACCCGTTTTGTTGGCATGCTACTGATTGCCGCGTGGATTATCATAATAAGCGTGGTAAGGAGGAATGTCTGCCAGGAGGTAGGAACGTAGTCTGGATTCTCTACCGACGCCGCAGCTAGGATCATCGCTGATAGCGAATAATCGACCGACGGTGCTGCTGTAATTTGCCCAATCCAGTTGGACCAGCCAGTGATCCACGCCGCGAAGGGTCCGTACCCGGGGGGTGCGAGTACTGCAGCAGCATAGTAGAGCCCACCGCTGGTGAGGTTAGTTTCCAATCAAAGCATACCGAGCCAGTATTTTGGGGTGCGAAGATAATTAGATGGACGTACCTTGTTGGCATCGCTGAGCACAGTTCGGCCATCGACATGGCAACACACTGGATAAACAGCATGGCAATGATCCACCCCCAAACCATGCCTGCTGTTCCTGCATATCCCATCCCTGGACGGATGTCAGCTGGTCACACAGTACACATGGGAGTGGGCAATAGCTACCATAATATATAGTGCTTGCAAATGACGGGAGCAGCCCAAGTACGGCAAAGCTGACGCAGAAAGTCGTCCATAACGAGAACTCCCGCTTAAACTCTTGTTTGTACCCCAAGGCCACAATCACCCTCTCGTCCGCATTCATTGGATAGTCGGTATAGGGTACGTCGCCATTTGGCAACACCGTCGTGACGGGGTCATGGTGGACATCCTTGTATAAGGATCCCTTTGAGATTGTCTTATCTAAGGGTGTTGACTTGCCTACAGAAGACATGCTGATGGTGACGATACCTTTTCCCCCTTAATAAAATTAGATGGGCCTTAGTGATATACCCTTTTCCTCCCTCTAGCAGACAGAGAGACAAGGTAAGCTGCACAAGCGGAGGGTATCGGACTCTCAGGTATGCCAATCTGATCGCGGGAGTTTCCGCAAAGGTCAGACACAATGCGGTGTCACTACTGGAAACTTGTTTAGCGACACCATCCACAGGAAACTGCCGGAGGAAGGGGGAAAAAGAAGAATATATGTATGTACGTCAAGGACTAGGGTTGTGTATATTAGCGTCGCTATGTACTCTGCACGGGGGATGTATACTCTATCGCCCCTCCTTTTAGGGCAACAAGTATGATTGCGGAATGCATCCCCTTTGGCTGATACTAGTTCTAGCCGATAACTATGGTTTGCGAATGAATGAGATGGGATGATGAAGCTGGGGGAGGAACTGCAGGTGGGGAAATGAAGGTTGCTTGGCACCAGGTCACACTCTCATTCATCATGCAGTCTTAGCTTCGGTCTACTCTTCCGCGATTCAGAGCTCAGTCCATACTCAGCAGGGCAGTTTCAGGCGGCGCCAGTTCACTCCTTGTCCAGTAAGGGGCCAAAGCCACCGTTCTCTTATCAGCCGGGAGTGGTGGCGTTTCGGCGAATGTTCAAGGTCTGATAAGCATCAAGATAAAGGAACCGGAACCATTCTTATTCGACGCGATATCTGTTGTAATTGTTGTACATCGTAATCATAGGTTGGACTTGCCCTTATGGGTAACCCTAACAACGGTTCTGACTGTGTATCACCTACTACCTAAATCCTGCAAGGATATATAGTGAGTGTGATATAAGTGGCTAGCAAGAATGATTGCTTTCACCACCCTTGCCCCGTCGGGAACTAATATCTACCCAAAAGAGCCAACGGAAGTGATAATAATTAAGGAGGCGTGTCTATGTGCTGTCACAATTCATCGCTATTCTACACAGTCCAGAACCGACTCCTTCCTCCACTATATAGCTGATAGGGAGTGTATGCGCAAAGCATGAGAAATCCCTTGCGAGTAGGATAGGGTGGATGGATCGTACTTCGTGAGGAAATTTAGAAGGGCTACGCAAATGTCAGCATCTCAATTTTCCCGAGTCGGGTATATCGGATCGGGGTACATACGTTGTCCTCGGGGGCGATGGAGCGGTCGAAGTACTGATCGAAGAAGGGAAATTGACGCAGGACATCGTTGCGGACACGGGGCACTTCACCGAAGAAGAAGAGGGCGAAGATACCAGCGCTGACGCCGAAAGTGGCGGCAATCTGAGCACTGTGTTCACAACACAATTAGTATGATTAAACCGGGAAATGGGATATAATATAAACAAGTGCGACTCACTATCTGGTGGCAGCGCCAGCTGTCAGACCGTGGTAGTTGAGAGGAGTGGTGTACCTGGAGATTATCAAAAATTCGAATTAGCAAGAAAGCTACCACCCTGCGTGCTCCATAATTCCATCTGGCTCTGCCGGTCGACACCTGTATATGTTCTCGATCACAGCCAGGCGGGTTGGGCTTCATCTGCTGATCGGACCTCTGGAGGCGAGGGCTGAGAGATCGAGCATTTTGTAATCGAATCCCAGCCTAGCGAAAAGGCATAACTCCGTGTATGTTTCCGGAAGAAGACGTTGAGAATGGCAAGTTCGGGGAGATCTCACTTGGGAGCAAAGGGAGAGCGGTAGGCACCAGCAGTCTGGGCCGCAGCACGACGAATGGTCTGAGAGAACTATAGACATGAAGAATGTTATCAATTGACGATCTCATACGCCATATGCGTTCTCTCGGCCCATGGTGCGATTGGACGCCGTGAGAGTTTGAGCCCTGCAGTGGGCTTCAACCCATATAATTCGGGAGGATATTCCGGAGTATAAGACACATACCATTTTGTTTATAGCCTTACAAAGATATTCTAAAACAAGAATTGTTCTAGCAAAGTGATGATTGACAGCAGCAACTGAGATTCAAGAGAGTCGACGAAAACCGGGAGACTCCGCGACGTTCACAATGCTTGCGGCAACCCGGCGGCCAATCACCATCCGCCAATTGCCCATCACGTGAAGCGACTTTGCCGTCGAATCAGAAGTTAGATTTTACATTTCAATAGACCTAAGTAAGTTAACTAACTAGTTAACGTAATCAACCACCGAACCGCCCATTTCCACCGAGCCGCCATCTGCTGTTTTCTATATAGAATGGCACTTGTTATAATCTTAATATCTCAACAACCAGACATGGTAGAGATCTAAAATTTAAAATACACATTAATATTCTACTATAGATATACATACTAAGTGGTGGAGTCCTTGAATTAGATAATATATCATATATTAGGAACTGTACCTATATTTTTTCTATATTCTTGTATACAAAGTTTTAAAAAAATTATTAAAAATATTTAAAAATAAATAGTGTCTTGGTATAGTCTACATTAATATTTCAATTAAGTATTAGCCTATAATTATCTGTAGTTGTTAAGATATCAGAGTTATAAAAAGTGCTATTTTATATGGAAAACAGCAGATGGCGGCTCGGTGGAAATGGCGGTTCGGTGGTTGATTACGTTAATCAATGCTGCTTAGTAATAATAACAACAACAACTAATTAACGTTAACTACTACTACCACATCTGAGCTTCATCCATTGTATAGGACTGAGATATTACACAGTACTATGCTTGCTAGCACCTAAATAATACGACAACGTCATTATTACTTACAGCCCGGCCGGCCACTCATCCTACGCTAACCATCGTCTGTCTGTCTATGGGGAAACGTGAAAAGTGCTTGGTTAATGCGATCTGTAGAGTAGTACTCGTAAAAGAAATTAGAGGAGCTTGCCTACCGGACAACTCGCCCTAACGCCACTCGAACCAGGAGATGTATGCGAGAAATGGAATGAGATATATGAAGGGCATCATCGATATCAAGATATAGCACACATTTAGAAACATTACAAATCCAATAAAAACCCAGGTGAAATAAACGCGAAAGTAAAGGGGACGGTAAGAAAAGCCAAAGGAGAATATAATAACTGTACAAATAATAATCCAGCGTCTTCCGACCAACCTAGTCGACCTTCCCAGTGGAACCACCGTTCAATAGACCTTCCTTCCCGTCGAGGTGGAAGAAACCGTTGCTGCCGCCAGTAACACCAAGGATGCCACCGCGGCCAGCACGTCGGCCTCTTGCTCGAGCCAAGAAAGTTGCCCCAAGAACAGAGACGACCAGGATGAGGACGAAGAGAATGGGGTGGCTGACAATGAAGGACCGGGCGAAGAAAAAGATAGACTCAAAAGTACCAACCGTGGACTTCGGTGTCAACTTAGGAGAATTAGCGATCACAAGAGGAATGGTTTCGAGAATCGAGGTGCGAGAGGCCAGAATAGGGGCCCCGCTAGAAGATGAATCCCAGTACCGGCGGTTCTAGCCAGGTTAGCTTCGAAATCCACGTTCCTGTTGTGAAGATAATACTTACATCATGATCGTTGATGATCACTCGCTCCCCATTGGCCACATCAATGCCATAGGTATTTCTCAACCACCGTTCCCAGAAGTCGCCGTCAACCCAAGCGAACCCGACTTGTTTCTTGTCGTCTTCACGAATGGTAATGCGCATGTTTTTAGCAGCCCGCAGCGCGCGCTGGTCGTTACGATCTTCAGCCTCCTCAATCCGAAGCTGTTTGGAGTCCCGAAGTTCTGCCCGCTCCAGTTGGAACAGCTGAACCTGCTTATCCATCCATTCGAGAGCTGCACTCTTCAGCTCCCGCTTTGACTGCAAGAATTCGTCCGAGCGTCCCCGGCTCAGGATTCCGAGAACCACGTACCTGCCATCCATGATTTCCTGCGCATTGGAGGCGGTTAATTCTGGGACAATGGGTAGCCACACAGTGCGCATCCATTCTAGGATCTGTCGGAAGTCTCGCATATCCTTGGGTGCAATTGGGGTATAGTAATTGGCTCGTCCATCTCGGACAACAAGAAGACGGGGCCACGTGGAGATCTTGAATCGTTCAGCTAGGGCTGCACTGTTTGTTTTGACAAGTCGTCCATGACCAATCAAGCTGAGAGTCAGGCGCTCCAGAGCTTCAAAATCTTCCGAGGTTGTCGCGAGGTCATAGAAGTACAAGAAGATGACTTCTTCCTTCTCCTCCAGATCCTTGAAGGAAGTTGCGTCAACATCCTGAACACCCAAGCCTACATCCACTGCCTTTTTGGCGTAATTGACTAGATCGCCTAAGCCTCGAAGACCGTTGTACTCGACCCTTTCACCCCCCCGGAAGAAATACATTGTGGGGAAAGCCGATACATGAGCGTCCTTGCAAAGTCTAGGCTCATCGTCGCAGTTCACTTCTCCGATGTTAAGGACGTTTTGCATCTCTTTGGCCATTTGCTGCCAATTAGGGGCAAGTGCTTGGCAGTGATGGCACCATGGGGCATAGAATTTGACAAACCAGGGATCCTGAGTGGTCGTGACAAGCTTCTGGAAGCTCTCAGCTGTGAGCGGTACAGAGATCCCTTGGGGATTCGCTGGACCTCCTTTCGGCTTTGACTTCGGCTTGGATACGGTAGTTTTCATGGAAGATGCATCCTCTGCCGATGTTTGCTCGTTGTGCTTTTCACCGGCCTTTGCGCCTGCCTCGGGATCCTTGTCTTTAGCAGCAGGTGTCTCCGGCTCAGCCTTCGTATCCACGCCCTTGGCGCCTGGCTTCGGTAGATTAACTCCCTTCGCAGGTCGAGATCCCGGTTTGATCGATTCCAGCTTGTCCTCAACGTATTCGCTCAAGCCCTCCATCGATTTCTTTCCCGAATATTCCTCTACCCGTTCGCCATTGTTATAGAGCGAGAATGTCGGAAAGTACTTGACGTCTAACTTCTTGCAAAGGTCGCCATAGGCCTGGCAGTTCATCGATGCGAAATGGAAATTGTAGAAGCCGTGGAAGGAGTTCAGGGACTTAGTGTCAGATGGCTTCGAAGAGGAGGAGGACAAAGGATCCGACGTCTACCATCTGTTAGCAGGACTGAACGAGAACGGCTCCCGATCGACATGAGCGTAGCACTTACATAGTAGAATTCGTAGAGAGTCTGCCATGCTGGGGCAATCTGTTGACAATGCGGACAAGCGGGAGAGTATTGCTTAACGAACCTGGGATATATTAGCGCTCAGGAAAGATGACTAGACATTGATGTGAAAAAGGGTTCTGACCAGTAGCCGTCTTTAATAGCTTCTTCGAAGTTATCAGGCGTCAGCTCCTTCATGGGAGGTACTTCAATGCCATTGAAGGTAGTAGACAGAGTAGCGGGGTCGACAGGATCGTCGGCTCTCTTCACAAGTCGACCATTTCTGGATTCGAGAGTCTTGTCGGCAGCAAGAGCGAGAGTGGGGATAGAGAATAACGACAGAAGCGAATACGTCAGTAAGGATGGCCTCATGATGGCTGCAGGTCAAGGTCCTGGACCTTGAGACGATATTCTTGCGAAATAATGAAGTGAAAATAGGAAACAAAAATCGAGGGCGATTGCCAATGAAATTACGGGTGGCACATGAAGACGTAGACTGAGTATCGAAATGCGGGTCAGTGGCCACAGAACCAAGTCGGGACGAACCACTGCAGGGGAAGCGGTTTAACAATTGAAGAAGGCGATTATCTTCAGAGTAGGGGAGAAATACTGCGGAATAAACCCGCAGGTTCCAAGACGGAGGATGGACTTTACGGGTGAGAATGGGAGAACCCCTAAGCGCGGAGAGATCGATAAGTTTAGTTCAAGTTAGTTCCTTCAGATGAAAGTGGCCGGAACGCCTTGCTGGAATCTTTGTTTCTCCGCCTCCCGACGGAACCTCAACTTCTCTCCCGAAGTCAATGACAACGTGAGACTAAAATACATTGCCTACCATTGGCCCTAATACCATTCACCTTTTTGGGTCAATTCCTTTTTTTTTATACCCTCAGAGCACAATGAGGTCCACATTACGATTGCTAGCGAACGTCAAGCCGGCTCGGTACCTAGAGCCTTTCGCTCCCACCGGCTTGACCGGCCTTGTCACTCATCCCAGTCCCCGCCCAACTTTGATCTATCTCTACACAACTACCCTACAGAAGCTGAATGCCTTCCCCGAGTCTTCCGCCTATCGCCAGTCCACCGAGGCATTGACCCGCCACCGCCTGCAAATCGTTGAGTCTACGAAACCTCCTGGTTATGAGGCTTGGTTGGAGCGTGTGAAGAAGGCCATTGGTACTGAACCCGAGCGGTTCGCTTCGCTTCTTCGCCCGGATGGCTCGTACGCGGCGGCTATGCGCGATGATGGAAGCGACAACCCTCGTGGTGAGGAATGGGATGGAGAAGCTCTTGAGGAGACTAGTGAAGGTCCTGCTCGTACTCCGGAAGAAGAAGCTCGCTGGCATCAGGCCATCGAGGACTCCACCAAAGCAGAGAGGGAGTCTGACTTCCAAACCCACGCCATTAAGTGGGAGAACGAGCCCGCTTTGGAAGCAGAGCAGTACGTTTGCATGATGCCCTTCATTAGAAAACAGAACTAATGACCGACACTAGGGTTGCCGAGATTGAGAAACAAATTGGCGCCGGCCTCCTTGAGGAGGTTATTCAGGTTGCTGAGGGCGAATTGAAGCTTGTTGACGAGTTGTACAAGTCTAAGGTGTAAGTTCTATACCCACCGGGGAGCTTATTAATACTGGAAAAATACTAACACTCAACCAGTTGGGAGGAACTAGAGGAAAAGCCCAGCCCTGGCCAGTGGTCCTACTTTGAGCGCAAAGACTCTGCATAGAGGCTGACTCGGATGAATTAAAAGACTTGTTCATCTCTATGATCCATAACCCCCTTGTATTTATTAGCCGACGCGTGTCAAATGGAAAGGGACGCTACCTTGGCAAAATTATATCCATTATTAGAAGTTTCATGTCTTTATGCCCTATACAGCAACCATCTCTTGCGTAATAGACCAACTTGGCTGATTGTTGACGGTTCGGCACACCCATAAGCGATGGTGACGACCAAGCTGTGGTGGTCTTGTAAGTAAGACACTATTCCTTTTGGATGAGCAGGATATATGCGTGAAACGAATTGGACGGATAGCCCTTGAATATACAATATTCGAAGAATGTATATAAACGGATCTCTGATATCTCGTATGGAGCCTAGAATCGTAGGCGGTGAGGGGTCCATGTCGCCTAACCCAATTATAGGTAGATTAGTAGCTGGCGGGATTCCGTCTCCTTGTGGACACATCGCTGCCGAGTCCCTGAACATCTACTTTGGTAACCTACAGGCCATTCCGGTCGTGGATTTCCTTATTTTTCTGTGTTATTAATAAATACTTTCAAGGGAAGCTTATCTGCAACCCTGGGCTGGGCTGTCTACACGGCTCGTGGCCTGGCTTCTCCCCCTCCGCACCCGACGCCGCAAATAATCGCGACATTCTCCTTCCCCACACAACATGAGGCTGGATATCAAGGTACGCCGTGCATTTTTAGGAATCAATATCCCCGCGGAAGAAGCGTGCACAGCATGATTTGACTGTCGGTTGAAGAGAGATTGCATTGTTGCTGACCATTTTTATAACACAACAGAGACAGCTCTTTGCTCGTTCAGAGCGGGTAAAGGGCATTGATTTCCATCCAACGGAACCATGGGTGAGTGCTTTTGCGATTCCAAATGGTTAATATTATACTAACTGGGCCTTAGATCCTGACAACTCTATACAGCGGTTCGTGGAGAGATCTGATTCCAAACAGTCTCCGGGTTGTATGCGCTAATCAGGATTCACAGGTCACGTATACATTTGGTCTTACGAGACTCAGGTAAGTGTTTAGACAGTGCCATTGCACTCAATTCTCTTCTGACCGACAACTCGCTCCAGTCAATCATTAAAACCTTCGAACTTACCGACGTCCCTGTACGAGCCGGTCGATTTATTGCCCGCAAAAACTGGATCGTTTGCGGCTCAGATGACTTCCAACTCCGTGTATACAATTACAACACTTCTGAGAAGATTGCCTCGTTTGAGGCCCATCCAGACTATATTCGTTCAATCGCCGTTCACCCGACCCAACCTTTTGTTCTTACCGCTTCCGATGACATGACAATTAAGCTCTGGGATTGGGAGAAAGGTTGGAAGTGTGTCCAGGTATACGAAGGTCACGCCCATTATGTGATGGGACTGTCTATTAATCCCAAGGACACAAATACATTTGCATCTGCGTGCTTGGATCGGACCGTCAAGATCTGGAGTCTTGGTTCTCCGCATGCCAACTTCACATTGGAGGCCCACGAGACGAAGGGCGTTAACTATGTCGACTACTACCCACAAGCCGACAAACCCTACCTTCTCACCACCTCAGATGATAAGACCGTTAAGATCTGGGATTACACCACAAAGGCGCTCATTGCGACATTGGAAGGACACACAAGTAATGTTTCCTTTGCGTGTTATCATCCGGAACTGCCAGTGATTATCTCGGGATCCGAGGATGGAACTATCAAGATCTGGCACGCAAACACATACCGATTGGAGCAATCGCTAAGCTATGGCTTAGAAAGAGCTTGGTGTATCTCATACCAGCGTGGTAGACAGGGCATTGCAATGGGTTTTGACGATGGTGCTGTGGTTGTGAAAATGGGTCGCGAGGAACCAGCTGTCTCTATGGATGGATCGGGAAAGATTATCTGGGCAAGACACAATGAAGTGGTTTCAACAGTCATCAAAGGTGGCGACGCTACTGTTAAGGATGGCACACCGCTGTCCTTACCGACAAAGGAGCTGGGCTCATGTGAAATCTACCCGCAAACACTATCGCACTCTCCCAATGGTCGTTTCGTTTCAGTATGCGGTGATGGGGAGTATATCATCTACACTGCCCTTGCCTGGAGAAATAAGGCATTCGGGCAAGCACTTGATTTTGCCTGGGGCTCGAAGGATAACAGCAATGACTATGCTATCCGCGAGTCCCCAACAAGTGTCAAGATCTTTAGGAACTTCAAGGAAGTCAGCGGTGGCCTCGATGTTGGCTTCCAAGCCGAAGGCCTCACAGATGGCGTGCTTCTTGGGGTTAAAGGACAGGGAGGCATTGGTATGTTCGATTGGGAAACGGGAAATCTAGTCCGTCGCATTGAAGTCGACCCCAAAGCTGTAAGAATTATCCGAAAGATGTCCCATTAAGATACCAGCCACTCAAAATGTTTCTAGGTTTACTGGTCTGAGTCTGGAGAGTTGGTCACCCTTGCTTGTGAGGATTCTTTCTACGTGCTTCGATTCTCAAGGGAGAACTATATCAACGGCCTGAATGAGGGTGATGCCGATGAGGACGGTGTTGAGTCGGCATTCGAAGTCGTCACTGATGTCAATGAGACTGTCAGGACAGGCCAGTGGGTTGGGGATTGCTTTATTTACACGAACTCGACGAACCGCTTGAACTACCTTGTTGGTGATCAGACCTACACTATCTCTCACTTCGACCAAGCAATGTACGTCCTCGGCTACTTGCCCCGCGATGGCAGGGTTTACATTGCCGATAAGGATGTCAACGTTGTTTCATTTGGTCTCTCACTTAGCATGGTCGAATATCAGACCGTGGTTCTGCGTGGAGACATGGACATGGCAGCAGAACTGCTGAAGGATATCCCGCAGGATCAGATCAACAAGGTTGCGCGGTTCCTGGAAGGCCAGGGCTACAAGGACATGGCTCTCGAAGTCGCCACTGACCCCGAGCACCGTTTTGACCTTGCTCTTTCGCTCAACAATCTCGACATTGCCCTTGAGATCGCTCGTGAGGCTAATGTTGAACATAAGTGGAAGACTGTCGGTGATGCTGCCCTAGCAGGATGGAATCTGGCTTTGGCCCAGGAGTGCTTCACCAATGCCAAGGATGTTGGCTCCCTCCTGCTTTTGCACACAGCCAGTGGCAACAAGGAGGGTCTCCGCAACCTCGCCGGGCAAGCATCTGAGGCTGGCCTCCACAATGTTGCTTTCTCCACCCTGTGGTCTCTCGGTGATATTGATGGCTGCATCGATCTCCTCGTGCGGACCAACCGTTTCGCGGAAGCTGTCCTCTTCACACAAACCTACAAGCCATCCCGGGCCCCCGTGCTCGTGGTTCAGTGGAAGCAGTCGTTGGAGCAGTCTGGAAAGACGAAGATCGCCCGCCTGATCGGCGTCCCTCCCGGTGCCCCCGATGCTACTTCCGATGACGACCTCTTCCCAGAATGGGATGAGTACCTTCGTCTGGAAAAGGAAGGCGTTGTTCCCGAACCCCCTTCATCAGAATCCCTCATCGACGTCAACGATGGTGAAGAGACCGAGCCAGCAGCCAATGGAGCTCCAGAAGTCGAAGCCGAAGCATGAATATAATCACGGGTTGAAGTAAGGTGGGGTTGTATCTAAGTGGTGCGCTATGGACAGTTTTGAATGACAGTTTGTATGCGCAGAGGGAATTCTTACTGGGTTCATGTATTGACACGTGTTGGGTGAGATTCTCTATCTATTATTACTATTACCTTATTGTTCTAGAGTTGTTTGCTTCTATCAATTTCTTCCACTTCGAAACCTTTGCTCGCTATGACTGAAAATATATTTATATCTCCTATCTTAGCAAGTTTGTAGACATTTCCGATAAGGCAAGCCAGAGGAAAGTCTCCGTAAAGATCTATTCAATTGACAGTGATGGGTCTCCTAAGTCTAGGCAGATGCACACACCATGGGGGAAATGATTCTAGGCCTATACTTCGCAAGCCTAGTTTAATTCAAAAGATCTATACATTAAATCCCTACGACCATCTAAAATATGAAAAAGCGTCGAGAACAACATCTACGAGTAGGGAATATCACCCTCCATCCCCTAAGTAAAACTCGAATAAAAATATCTACCTTACCACCTTCCTTTGAAAAATACCTTATTAAAGCAATGCAAGACCCAAACAAAACCCAAACTATATTTACTAACACCAGCTCACCGACCCTACCATTCGGTCCAGCCACAACTCGGAGCAGTCACCGGTGCCTGCGTGCAATGGTTGCATGGTTAATCGGCCCATCGGTAACTAGGATCTACCTGGCGCCACCTCGGCCTCCCACCTCTTTGGGTGGCGAGTTATCGGGCCCGGACATTTTATGTGTCAGCGGCATGGTGATATGTCTTGGTATCTGGGCTTTTATTACAAATATAGGGGCTGTGCAGTATTTGTGGAGGCCTATTGTGTTAGATAGCAGGGGATTGGGTTGGATACTTGGATTATGATGTAGAATTGCCAAAGTCTACGTAGGTAGTTGAGGTTTCGGTGGCCGATAACCCTAGTTAGATTGGGGAGAATGCGGATGAGGTAATACATCGTGTGCGTTTATTTACTGCAGAGATTAGGGTGCTGTCTGGGTTAGAAGGGAGTTTTCGGTCTACTAGGATGTACCTTTTTTTTAGAGGGGTTTGTTGAACGGAGGGTAAAAATTTGATCATCATTGTATTTCATTTGTTATGGTTTGGAGATTCGGGATGGGGTGTTCTGAGTACGTCAAGGGGTATATAAGTATTGTACCCGATGAGGTTGTTAATTAGCAAGAATTTGAACTCAGACTTAGTATCAATGAGTTGTTGTAGGATTGAGATATAACTTGATAGGTGAGTGTACGTATAGGAACATTGTAGGCCTGCGGGCCAGAACGAAAGGATGACAGGAAAATAGTAAGAGATATGAGGTCAGAAGCTCTAAGGTTGCAATCAAGAATTCTTACCCCTTTCCATATTCTGAAACAGGCTTTCTGAATTAGATGTGGCTGGAGACTGGACATCTCTATCTATACTACCTTTTGAGGCTTAGTAGGGCCAGTAGAATGGTCAGATGCGACCCTGCATAAGGGACATCAGCCAACAATGATCTAGCCTTGCGGCGAGGAATTCCCCACAATTAAGACCGACGTAAAGTAGGTGTAGCTTGCTTTATTCCTTGTACCTTGCCGACGAGCATACCGGACGCTGGCGCGCGCATTCCCCAGATCGGCTGGAGCCTATCGCAGTACTATCGTCTCCACCCCGGCGTTTATATCCGAACATTCCTTCTGCAGGTCCTGAAGATCGATCTAGCCAATTAAATCGATTAGCCCTCTCTTCCGAATCGCTGAGAAGGGCTATCGGCTGCTCATTTGGCTTGAGGAGGGGTTGGATCGTAGCATGTCTTTAGCAGCCGAACTATGGACGAATGCTGGCCATCCCAAAGAATGGTGACCAGCACAGGAGGCTCTTCAGCTCAAAACTTATGTATATACCATGATGCCACGACTTGGTCTGATAGAGTTTAAGACCGGATATGCTATGCGAAAAGTACTGCCACGAATATCAACACTAGAACGGGCAAAATGATCAATTGGTCCAACATCTTACCCACACTAACAGCGTTTATCGCCTTTATCCTGGGCATCCTATGCCTCTTTGCCGGGACCAAGACCAGCCTGTTATTAGATTCGGATGTGTTCACGGTTTGTTTAGCCCTCGTTACACCCATGGAATAAAAGGCATGGGCCTGGACTGACAACGATCAAAGATTTATACCACGAATATAGGCAATGGCACGGGGATGCGAGACTTTTATTCGATATATGTCATGTCCTACTGCGAGGGGTTTCTGAAAGCCGGGACTAAGAACTTGACGGGTTGTTCTCACCGTTCAGTACTGTTCTCCTTCAATGCGACAGAAGCGTTGACCCAGGATGCCGGAAATAATACCTCATTGTCCAGTCTCGGATGGCCGAGTTCCATCACCGACGATCTACGCGCATTCGGCGCTACTAGTAAAAGTATGGGGGCTTTCTACTGTATTGGGATTGGACTAGCGGGTCTGGTGGTCTTAATGAGGCTGTGGTTCGTGTTGATTAGAGGACCGCGACAGACGGTGGTAGAAGTTTCTTCTTTGATGGTAAGTGTCGGGCTTGGGGCCATGGTTTTGTTCTAGACCATGCTCAACCATTAACGCTAATCTGATCCACAGCTCAGTTTCATGATGTTCAGTATCCCGTCTATTATTGCAACAGTCATTGCGTTACAATTTGTTAGTCTCATCAATCGACACGGAAAGGAATCCGGTGTGACGGCCGGGTATGGACAGCAATTCTTAGGCATGACATGGGCAGCTGTCGGGTTGTTGTTAGTCGGAGGTATCGTCAGTTTACTTACGGTATTGGTTGACCGTGGCCGATCGGAAGACGCGGTGTGCGACCCGATGGCAGAACCGAAGATGGTGGCCGATGATTCGGACTCGGTAGAATCGAAACCCTAGGGGAAGGAGCTTAGAAGGGCACGGAAGGGAGAGGAATATCGGGACGGGATGGAAGGGTAAAACAAAAAGGGAAAGGGAAAGGGAAAATTAACTAAGGAAAACCAAGAGGACTAAAGAAGAGTAAGGAAGGAGACCGAATCGGGAGAGTGAATCTGGTTGCAAATACGTTGTCTCTCATTAGGAAATTTTGGATATAGAAAGGACCCACCCCGGTTGGAAAGATTCCACGAGAATCTGTTGACGGGCTAGATGATGCTGTAACGTTTATCCACCTTGCTTTTTTTCTGAATACAATCACTACTACTTACTGACTACAATGGTATAAAAAAGAGGGACTTGGAAATCATAGTCATCAAAAAATTGGGTCTTCCCGCGGCTGGCGACGTCACGAGTGGAACCCCTAAGTAAGGTCTCGCCAAATAAGGCAACCCGGTTCCCTCCGCTTCTCCTGTGAGTTCGATCGTTTATAGTGGGTCAAAGGATGTATTCAAGGGATGTCAAATGATGACGTTAAGTTGACTACGAACTTACTTACTGCCCGTTATCACTTAGAAAGGATACTATGAGGGAAGATTATTCGAGGGTTAGTGAGTCTATGGAGAGGAAGCCCACTATGACCGGGGGGTATATCATAGGCTCTTGATCATGAAAATAAAAGAGAGAAAACGAGAATCAACTCGTTCGGCTAAAGGGCAAGACTATGAGAGACTTAGAGAGAGCCTGGAATGGTAACCTAGTGTGTAACCCAGGAATCGGGTGACAATATTGGGTCTCCAAGTTCCTGCGTAACGTGATAGCAAAGGGTTGATGATCACGGAATGCCTCGGATCCAAAAAACTAGGCGTCTGGTTGGTGTAAAGACATCCTCAATATAATGACGAAAACCAATCCCCTCGCTTTTTTCCTGTTTTTGCACGGGGGAAAATAGACGGGCGTCTGAGCCCCGGACGACTGCGTTCCTAGTCCCCCATCTGCAGGTTTGATACTATTCCCATGTTCCCATAGGCACGTTCTTTTCCCTTCCCCACTCGAATTCCACCAGTGGTGATTGTAGGGTTTCATTCTCGCCCAGACTTGGTCTTCTTTCCCGTTCCATACAAAGCGTCACTGCATCATTCCTTCCCTTTCCCCCCCCTTCTCGCTCCAACTATATATTCCCCCGTTACCCCTCTTTCTTCCTCAACATCGTTAAACATAACTTCCCATTCCACAAGGACTCTACCTAAATAATACCTCCCACTCTCCACACCACTAACTACTTACTATACTTTCTCTTCCATTGTCTCACTCACTCCTATCACTCTCACCCCCCTTTCACTATCCATTGAATACAACACAACTACAACCATCCATCATGGGTAAAAAGGCAGTTCAGTTCGGCGGTGGTAACATTGGCCGTGGCTTCGTGGCTGAGTTCCTCCACGCCGCCGACTATGAAGTCGTCTTCGTTGATGTCATGGATAGCGTCATCAACTCCCTCCAACAGACCCCGTCATACGACGTCACCGAGGTTAGCGAAGAAGGTGAGAACACCAAGACCATCACCAACTATCGCGCTATCAACTCCAAGACGCACGAGGCCGATGTCGTTCAGGAGATTGCCACGGCCGATGTGGTCACCTGTGCCGTCGGTCCAAACATCCTCAAGTTCATCGCGCCGGTCATTGCTAAGGGCATTGATTCGCGCACGGAGAAGAAGCCCGTCGCGGTGATTGCTTGTGAGAATGCTATCGGTGCCACAGATACCTTGCACGGCTTCATCAAGCAGCACACCGGCAAGGACCGTCTGGAGTCCCTCTACGACCGTGCCCGCTTTGCCAACTCGGCGATTGACCGCATCGTCCCCAACCAGCCCCCGAACAGTGGCCTCAATGTTCGCATCGAGAAGTTCTACGAGTGGGCGGTTGAACAGACTCCCTTCGGTGAATGGGGTCATCCCGACATCCCGGCCATCCACTGGGTGGACAACCTCGAACCCTACATCGAACGCAAGCTCTTCACGGTCAACACTGGTCATGCTACCACAGCCTACTACGCTCACAAGCGGGGCAAGAAGATGATCGCCGAGGCTCTCGAAGACCCCGAGATCCGTGAGACGGTGCACAAGGTGCTCGAGGAGACTGCATCGCTCATTGTGTCTAAGCATGAAATCTCGGAGCAGGAGCAGAAGGAATACGTCGATAAGATCGTCAACCGAATCTCGAACCCGTATCTGGAGGACAACGTCGAGCGTGTGGGACGTGCCCCTGTCCGCAAGCTGTCTCGCAAGGAGCGGTTCATCGGACCTGCGTCGCAGCTCGCCGAGCGTGGCCAGAAGTTCGATGCCTTGTTGGGCGCCATCGAGATGGCTCTCCGCTTCCAGAACGTCCCTGGCGATGAAGAAAGCGCCGAGCTTGCTCGCATTCTCAAGGAGAACTCGGCCGAGGATGCTACTTCCGAACTCACCGGACTAGAGAAAGACCACCCGCTCTACTCTCATGTGGTTGAGCGCGTGTCCACGGTTCAGCACGATACCAAATAAGCGATGTGACACCTAAGCGTTTCGCTCTACATACAACGCTCCTTTATCACCTGAAAACGAAGGGTTCTGAGTCCATCACCGACATGGATCGCCCGAGGAATATTTGATATGATACCACACCGTTCTGCCCGCTGGACGGGCATGAACCGCATGGGATACGGCGAACATATGGACGGCGCGGATGGAAGCATTCAACGGATATCACGGATTAGCATACATGATGATTTGTATTGACTTAGTGCTGAGCATAAGAGTCTAATGAGATTAATGATTATGAGATGGAGCCTCTTGTCCTTTGTAGTTGACATCTGTAGCCCACTTTACAACTTACTGTCCACCCAATTCGGCTGCCTCTTCTCCACAAAGGCCTTCAAACCCTCCTTGATATTGTCCCCCTCGTTTAACCTCTTCTGCCATCCGTCAATTAACAACCGGCTTCCCTCCTCTGCACCCACACCCTCCCATCCCAACTTGACACCCTCCCGACTCACGATCACCGCATCGGGACTATTGGAAGCGATCTGACCCGCGATCTCCAGGGCGCGCGACACCGCACCTTCTGGGGTGGCCACGACCTCGTTGACCAACCCCCACTTCTCCGCCTCCGCCGCCAACACCCGCCGCCCCGTCAAGACCATCTCCATCGCCCGCTGCCGCCCAATCGTCCGCACCACCCGCGGCAACGCCCCTGCAATCGCAACCACGCCGCGCTGCACCTCCGGGAATCCGAAAAAGGCCTTCTCACATGCAATAACTAAGTCCGCATTGACAATCATCTCACATCCCCCTCCCAGACAAATCCCATTCACCGCGCAAATCACCGGCTTCTTGCCACTCCGGCGCGAAAGACCCCCGAATCCCGTGGTTAGCTGGTCCTGTCTCTTTGTCGAGGTGTTGTTCACTTGCGAATTCCACTCTGTGTATGCTATGTTAGTATATAGTATAAAAATAAAACATAGACGAAAAGCATATATAAATAAGAATGGAAAATCAACTTCTTAGATTAGTTGAAGCTATACTTTGCTATACATACCTTTTAGATCTGCTCCTGCGCAGAATGCCCTTCCTTCCCCGGTTAGGACCCCCACCCGCACACTTGGCTCTGAGTCCATCCATTCCCAGATTGCGTGGAGTTCTTGGTGGCCGGTTGTGTTTATGCAGTTTAGGTCTCGTGGGCGGGAGAGGGTCGCAAGGAGGATGTGGGGAGTTGGGAAGGTTAGTTTGGTATACTGAGGGGTTGGGGGTGGGGTCTTAAAGGCCATTTTTTCTCTCTATCTTTTGTTCTCTTGCTCTTTTGGTTTGTTATGGGGTGTTTATGTGGTGTGTTGTTTTTATGTATGGGTGACTGGTGGTTTTTATGGATAAATAGTTGGTTTATAAATGGGGGAGCGTTGCCGAGGCCCGAAATGCGGAGAAGGTTATTTTTTGATTATTTATGTGGAGATCGACTTGATTTGATGGATTTTAGAGATACTCCTAGCACAAGGACTAGTATCTAGGGTGGGGAAACATGGTACTCATTCAGATACTATCTACAAGGGTTGTATTCAAAAATGAGGTCTGATGAGAAAGTGGAAAATAATAATAAGAAACCCCGCTTCAATCAAGCCTTTGTTATGCTCTAACCACATAAACCCTCTGGGTCCCTGAGCAACGCCCAACTCCGTTCGATTTACACCTGGATATATAAAACTGTCAACTCGTCATTCCTGTAGGCATTGCTCTATGCCTTGTTGATCCAACCGCTGTGCACCATAAAATCGTAAATTCGACCCGCCTTTGTCGCGTCAATCTACTCAGTCCTTATTAGCCTGGCATTCTATAATGCGGACGGGAAGGAGAATTCGTACCTTGCAGATGGTCCGCGCGTCCTTCTTTTTCAAGCTGCCTCCTTGCTTCATCGCTTCCTTGAGTAGTGTCTCCTTAACCACAAGATATGGCTTCGGTTGGATATGCAGCACGTTGCACACTTCCACCTCTTCCTTGGTGAGTAGATGTAGGTCTGGTGCGCCGTCGTTCTCGAGCTTCCATGGGATCACTCCGTTAAGTGGTTGGACGACGAACTTCGTCTTGGCTGACTGTGGAGTGGTAAGCCCATCTCCGTTGCTAGCAAAGGCTCGATCGAAGTCGTTCATTGGCAGGTTGGCCGGTTCTGGTGCCTTGTTCACGCCAGAAGCCTTTTGTAACCGCAGAGGGAGCTCCGGTGTGGTTAGCTGACTGGCCGCCGTGGGGCCCTCAGGCTGCGGCGCCTGCTTTGGCCGTGTGCCGGCGAACCGGTCAAAGGACCCTTGTGGCATGAGCCTCTGGGCGCGTTGCTGTTTCTCTTGCTCGTATTTTTCTCCACCCTTAAGGTCCCCGATACCCATCTGCCGCCATTCCTGTAGTTGCGCAATAGCTAGCCGTAAATTGTGCTCGTACTCTAAGCCCTTATTGAACTCTTCAAAGTCGTCGTGGTTCATCATTCGGGCAAATGGCTTTGCCTTGTTCAGCAAATCCCTTTCCTCCTTGGTGCGCTTCTTTTCCAGTGCCGTGTTCTTCCTATATTCGAGGAGATTGTGCTCAAACAGTATCTTTTTGCGCTCCGTCCGCGCCGTCAGACGTGAGTTGTAGATATCAACCACCGTCATCTTCAACTCCATTTCTGCGTCCGTTTCACCATTTGCCGTTTCCCCGGCGCCTGGCTCAAAAGTCATGTGTTGCACCGCCTCTTCCGCATCGTTCATAAATTCCGTCTCGAATTCGAGACGACCAGGCATATAACCCTGCACTTCGTGACAGGCTGGAACACTGGCGGTCGGTTTCTGCTTGGGCGTCGTCGGAGGGGCCGCCTTGGCCGCCTCCTTGCGCTCCTCGATGCGACGTTTCTTGCGGGATTGGAACTCTTCCTTGGAGATCGAGTCGGACAATCGCGTGTCATCCGGATCGGCGCGTTCTGGTAATGGGAAATTCGAACTGTCTAGATATGTGCTGATATAGTGGTCTCGGACTTCCTCCTTGGTGCGGTAACCACCGATATGATCCGCGATGTCTGCCCATGACCCCAACCCATAGATATCCGCGCCTTCTAGCAGCAAAAGCTCCTCATCCGCTCCCCAGTCTTCCTGAAAAATTGGGACTGAATTTTGCTCAATCACCTGGAATGGGTGTGTGGACGGGTCGTGGTTCTTAGACTTCTCTCCGGCTGCAAAACACGGAACGCAGAGATCGTACTCATGGCAGGAGGGGTGAGCGCACGACACGCGGACCTGTTGCATCGTCGTTAGATATATTGATTCAGTGTGTTTCCATTGCGATCGGTTCGTGCTTACCGTCGAAGTCACATCTACCGAACAGATGTCGCAGTGGTACTTGGTGCCGGCTTCCGTGCCGCGTGAGGCGGTCTTCTTTCTTATTACGCCCATCGATCGTGAATCCCTTTCATCCTCCGCTATATCCTGAGCCGTTTCGACGACAGTTCCGAGCCCTCTCGTGTGATCAGAGGGCTAATGTAAAGCGGACCGATCGTGCGTAAGATGGTTTCGAAGGGTTATCGGAGAAGGTCAAGGGGGATGGTCTCCGTAGAGAGGCGGGTAAGGGCCAAGTGAGCGGGCGGTCGAACTAGACAGTACAAAATTGAGAGAACTGGTCTGTCAATCTTGTGAGATAAGTCCCTAGATAGTAAGGATACGATGGCTGATCTCTCTATCGGGAACTGGAAGTCGTAGTTAACTTCGGTAAATAGCGGCGGCGTCAGATCCAGACCAGGTATAGTGGCTTAGCCATCGGAGCTAGTGGCTAGTGCTATTGGGGGCCTGAATATTCAGGGATCTACACCTCCCCCAAGGGAATATATGCCTCAGGCATTACATAGATGGACCCAGGCAGCCATGTTCCTGACCCAATGATGATCGGCGATTTTGCCCCCCTCCTTTGACCATCTCTCTCTCCCTCTCCCGCGTCCCTTCTTTTCCCCTCGATCGTGTTTGTTCCCTTTCCATCGTTCATAACTTGCTCCTGGTTCGACCTGGGTCGCTGTTGGAATTTGTGTCGGCCCTGGTTGTTTGCTGTTGTTTTTCTTTCTCTTTATTCGCGACTTGACGCGCTGTACAGTCTCCGATCTCTATCAATCTATCGCTCCCCTGTTCTCCTCGGGGTTTCCTCTTGTGTGTTTCTGACCGCTGTGGCTGTGGCGGTACCGCATCTCTTGTCACTGCACCAACCCTTTGGGGTACTAACGAACGACCTCCTTTTTGTTTCATTCCCTCCCTATTTTTTTTACTTTACTTTTTCCTTTCGCCTTCTTTTTGTTATATTTAGTCTGGGGTAAACCTGATCCAGTTTCTACACGATTCCCCAACTTCTCTTCCACCTTTTCCCTGGATATCATAAAATCGCCCATCACAATGTCTTGGAAACTCACCAAAAGTATGTCCCCTCATCTTTTCTTTCTTACACAATCTATATATAGCATCACCTTGGCCCATTCTGCAAGTACAAGATCTAACCAACTTGGCTTGACTTATGTAGAATTAAAGGAAACCCACCTTGCTCCTCTAACGCAAACCTTTACCCGGTCGTCATCCACATCAACGATTAAGGGCGAGTCCGGCGAAGAGACCCCCGTGGCTTCGCAGACTCCGACTCCGATGATTTCAACATCGAATGTCAACGGGATCAGTATGTTGTTTTAAGTTTCTGCCGTTCTCGTGGACCCGTCCTAACATGTGAATAAGATGCCTCGGAATCTCTCGTGTCTCCTCCCGTGGCCCCCGTTAAGCCCGGTATCTTGATCGTCACCCTCCACGAAGGCCAGAATTTTGCCCTTTCCCCACACTACCAACAGATCTTCAATTCCCATTTCCAAAACAATAACTATGCTATGCGCCCCAGCTCCTCATCTTCTCACTCCGCTCATGGTCAGGCGGCATCATTCGTCCATAACGGCCGTCCTCAGTCGACTAGCGGGGGTATCAATGCCGCCCCGACAATCCATGGTCGGTATTCGACTAAGTATCTTCCCTACGCCCTGTTAGATTTCGAGAAGAATCAAGTTTTTGTCGACGCAGTTTCAGGGACACCCGAAAATCCCCTCTGGGCCGGAGATAACACGGCTTTCAAGTTCGATGTGTCCCGTAAGACGGAATTGAATGTTCAGCTGTACCTCCGGAATCCGGCCGCCCGGCCTGGTGCCGGTCGTAGTGAGGATATCTTCCTCGGTGCAGTGAAAGTACACCCGCGTTTCGAAGAAGCACCTCCGTTCGTGGAGGACCCCAAGCTCAGCAAAAAGGACAACCAGAAGGCGGCTGCGGCCCATGCAGCCCAGGGACGCCATCTGGGCCAATTGGGCGCAGAGTGGTTGGACCTTCAGTTTGGTACTGGTTCGATTAAGATCGGTGTTTCGTTTGTCGAGAACAAGCAGCAAAGCTTGAAGCTAGAGGACTTCGAATTGTTAAAGGTCGTGGGTAAAGGTAGTTTTGGCAAGGTCATGCAGGTCATGAAGAAAGATACGGGCCGTATCTATGCCCTCAAGACGATCCGCAAGGCTCACATCATTTCCCGGTCGGAAGTTACGCACACCCTTGCGGAGAGATCGGTGCTTGCACAGATCAATAATCCTTTCATTGTCCCCTTGAAGTTCTCCTTCCAGTCACCTGAAAAATTGTATTTCGTTCTCGCCTTCGTAAACGGTGGAGAGTTATTCCACCATCTCCAACGAGAGCAGCGTTTTGATATCAACCGTGCCCGTTTCTACACGGCTGAGCTGCTTTGTGCATTGGAATGTCTGCATGGCTTCAAGGTCATCTACCGTGATCTCAAGCCGGAAAATATCCTTCTCGACTATACGGGACATATTGCCCTTTGTGATTTCGGTCTATGCAAGCTAGACATGAAGGATGAGGATCGGACAAACAGTAAGGCATCTGTATCTATGTCTTTCTTTGGCTTTCCTAACTTGATTGATAGCATTCTGTGGAACACCTGAATACCTTGCGCCTGAGCTGCTGCTGGGCAACGGATACACAAAGACTGTCGACTGGTGGACGCTGGGTGTCCTCCTCTATGAGATGTTGACGGGTCTTCCCCCATTCTACGATGAAAACACCAACGATATGTACCGCAAGATTCTACAGGAGCCCTTGACTTTCCCCAGCACTGATATCGTTCCCCCCGCCGCCCGGGATCTTCTCACACGGCTACTCGATCGTGACCCACAACGTCGTTTGGGTGCCAATGGTGCCGCGGAGATTAAGTCGCATCATTTCTTTGCCAACATTGATTGGCGCAAGCTACTCCAGCGAAAGTACGAGCCAAGCTTCCGACCCAACGTGGTATGTGATAGAACCATCGCCCACCCTTGTCTTTGCATTTTGACTATAACTAACTTCTGCAGGTTGACGCGCGTGACACAGCCAACTTCGACCGGGAATTCACTTCAGAGGCACCTCAAGATTCATACGTGGACGGACCCGTTTTGTCCCAGACTATGCAGCAGCAGTTTGAAGGCTGGTCTTACAATCGCCCGGTTGCTGGTCTTGGAGATGCTGGCGGCAGTGTCAGGGACCCATCTTTCGGCAGCATTCCCGAATAAACGGAAGCCTTTTCGTTGCATTAGCACTGGGTTATTTCAAGCCGAAGCGCGGTCTGATGTGTGTTTTAGTCTGTCCTCCTTTTGAGCACAAGGAGTCAATGGCATCTGTGTTGGAACCCTTTCTCTGGTGATCTCAACTGAGCGCTTTTCATCTGCTTTTCATTTCTAATCACGGCTGGTCCAAGGCAGTCTGTTTAGGAGACCTCTGGTTTAGAACATTTCTTAGCGATTTTTCACTACTCTATTCCCGCATATCCCACCCAACCCCTTTTTTTTTTAGTTTTTTATCCTCTTCCGGGCTGGAACGATTCGGACAATTTCTTTGTTTCTTTGACATAACTACTGCATAGACAACAATGGATCATCTACTAGGTTTCCGATCTGCTATTTTGATGATCGTATCGTCTACTTTATTGGATGCTACCATCTAGACTTCCACCGGATTCTTCAACAATGGATAGGGAGCTTCATAGTGCTTCCTAAGAGATTGCTATCTATCCCGCATTTCTATTCAACCGTATTCTTTTCTCACTGAGAAATATGGTGTAACCAAGACATCCAATACTATGGTGAATTATATGCTTCGAGAAGAGGAGATTCAAGCTTGAGCGTATTGGAAACTTGGCAGAATTTCTGTATATTTAATCCCTAGAATATAGTAGTAGTATTCACTCAATACGGAGAGGAGAGGACTTAGATGCCCATCCGCGAAAGCGCACGAATGGGTGATAGGAGGGTGTCTATCCTTAAATTCCTTGAGGTGTTTTTTGACCATGTTAATACCATCAAGCATATCGGAATTTGGACACTGCGTGACCTCATCCTCTACAAGGCCTCGAGGATCTTGACGTAGCTGGCCTCTTTCTTTCTTTCTTTTTTTTTTCTTTTTTTTCCGCATGTTCTGGAGCAGGAGAAGAACCCATGTCCACCACAGTATCCCAGCAGTGACTAGACGAAACCTGATAGAGAGTATGTGTGCTGATAATCGGGGACCTTGGGGCATATGCCCGGCTGGAATTCTATGTAACTGATAAACTTGACGTGAAGTAATTGCTTGGAAGGTGTTAGACCTTAAAAGCAATCATAGGAAAGGGGATGGTTTGTGAGTGTTTGCCAATGCATGTATTCTGGTATTAAAACTCGATTATACTGCAAGTAGGTGATTAAAATTTGATGACCTTCTTATCTGGAGCTTCATACTCGGTTCTATGTTGGCTGAAGAAATATCCTAAGTACGTACACGTCAACGTCAGTGGACAATCGTCAGCTGCAGTGAATTTCGTAATGACAGTCTACATTCACAATGTGTTACAAAGATGCGGAGCACAAAACGACCCCTCATTTACTTTCGTCTATCCTGAAGGGATACTTTGAAGATTGCCCTAGAGACTACAATCAAGTCACAGAAACGATCTCCCCCCTCCCGGTGACCAGAGATCCACACCGCAAGTATTCATAGTATTGGGTCATAGCTTCTACTTTCTATCAATCTGTTTCATTTCCATAATGACAGATTCTCAAAGCTCTTATCACTCCAGTTCTTTGCACTGCAGCTAGACCGGGCCCTTCTGTTCTTCGGCTTCCCTTTCCAAAGCAAGTCCAGACTCCTCAATGATCGAAAGTAAACTCAACCGTTGCATCTTAGCCAAGGCGCCGGTTCTTGGTTGACATACAAAAAATACAATTTACGAAGCCACGTAGATGAGATTTTCAACGTTTTAGCTGCGAATCCCGCCACTATTATCACCGAGCTGGAGCTGAGGCTTGGACGTGTAGCTTTGACTCCGAAAGATGAGGGCAGCTAGGTCTCTACTTGCGCTTCAGATGTCTTGCCAGTGTTTGATCTCGCAAGCGTGGCGAAGTCCTGTATGTCAGGGAAGAGTGAGGTACCCTGCTTGAGGCTGGAACAATTAGCGGTCGATGGAAAGATGTGACTTGTCCCGTGCACTTATTGTGAGGTAGAGGGCTTTCAGATATGCTGTTGACTAGATATGTGTAAGATCTATCTCCATTCGCTCATAAGGTCTGGGTATGCATTAGGCAGAGAAAAATCTTTGCGGTGGGGGTGCTTCACTGAACAGGCTGTAGGATGCTACTTGTCGTATCGACTTCTGATAGAGTCTACGGCATTATAAGAATCTCCCATGTCTCTGTTTTGTTAAGCTTAATTGTAATCATAGGGATTCATAGTGGACCTCAATTTGTATGGGAGCAGCTCCGATTGACCTCATATCTGCACGCCGTCTTCTTCTCTGTTGTAGAGGCTTGACGTGTCAGAGAACGCCGTATACTTTACTTGAATAGTAAACGCCAATGTAGCTAATTGATATAGAGCATATAGGCAATACAGATAGTCACAATACCCTCTCCATCATTCTGTATAACGCTTCGCGAGGTCAAAACCCAAGATTCCTACGAATATATCAGTCAGCTACCTAGGCCACAAGCGAGGGAAAGACATGGCGAGAAGGCGAATCAACTAAGCATAAATCGGTAAACGGGTATTCTACCACGCCATTTAGTTCCTTGTACAAACTGTACCAAACTGGCTCTCAAGAGCTTCCCGCGTATTTAATCGGTACTTACTAAGGTGTATTCGCACGCGCAATGTGCCGTCTCTGGATGAAGACAAGATGTAAGGATCGGCTACGCTTAGTAGTCTTGCCAGATTGTCGAATTGCAAGTCAACTTTAGTTGAACTAGGCTATTAAATGCATATCGCCATACAAGATCGAATGCTCTGAACGTAAACATATCGAAATTGATTACTTCATGTGGTACACTGTACCACTCTCATAACGTATATCTTGTATATGGAACTGCTAAGCCAATTGGAGTGAGTAATGAGCAAGACCTCTTGCTCAACCCATTTCCTAGTTTAGACAAATGAAGTCCGAAAAGGTGGTAATGTGTGTCCTGTGATGCGGTTGCCTTTTCCTCTGCCCTGTACTGATGGAGTTTTGAAAGTTCGTTGGCCTCTTAGATGACTATCATAAGCATGCATACATGACGGACGTCGCAATCGTGAATCTAGAATATACCGAGTCTTCACCTGGGCTTCAACAGGATCATGGATTAAGCTAATCGAAGTAAAAGCAGAAGAAACCGAATGGGCCAGTATTACACATGGCATTATAAAATAGCCCCTTTTGTCTCTATCCGGAGCGGAACTGAATCCTACCTACCAAAATTCCACCATACGGCTCATACCAATCCATCCAGCCATGATGTTCTGAAGATTGGTGAAGCAATATTGTACTCAGTTTCTCCCTTCCGTTACCTTCTATTTCCCAGAAGTGGCCCCACAATCCCGATGGAGTCGAAGAAGCAGGGTGTGGCGCCGCTATATGGTCATATCTAACTACTTCGAACGTCCTGCAGATGGATAAATAGCCATCACGCCATTCCTGCTGAGAGACCCTTGCCTCTCTATTTGGTGTTGTATCACACGCAGATTGAACCCTCGCTAGTGCATGACGGTCAAACTTGAGTCATCGGCACGATTTTGCTAAATGATATTTAGGAGACTGATGCATCGAATCCTGGTCCTGGCTTGGGTCTGAGGGTTTCTAGTTCTCCAGTCCGCCTGTAATGATTCATACACAAAGAAGCAACAATATCGCCGCCAAGCAATAAACGCTCCGACAGGGGGGAATGCCTATCCCAGTAAAACGTTATATCAAAAAGGCTTGTAGACCTGGAAAACAACAAAGGAATCATAGGGCATGTGAGCAATTACCCGATCGGGAACCAGGAATTCTTTGATTGGAAGCATGAAGCGAGTTGGACTGGTTGGTGACACGCGCATAGATATGTGTGTCAGCGTGGATTTCAATGCATAGCGGTGTTTGATGTAAATGCTTTGCAAGCAAGGGCAGATGTGGGAATATTTATAAGTATCGATTGCCGCGTCACCTGACGATGTAACCCTACCTGCAGAGGTGACTTGATCCTAAAGGACCCATGCCTAGGGTAACAAAGCCATAATCAAGAAATAGATGATTGGTCTCCCGTATCTTTTACCGGAATGGTGATAGGAGGGAAGAGATAGTGTGATCTGGTGCCAACATCGCTTCATTTTAGCCGAACTGGGTCAACACCTGTTTTAGCATGAACTAAGAGGCCAAGGGCTCTCGAGGATGCTATAATCTGACTGCGTCTCGGGAATCTCGGCTTGGTAGCCTCATGATCGTCTACATTCCTTTGATGTGTAAGGGTTGCGCCACATGGGAGGTCTGGCCACCTTTTTTTTTTTTTGTTTGGGAAGTATGGAACATGTAGAAGCTCCTAGCGTAGATTGAGATGTACGAGTTTTGCTTTCGGTTACGAGATGACATGTAAGGAGCTTCTAGAATGGAAATGACGCAGCTAGCTGTCGATGGAAGGACAGCACATGGACATATGGACTGGGCCTCGTGGATGCCGTTCCATCCTTAGCTGCATATGAAAGAAAAGTTTAAAAGGAAAAGGGGGAAAGAAAAGACACGGGAAATGAACCATCAGACGATCGGACAGGCCGAACACAAGAAAGAACTGGAGGCTATCGACCGAGTCATGAAACGGCATTTGCTTGACCAGGCGACTTACCAATGTGTACCCTTTGTGAGACCTTCTGGCCTCGTTCTCTCTTGCCGTTGGCTCTTGTCCTCCTCAGCTAAGCAACAGACCAGGGAGTTAAGCCTCGCTAAGACTTGTCCAAGAAGGCATGGCGATGGGCTACCTGATTTGGCGGAACCTAATTAGATTATCCAGGGGTTCGAGGGTCGGAGGTCGGATTCCTTCTGTTAGTCTCTAGCCAGTTCATGGGATGGCGATGTTGCCTGCCAGTCTTTACACCGAGCTCGAATGAGCTACCCTGCAAGCATGGCATCAGGAACAAGGGAATGCAGCGGAGTGGGACTTGAGAGGGAGCCAATGTTTCAAGCGCTTTGCTGCCCGTGTTTGATAACATGATTATTTGGATCAGCAAGAATGCTTCAAAATAGAACGGAGGCCATAGATCCACCGTCACTAGCTTTCTGCATAGTTTCGAACGTGCCCTAGTAATGACGACGTGGTGTTGCTTATTGGCTGAATGCCCCATGGTAGATGGTATGATGAAGCCATGGATCTCTTCCTCGATACGGCAAGACCGTGATGTATTGGTACTACTAATCATCCGTCAGTAAGTCAGAACACGACAGCCTGCATGCAAGGGGGGGGGGAAAGACCATGCCTCCGTTGACCATGTGGGAGTTGTATCGGAATGGGGGCGTTTCAGGCCCACTTTCGATCAATTACTCTACTATGGTCTATCATATCTCATGAGAGAGGAGGGGGAAAAAAGAAAAAGGGCAAGCTCTCCGCACTTTGACGTGCCAGGGGAAACGTGATCGAAGCGGGCACGCTGACTGGCTGGAGTAGACGCCAAGATGCCATACAGGTGGCTTTATCCACTTCTCGAGATAGACTTTCTGTCCCACGAATATGTGTTCTGTTGTTCAATTCTCAGTCGTGACTGTTCCTTCCCTTGGCACAGTGAGTGACAATGTGACACCCGAAAACGGTAGAAGACGGCACGAGCAGATACTTGATCGGGCAAGGACATTACGTTGCCCAGATCGTGCACATCCAATGTCATCCATATATACATACAGACTGTACCTGTACATGTAGTGCTACACTTGACATCACCCACGAATGTAAGGGTAACACAGTAAGATACGATGGAATGATCGTCCAATTCTTCTCACTAGAGAGATTTTAGAGAGATTTTTTTGTAAAATAAAATAAAACACACGGACAATTCACACTCACCGGACCGGGCACGGATACATCCATGACAGCAATTGTAACTGGATATCCATCACCCGACCAATTTCCCTTCATTGTCCTTCACACACCTTTTCTTTTTGATTTTCTTTTCTTTTCATTCTTCCTGCGCGTGCCAGGAAAACGCATATGATTGGCGGAAGGAAAAACTGGGGGACAACCCTCATGTAGCAGGCGGTACTGGAAGATCCTCCGGATTCTGCCACCACGTGCCTCGATGATTGGCCGGTGGTGGAAGTTGATCCTCAAGTGGAGCTCCGCCTTCCGCGCTTGTAATTTAGGTTTTTTTTTTTCCCTGACAAGATTAATCCATATCCGGAACAAGTTTAAAAAAAAAAAAAAAAAAAAAACCTTTCTTGCCCTAAGAGAACCACCCATTCGAACTCCATTCCCCACCCCACTACTACATAGAACTAAGAACTGAACGTTCGGTCGTAGGCATGTCATCCACTAAGCTGTCTCCGGTAATTCTATTGGCTTCGAGAGTGACCCTTCCTTCGCGGCCCGGGCGAAAAAAAAAAAAAAAAAAAAAAAAGTGCGAGAAGTGGTCCGCCGACTTCCCACCCGGTAGTGCTACAGGACCGGCTGCCTCTCTTGGCCGGCGTGGATCCTCGCCACTAATCCAGTCCTGCATTGGCTTATCACAGAGCGCAATTCGGGCATGTGCCTGGGCCCAGAAGGTGGGCTGGTGGAAGGTCGCCTCTGCCCAGAGAATTCCCATCCGTTTGCATATAAGTTAACCTCGCGCCTGTCCGACTTGGCTCTGCATCGTGTGCAACGCCTCACCAGCGACGACGGCCTTCATCTCCCTCCGGAGATACCAAGAGTGCTTAACTAGCTCTCCAACCTCTCATCGCGAAGGCCAAGATCAACCATTTGGATAGTCGAATCCCTCCTCAATTTCACCTATCACCTATCGACGACTAGATGACCGACTTTGGACCTCGTGCCCCCCATGGGCCCGATATGTCCGGGACGCACAATCCCCTCGAGGATATGGACATCCACGAGAAGGGTGCCTTCGACGTTCTGATTCGTCCGGATGACAGCTATACCCCGGACGGTACCTACTGGGCCGATCTGCCCCTCCTCAAGAAGCTCAAGTTCGTGAGCTCCTACGATGCCGCAGAAGCCAAGCGCGAACTGAGCGGGATCTGGGAGATGACGAAGCAAGATCCCTTGTCCCCTATCTCGTATTATTTTCGGAACATGGTGCTTCCTGGTGCGGGTCTAGGCCTAGAAGGGTACGTGCCTATCTATAAACACAACAACCCCCCCCCCCCCCCCCCTTCTCCCCCCGGGGGACTGTGTCAGGTCGTCGTACGCTAACACATTAGCGGTTTAGTTATGTGCTCTTCTCCATTGGAAACGTGAAACCTCTCTTCCAAGCCGCCTTCAAGTCGTGTTGGAAGGATCATAAAATTTGCGATCCACAGTGGCTCAACTCCATCGAATACCTCGAGATCATTGGTATCATCGTAGGTCAGATCTTGGTTGGAATTCTGGGTGACTGGTATGCCCCCTCTACTGGGATAGCTGATACGTTTGCCCCATTATTGGACTCTAACGGTTGTTCAGGGTTGGTCGTCGTTGGGGTCTGATTCAGGATGCTGCAATCATGTTTCTCGGCTTGGTCATGCTCACAGCTGCCTGGGGTGTGACCCAGAATGGCTGGGTTATCTGCTACGCCTGGTCGCTCTTCATCTACGGTATTGGTGTTGGAGGGGAATATCCCATGACGGCTACCAGCGGTATGGAGAATGCCGTGGGTTCCGGAAAAGTCTCGACCAAGGAGGACCGCCTGCACCGTGGCCGGAAGGTCACCAGCGCTTTCTTGATGCAAGGTTGGGGGCAGTTCTTCAACCAGGTGCTTCTCATCATCTTGTTGCTCTGCTTCCATCATGGCAGCGGTAACCCTCCATACTCGACCGTGTCCGCCCAGTGGGTGTACCGTATTTCCTTCGCGATTCCTGCGGTAGGCACCTTGTGGCTGGTCTACTACCGTGCCTATCACATGAAGGCGGCGAGCAAGCAGTTGGTGACCGCGAAGAAGAAGGCTTCCGTCACCGGCTACGATTTCAACTCTCTGGCTCTGACCTTCAAGTACTTTGGACCCCGTATTCTGGCCACCGCGGGTGGTTGGTTCGCCAACGATGTCTTTTTCTACGGCAACAAGCTTTTCCAGTCTGAATTCATCTCGGTCATCAGCCCCCACTCCAAGTCCATCATGCCGACTTGGCTCTGGAACTTGGTCAATGTGGGTGTCTCGCTGTGTGGTTACTACTTGGCCTCGTTCTTGATCGATAACAAGCTCTACGGCCGCAAGTGGATGCAGATGATCGGTTTCTTGATGTGCTTCATCCTCTTCGTTGTTCCCGCTTTCCACTTCAAGTACTATACCAGCGCGGAACACATCAAGGAGTTCCAAACGATGTACTTCTTGAGTTCCTTCTTCAACCAGTTCGGCCCTAACTCGGTAACCTTCCTGGTGGCAGCCGAGGTGTTCCCCACTCCCATCCGTGCCACCGCCCACGGCCTGTCGGCCGCCGCCGGTAAGGCTGGTGCTCTTTTGGCCTCTGTTCTGTACAACTACATCGATACACAGACCAAGTTCTACGTGGTTCCCTGGTTTGGCCTGGCGGGCATGGTCCTCACCTTCGTCTTCCTTCCCGACACTACAGGCCTTGATCTCAAGGAACAGGAGCGTCGCTGGCAGTACATCCGTGACGGCCGGGAGCATGAATACCATGGTCCTGCCGTTCACTCCAAGCACTTGTCCCTCTGGGAACGCATAACTGGCGTTGGCAAGTACTACGACGCTGAAGCCGATTACAAGCAGAAGGTTGAGGAGTACCGTGCCGAATGGGAGACCGCTATGGCCCGCCGCATCGCCGAGAAGGACAAGGGTGAGGAGCTTGAATTGGATACCGATGAAAGCCTCTTGGAAGGCCATGTCCATGCCTACTTCCACCGGACGAGTCCCATGTTCCGCCCGATGGAGCAGAATGCCAAGGGGGATAACTTTGCTCTCCCCCCAGCGGCCCAGGAGGACGACTCGACTGCTTCTTTCAACGAAAAATCTGAAAAATCCACCTGATCGACTTTATACCCATTTGCTGAATCTTATGACTGTTTGGGACGTGATATCTCCTTCGCACGAATTCCTCTGGTCTCTTTTTACTTTTTCCCTTTTAACCTGTATAGCCTAATTTCCTTTTCGATGTGTGTCGTTTGTTGAACTGGCTGACGGGAGAGAGCCATTTGCATTGAAAGCTGTAAATACCCACGTATATAGTATAGACTTGTCTAATGATGCATACCCTAAACCACTAGCGCGCTGAGTTCACAGCAGATCGCAAATCAGTGCACTCTTCTTTCCACTGACAGATCTTTCCGATCTAATCTTGATAACTTAAAAAAGCTTAGATTAGTATACGATCAGGTGACACATGTAGTACAATGGAACCATGAAAAAATAATAGATCAATCCAGTCCACAACCAGTAGGCGGTACATGAATTAACCCGATAACGATAAACCAAAGTAATTATTCAACACCCCCCACTGTACGAATATCTCAAGTCAATATCAATGAACACACAAATGCCTGTGACGATACCATAAAAGTTCTCACACACACACACACACACACACACACAAAAACATCACCATGCCGCTCTACGCATTCGGATCAAATGGATCCGGCCAGTTAGGCATCGGGCACGACGACGACGTCTCAGTCCCTTCTAGATGTCTGTTTGAGGGTCTAGAGCCGGAAACTCCAAAGTTGAATAAAACCGAAGAGAGCAATTCATCCGGTGGCATTCGCCGTATTGCTGCTGGCGGAAATCATACCCTTCTTCTCTATTCTAGTGGGGCTGTGTATGCGGCTGGGTGTAATGAGGATGGGAGGTGTGGGGTTGGTTCCGGTGATGCGGTGAGGTTTAGGAGGGTTGTTGTGCGTGATGGGGATGCGCTGGTGTATGAGACCTTTAGCGATGTTTCGGCGTGTTGGGAGGGGTCGTTTCTTGTTGGAGATGGAGGGGAGGGGGTGTTTGTGCTTGGGTCGGGGGGGAAGGGGGAGCTGGGGCTTGGGGAGGGGCTTGCGCGGGCGGCGGTGCCGAAGAGAATTAGGGATTTTCCGCCGCCCGGGACGAGGGTTGTCTCTGTTGCTAGTGGGATGGGGCATACAGTTGTTGTGTTGTCGAGTGGGGAAGTGTATGGGTGGGGCGGGGCGAGGAAGGGTCAGCTTGGGGAGTCGGTTAGGGCGCAGAAGGTTGTTTGGTCGCCTGTTAAGGTGGAGGGGTTGGCTTTTCGGGCTACTGGCGCTGTGTGTGGGCGGGAGTTTACTGTGATTACGGGGGATAGGGAGAAGGGGGAGTTTGTGGTGCTTGGGTCCGTGGATAATAAGTGGAATGTTTTGTCTGATGCCCCGGCTTTGGGAGCGGTGGCGGGGTATCGGAGTATTGCTGCTAGTTGGCATGGTATCTATGTACACCGGGGGGATGGCTCTGTTCTGGCTTGGGGCCGAAATGATCGTGGTCAGCTTCCGCCGGTGGATTTGCCGGTTGCGAGGGAGCTGGCGGTTGGGAGTGAGCATGCTATTTATTTGCTTGATGGTGGGACGGTTTTGGCGTTTGGTTGGGGTGAACATGGAAATTGTGGACCTGTTGCTGATGAACAGGGGAATGTAAAGGGGAAGTATAGCTCGATTCCTCTCCCAACTGAAGGGGGTTCCGATGTCCTTGGTGTTGGTGCGGGCTGTGCGACTAGCTGGGTCATTATGTCATGACTGGCTGATGATCCTATAGAAGCCAGGGGAAACCCCTGTGCAATGGTCCATGACTGCCAACTTTCATCCAAACGATAAGTGGTTGGGATAAATTTCTGGCTTTCTCAGTCGAAAAGACCAAGACCTTGAATCTGCAGAGAGTTAGCCGGCTGCTGCTGCGGAACGGCCAGATGAAATCCCCATACCTGTGATATACGTTGTGTTGGGGGAATCCCCATTTCGTTTTCATGGCTTGTGTCTTGATGAGGCATGCTAGGCTCGCTATCTCGCAAACGGGGTCCGAGACTCTCATTGAACATCTAGCTTTGGTCAGTTATGTGCGCCGACAGACAAATCCTGTTTGCCATACCTGGTCCCCAGTTGCGTCCCAGCCAAGCCGGTCCTCGGCTTCTTCTTCCTCGTTCGGGACATCCCATTGCCTATCATCATCCGCCGGCACAAACAGACTGTCAAATTGGATTGATGCAGGAGATGGTCGCTGGCTTTCAGTATTTGGCTCTGTGTTATGGGCAGAAACCCCAGGAGTCCCCGTGAGAGGTCGAATAGATCGGGCGCGCGGAGGAGGCATATGCCTCGTACTGGGCGCAGCGCTCGCCCGGCTAACATTGGCGGGAGCAGGCGTCTGCCTTGCAGATAATTCCGGGGCATGAGAGGAACCGGGAATGTCACTGTCTGATTCGCCCGTTGTCATCAGGGTGAATTCGGTCTTGACGCCCCCGAAGTCATACGCAAGCTGCAAGGGCCGGGTTGGACGGGTATAGCGAGCAGTGATTGTCGAATGCGAAGATTCAGCATGTGCTATTACTGCTCTGAAGTCCTTCAAGGTGATGGCAATGTGGACATTGTCTTCCGCTAGGAAATATTCAAAGCCCTTCTTGTCAATGGCGACCGATGTATGCACCGGCTTTTTGAGGATCTCTGCGCCAAAATTAGCTAGAGCATTACTGGAAGGGGGGCAAAAGAACCAGACCTTTCCCGTCAGTGATCTTCGTAGTGAAGCTCGTTAAAATGACCTTGCCGTTATCGGAGTAAACATCCAATTGCTCGGCTGAGGGGCTGAAGTGATCTGTTATCTCTCTCAAGAATTTAGGATCTATCCTCCACTGGTTTGTCGTTTTCGTCCTGTCAAAGACGGCATGATTAACAGTAGTTGGCTCATAAGTGAGTTTGTAGGACTTGATAACACCTAGACTTGGATGTCAGTGTAAGCTGCCAGGAATTATGATTCGAACAATGCTCACCAAGTCCACAGATCATCTTAATGGCGAGTCTGCATTCTGTGAGGTTTTCATGCTCATGCAACTCAACCACGCAGCGTTCAACCGCGGTGTCCTTGTTTCGTCCACCGGGTCTTCCCTTGAATACTGAGAGCAAGGCCTAGAGAATATTAGTAAGCTGAAGATAATTAGATAAAGTATCCTGAACAGTCTTACTTTAAGGTACAGTTGAAAACAATATCTATCAGAACGGACATTCCCCGACGCTTTTGGCATATCAAAAGAGTAGGACTCAAAAAAGACATCTGCTTCAAAGAGAAAGGCCGCATAGGCTGTTTTGGTAGAGTTGAGCACACTCAAACGAAGCTACATACCCCAGTCAGTTGAAATATTACTTGACAAATACATATAGCTACTATTGCAGGGAACGGACCTGATCAAATTCGGCCTCAATGGCTACCGTTTCATGAAATTTGGCGAGGCATGTCAGAGCATCGTGCAGCTGGTACAGAGCCTCGGGGGCCAGCGAGAATGCTAAGGAGACCATGACCGTTCTGGGGCCAGAAAATAGTTGTATACAGATATAGAAAGGGAAGCAAGAGGTTGAAGATCTAGACTCCAACTGGAGATCCAAACACGAGCGCGTGCTTACATAAGCGAGCCTGCATTCCCCGACGTCATTGTAAATACTGCTCGCTTTCTCCTGGGATTGAAGACGCGTCGACTCGCACTGACTTCTTCCAAGTCAAGATGGCATTCGCCTTAGCCGGTGATATACTTTATATTGTCTTAGACATCCTTGGAGACCAACGCGACTACAACAGCCTATACCAATGCGCCATAACATCCAGATGCTTCACGGGGCACGCCTTGCAAGTTCTGTATAAGTGAGATGCTATCGTTTTAGATGCTAGAAACCCTTCACTGATATCCAATATCAGGCTGTATAATACCTCGCCCGTAAGAGGTGGGGGAACCGAGGATGAGCAATTCAAACCTCGAAGAACAGCTACTACCCTAGCCCATATGAGGAGCCAGCAAGATGCTATTATTCGCAAATGGGCTGTTATGTGGCGCTCCATAACGCTGTCGGCTCTGGATCAGACATATTTGCCTTATTCTAGTTATATACGCTATTTGGACCTGGAAGATCTAGGTTACCTTCTTGGCCAGGCGTACATTAAAAAGAACAGGGAGTAGGTCAGCTCTGTCGCTAAAGGACAGTTCTTGTATCTCTGACCGGTATAGAGCGTTCTATACTCCGGAACTCGACGATTTTTTGTCTCAAGGCTATGAGATTAAGGGAAACAAGCGGCTTCGTTCCTCTTCCAAGTTTGACCACGAACACGCGTTGGCGAAAATGGGCTCGGGTCAGTTCAAACCTGTGCTTTGAACTTGTGCCATTCATGTCTAGATTACATGATAAGGCTCTAGAGGGCAATGAGCTAATAATCCAAAAGCAATTGTCAAGAGGTCGACGTCAATAAGGGGGATGTCTTGCAATGGTAGGTTGTGTGATAGTAATCCGGCGAAGTTCGAAGGTATCTAACTAGGTGTTTAGTCCAACCTTCCCTGTTAGCTGAATTTCTTCAACAACTACCTCTTCTGCAAACATTAACAATCTGGTCTGGTACTTCTCTTACGGATCATGCTGGTGACAAAATTCATATCTACTGCCCAGATCTCAAACAAATCACGATATACTCATGGTACGATACTGTATGATGTCCCTAGACTAACACTGCTTACCAGCATCCACTACCAGGCAGGACCAACCGTCCAAGAACGCGGAGGTAGATTCTGAACAGTTTCTAAATGAGCTACGACCTAATACCCTGGAGTATTTCGAATTATTGAGCTACTCCCACTTAGGACCTCGGTCGATCAGGGCCATGGGTTCGCACTTGGGCTCACTGATAGAACTCAAACTTACAAGCCTCACAATTGGGGCAATAGCTGAGCTACCCTCACTTAACTCACCACCGGCATTGAAGGTATTGGTCTTAACAGACTCAGTTGGAACGCCTCCTGATGAACGGTTCTACGAAGTTCTCGGTCGAGTCGCCGAATGGATACGGAGCTGTAAAGCTCTAAGGCATCTAGAGCTCCGCCGATTCATGGATGACGCTCTTCTACTATCCAAAGTCCTTCCTGATGAGAATATTCACTTGTCTAGTCTTTCTCTAACAGACTATGGTATATATGCAGCCCATGCCTTTCATGAAGCTCTTTCGCACCAGCCAACGCTGCAGGGTCTCTATCTCAAGGGCGAAGGAAGCGAAATTCCTGAGTTCAACGAACTACTCGTCCAGGCCATCGTTCCACTGAAAAACCTACGCGAGCTTGAACTCAAAGGTGTTTCCGACGGTTTCACAGCCGAACATCTCATGACGCTCACACCATTCCTTCCCCATCTCGAAAGGTTATGGGTCGGCGGTGACTGGTTATGCGACGACGCATTGGAAGCTTTTTTCTGCTTATCACGACTCAAGAGCCTCGTTATCCACGCCTTCGCCCAATTTACAGTTCAGGGTCTACTCAATCTCATCGCTCAAGCAGGGCCGGGTAACAGGGGGCTCAGCCTGTCTATCTTGAGCTCAGCGTATAACACCGATATTAACGAGGAAAACGAAAAGCTGATTCGCGAGGTTCTGAAATCGAAGCTCGATGGATCCTTCGACTTTGCCCTAGCACAAGGTGGGTACCTCACTCGTTTCTTCAGACTTGATCCACTCATGACGACTGACGATCCGTTCCAGAAGAGGAAACCGAAATGGATACCGAGGATGAAATGACGTACGAATAGATTTTGTGGGGAATAGGGAAGCTGACACCTTTTTCTGTTACGTCAAGCCTATCCAAACTCCAAAGTACGTAATCGTACGATTCTAGAATAATGAGGCAAATGGCACTTGATCCAAAATGGTCACCGTTGGGGTACTGACTCCACATTTATATGGGGATCTAGCTATGCCCCATAGCACTATTGCAATTTAGCATCCCTGGTCTGGGCCAAGAACACCAATCTGCTTGTCCACTAGACTAGGTAATAAGTACTCTGGTCATAATTCGGGAGGCTGGGAATGTTTCCGGATTTCCGTTCACTGTCTCCAGAGTCCCTGAGTTTCCAAGTAACGCTGGAGTAACGAGAGAACCTGATAACTAGATATCTGTACGGAGTACTCCGTAAAGCGGAAGCTATCAAGCTAAACATGTATAACCTTTGTCATCTTTAGCAATCTATCTCTACAAGGACAACCTGTATTCATACATAAACCAAACCCTAACTCACAATGCACAGATCTTCACCACCGTCAACACCGAAGCAACCATACCGGTAATATCCTACCCTACCTCCAGAGTTCTAATCCAATCCCCCTAACCTTACGATTCTCATCCACCCACAGCCCCTAATTCCGCCCCCCCAAAAATCTTACCTTAAGCAAAAGAACCTCCACGCCAACACCCCTACCCGTCTCATCAAACACCAAAATCCCCCCATAAGCATTGACTTCAAACCACCTCTCAACCTGATCCTTCTGTACCAGCGCCCTCGCAAAATCGAATAGCTGCTGTTGGCCCGTACTTTCGTTGATGTCGAGACCGCCCTCGTCCCTGATATATGGTCCCATAGGTTTACTGTTCTCAGGGCGGATATAAGGATTTCGGCAGTTAGTGGAGGCGTTAGGTTGAACCGAGCTGAGCCGGGGAGAGAGGGGCATATTTTGGGAGACAAGAGTTAGTACATGGTTATTTGGGAGGGAAGAGAATGATGTTGTCGATGTTGTCGAGGGATATGGAGCTACACAATCATTCCAATGTAAACCGAACCTCACTTCTTCACCATATCCAGCAAACGTCTGTGTAGCTTTTGAGAAGGACTTGGCACATTTTAGCCAAATATATGCCTAAATATCAGATTAGATAGGAGCAGACTTAGTCCATAGCAACAATACTTACTGTGCCGTGAGAAAGACGAGGTTGAGACTTGTCACTCCAAACATGTAGTCTATTCAGTGATAAAGCCCGTAATCCTTGGAGATGGCGATCCCTCACCAAAAACCAATAGACTGAAAAGGGCTGAGTCATTCCTATCCAACTAAAACACATAACTTCCATAGATCAACACCATCAATCCCATATATTTCTACCCAAGTACCATTATACCGACTAACCAATGCAATCCAATTCGAACCCCCACACCCAAATGAAAATAGATACCAAAAAATATGGGAAGAACACACATTCCAATCCAACGCTCCCTCCATCACTCAATATGCCCCCCCAAACCCTCACCCCCAGCAAACTACGTCAGCAGTTCCCTGAATTCTTCGGAACAATGGCATACCACTATATGAACGGACCTCTGCACCCATCAGGGCATACTATCTGCGGACGTACCGTCACGAAAGTGGCGGAGATCCTGGGGTCCGATTGGGTAGGCAGTCTCGTTCATGCTCCTCTCAGTCACTGTCGAGAAGGCGTCTATATCCATCCCATGGAGACGGTCTTGGTGACAAAGGGGACTGGTATTGTGGCTGCAATTCCCTCGGACAGCCTTGTGGACTTTATCACTCTGACAGACCTCGCAAAGAAAGCCGATTACTAGAAGATCAAGAAGGAATGGGCAAAGTTGCCAATGATATCCGTCGTCTCTGAAGGATGCCAGGCAGCTGCAAGGGGCTAAATATCTTTGTAAAAGGAAGGCTTCCATCAAGGAATCAAGAACTACGGCGCCTTCAAAGGTGAAATAGTCCAGGTCATACAGGCCAAAGTACAACAGCAGCTCCTGGACTCTGGCGAAGCATTCCAATACACTGAGCCGGACAAACGTGAGATCAGCCGATCTGGGGATGAATGCGGTGTTGCGCTCATGGATCAATGGTATCTTGACTACGGTGAAACTTTCTGGAAGAACACTACCCTTGAATTCGTGGAGAACTCGGAGGCTTTCAATATATATGTGCAGGAGACTCGCAACGGTCTTAGAGGAGTGCTCAATTGGCTTGATCAATGGGCCTGCACGAGGACATACGGCCTCGGCTACAAAGTGCCTTGGGACTCCCAGTTCCTAGTTGAGAGCTTGAGTGATAGCACACAATATATGGCATATTACACCGTGGCCCACAAGCTAACAGATATCTACGGCCAGGCGCCAGGAACACTGAAAATCCCCAATCATCTCACATTCTTCATCTACATCTACCTCGCCATCTTCCTACTAGAATATTGGCCGAAGGCAATCCGGGAAAACGGCCACCTGCTCCTCAACGACCAAAAATGTCCAAATCCACCGGCAACTTCATGACTCTGGACCGACGAAGCAACCCGGAAATACGGCGAAGATGCAACCCAAATCACCCTCGCAGACGCAGGCGACGGCGTAAACAACACCAACTTCAACGAACAAGTAGCAGACGCAACCATCCTCCGACTGCACGCTCTTCGGGAATGGTGCGAAGAGCAAGTAAAAGCAAACCCCAAACCAAACCCATCCCCCTCAGCAGGACTCACCCTTTTCGACAAGACCTTCGCCAACTACATGAACGTTCTCGCGGCCGAATGTTGTCGCCACTATGCCGATACAAACAAACTACAAACTCGCTCTGAAGGCGGCGCTGTACGACTTCACCTCCACACGCGATTTCTACCGCGAATCGTGCATAGAAGTGGGTCTAACCATGCGCCACAGGCTGGTGCTGCAGTATCTCGAATGGCAGGCCCTTCTTCTGGCCGTCATTGCCCCTCCTGGTCGGAGTAGCGAAGTACTCGGGAGACGAGGAACGATTCATAACGCCACGTTCCCGGTTCCTCGGGCTAATGATCCTGCGCTCACTGTGCAAGGCGAGTATATACGAAGCACTACCTCCCGGATTACGTCGGCGCTTGCCGCGTATGAAAAGAAAGCAAAACGCAAGTCACTCGACTTCGATCCCAAAAAGCCGAGTGCGCTGAACATTCACACTGCATCGACGTTCCCCGCATGGCAGGATGACTCTATCGATATACTACACGAGTGCTTTGATGGGGATAACCAGTTGATAGATAATGATTCGCTGACTCGCCAGGTGCTGGCATTGAGCGAAGCCACGAAGGCAATGCCGTTTGTCCAAACGCTGAAGAAACGGTTCTTGAGTGGCGAGCAACCGGATTCAAACTTTGAACGTAAACTGGTGTTTGATGAGGTTTTGAGTCGGGGACAGGCTCTTTCGGTGTTGAAGAGCGCGACGGGGCTGGTGCGGATTGATATTATCGAAGGAGTGCTTTGGCGGTACCAAGGGTCCCAGCCTTGACCTTTAGAAATATGTAGGAAGTACTATAATGACAAGTCTTGGAGTTATTAAGAATATAGGTTACATGTTCTATATCTAAATTTAAGACGTACTTAGTCCCTGTAAAAATAGTGCTGTAGTAAAAGAGGTGAGTAGGAAGGGATATATGGAGTGTTGATCTATATGTCATCAAAATAGGGAGGGGGGAGGGGCAATGGTATCATGAACTACAAGCGAGAGAAACAAGTAAGCAACGCTAGTCAAGCGTGTATATTGACGAGTCATAAGCAAATAGATACATATTGCATGAAGTTACTAAAGATCTAAAACCCAGCCCTTCTCACGACGCGCTAGAAGATACACATAACTTTTCAAGATACGCAAAGGGTAAGCGATCGGAATTAACTCATATCCATGAGAGTTTAGAGGAACCTATGAACCTGTAAACTGAAAAGATGAAAGACGCAAAAAAAAAAAAGAAAGAAAGAGAAACCGCATAATAGTCTATCGTGACTTCGACGAAACGCCACCCGTAAAGAGTTACAATGGAATCTGAAGAATCGCACGCGAAAAGCAAGGTCTACCGATGCGACAAGGGAATACAAGCTCAATGACTGAGAGCAGATTTTTTACCAACGGCGGCTGCCTCCAAGAGGCGCCGCATTCGAAGCAGTGTAGCTGCCGCCACGGCCGCGGCCACCACCGCGACCACCCCAGCGGCCATAACCACCACGGCCGCCGCCGCCGCCACCGCTGTAGCGGACCATCTCGGCGAGACGGGGGTCAATCTGCTGCTTAGCCTCAGTAAGGATAGTGACCAAGTCACGAGCCTGCTTAGAGTCTAAGGAGAAGATATGTTAGCCATCCTGTCCCAATGAGGATGGTGATTCCGGGGGAAAGGACTTACTGTCAGTTGTGAAGAAAGTGATGGCGGTTCCCTTGGCACCGGCACGACCAGTTCGACCGATACGGTGAACATAGTCTTCCGAGTTGTTGGGATAGTCATAGTTCAGCACATGAGTAATGTCACGAACATCTTCAAACACAAACTTATGTTAGCAAACAGAGCATTAGTCAAAATAGCAACGTGGCTTAGGAGCCCTTTATCAGTCGTGTGAGACTTGATGCATCACTCTCTCGGACTTTTCAAGTCAAGATCCGTTGCGGGTTTACAAGTCCCGGGAATGGCAATAATCGCGGTCCTGGAGTAACCTTGGAATGCAGTTTCAACAAGTCGAAACAGGAGAAAAAAGAAACCCCGTCTCTCTACCGAGAAGAGATGGGGAATCAGAACAGAAGAAATAATACGTCTGCTACACTGCACTGTGAGTCCAAGGTCCTCCTGGCATGAGAACCATTTCAGGAGACCCGACAAAAGCCTGGACGAGGCATATACGCCAACATATGTTGGAAGAGAGTTAAGCACCTGCCATGGTCACACAACCTCAAGACGGGTGAGGGTGCTTTAGAAGGAAGCGGGAAAGGAGAGGGGAAGGGGATAAATCGCAATTTCATCATACCGATACCACGGGAAGCCACATCAGTGGCCACCATGATTGGGCTCTTGCCTGCCTTGAACTCGTTCAAGACCCAATCTCTCTCTTGTTGTTGCTTGTCGCCGTGAATGGCTGCGAGCTAGGTTAGCTAACGGTCCCAGCTGGGGGTTTGTTAAAGGGCAAACTTACAAAGTGCGGGCCATCCATCCTGGCGGAGGAAGCGAGTGATTTCGTCCGCGATACGCTTCGTACCGGTGAAAATAAGACATTTGTTGGCGCGGTTCTCCATGATCTTCTCCAGATGCTTGATCATCTTATCGCGCTTCTCGAAGTCCGACACAACCTCGACAATTTGAGTAATACGGTGGTTAGCAGACAAGTCCATCGAACCGATGTTGACTTGGATGTAGTCGTTGAGGAAATCAGATGCAAGCTGACGCACTTCCTTGGGCCAAGTGGCGGACCACATGCAAGTCTGACGGTCGGGGCGAATCTGGGAGATAATCTTGCGGATCTGTGGTTCGAAACCCATGTCGAGCATGCGATCGGCCTCGTCGAGAACCAGGTAGGTGACACGGCGGAGGTTGGTCCGGCCGGCCTCGAGCATGTCGATGAGACGACCGGGAGTGGCAATGCAAACCTCGACACCACGGCTCAAGTCACGGATCTGGGGTCCCTTGGGGACACCACCGTAGACACAAGTGTTGCGAATGCGAGAAGACTTTCCAAACTTTGTGATTTCGGCCTGGATCTGAACAGCCAATTCACGGGTAGGAGCGAGGACGAGGACGATGGGACCATCGCCGGGAGCCAGAAGAGGCTGAGCGTTGATGTGAACGATGGCCGGAAGACAGTAGGTCAGAGTCTTTCCGGAACCGGTCTCGGCGATACCAACGACGTCGCGACCGGAGAGCGCCATGGGCCATCCCTGAGACTGAATGGCAGTGGGGCGCTCAAACCCCTGAGCCTTGACCTCGCTCAACACATATTGGGGGAAACCAGCCTCGTCGAAGGTCTCAACGGGACGGGGGACGTTCTTCCCTTGAACGGCCATCTCGTGCTTCTTACGGAAATCATCAACATCGCGCTGAGAGCGCTCGGCGACATCAGGGTGTTCCTTGTAGAAAGACTTTTCGAACTTGGGCAGTGCATCCAAATCTACAACGAAGTTAGCACCATGCATCTAGGGAAACTCGGATTTAGCGAGATAACATACCCCACTCTTGCTTCTTTAAGCCAGAGCCCAAGTTGGACATGCGGTCACCACCACCAGGTCCACCAGCACCACCTCTTCCGCCATAGCCGCCACCGTAGCCACCGCCGTAGCTACCACCTCCGTAGCCGTTCGAGCCAGAGTAGCCATTTGAGTATCCGCCACCACCGCCGTTTCTGGAGCTAGATCATAAAACCCAATGTTAGTAAACATTTCCCATTATAGGTGGGTATATTTTGGAGGCGTCATCCTAAGCAAGAGTTGTGTACTCCATCGCTACCCTGCGACTGGGATACAAGGATGGTAACCTCAAAAACACCGTCGTAGGACCGACTAGTTGACAGGACTCCAACATCGTTCATCTTCTAGGATGAAGATCACTCACCGGTAAGAGTCGCGCTGATCGCGCTGATAACCGCCGTTGTAAGACATGGTAAAGCCTTTTTTTTCCGGTGTAAGATCACGAAACGGAAGAAAATAAAGGACTCAAAAGAATGAGGATAGAAAGAAGAAGCGGATGTGAGAACGTTTCTTCTGTAGTAGAAGAAAAAGACGACAAAGGACTGAAAGAAAGTCCAAAGAGAGAGGGAAAAGAGAGATGAGGAAGGGGGTGATAGATAAAGAGAAGAAGTGGAAAAAAAAATAAGTCGCGACGGGGGCGGGAAGGGAAAGAAAAAGTCGAAGGCGAAAAAAGAGGCGAAGGCGCCGCTTTCCCCATTGGTTTAGTGCCAAAGCATGACCAAGGGAATTCGATGGCAAAATCGGAAATTTTCCTTCCTACGGTCCATTCACCGCCCGTCCCCGTGACGAGTCCAGATCGGATCTAGTGACTTTTTCGCCTTCCTGACTAACTAAAACCAAACTTAATCCAAAACGTCTTTTCCTTTAGTGCACTAGTACTTGGTGTTATTGGTGTGAATACTATTAGTCTACTGTACACATGTCTCCTACTGAGATTCTCCCAGTCCCATATCCCAGAACCGGATCTCCAACTCCGTCGCCCGAATGAAGATCTGAATTAGTTCTTCCATTCGGCTCGGGGAAACCTCACGCATGTGGGTTTCCAACAATTCTGTACTCACAATCAGTCATCGTCCTTATCGATAACAGAGCCGAAGTCAGTCACTTACCAGAACCGAGTCGGACGGCCTCCGAGTAGTCTTCCGCAACATAATTTTCAATCCATTTCCAGTATCGGTTGCCCTCCCGGAGAGTGTTTTTCTCTGTATACAATCTCTGGGCAATGGCTCCGTATCCGATCAAACAAGGCGCTAGGGCCATCTGTAAGGCCAGCCAGTCCTCGGACTGACCAACATCAAGAATATATCTACTGTACGCTGTACAGGCTGTAATTCCAAATGGGGGCGCGTCAGCGATCCGACACGGCGAGTGACAAGTGGCGAACAAGGGATCACATACCGATAGTTTCAGGTGTTCTTTCCATCTCTTCCTTGGATAGTCCGAAGGAGGCACAGTAATCCAGATGTAATGCCGTTTCACGCTGGATATGTAGAACAATCTGTGACGACTGAGTGGGTACAAGTCAGGTCAGCCTTTATGGATACCGTTTGGTTTTATACAAGGATGGGAACAGTAACCGGTTCACTTACTGCGGCAATAGACTCCATGCTTTTTGCCTTGTAGGCTGCGAGCGCATTGCTTCGAGCGAACTGGACCTGAAGGCGACACTATCAGTCATACTTCACGGAGTGAATCACGAGAAGACGAGCCCTACTAGGTAGAGGTAATCTTGGACCAGGTACTCCTTGAATCGCTCCACGGGAAGCGTACCGCTACCCAGCCCCAAAACAAATTCATGTTCCGTGAACTGTTTCCAAACGGGGCAGATATCAGGGCGGTCCAGGGCGTACTCTAAGAAACGACCACTTCATGTATTCGTTAGTACTCGCACCACTTGTTGCTTGCCGAGAAATAAATAGACAGTAACGTACGGGGCAAAAGGCAGCGTATACACCGAGTGAAAGTGATTTATCGGGCCGCTTCCCTTTCCTATATCAAAGCTAGTTTTGATTCCCGCCTCAACAAACCGGACAGCACTATGCACTGCTCGCTTCAAATCTTTTCCTAGAGCCAGATTGGCCGCGATGGAAGAAGCAAGAGAGCATCCGGTACCGTGGGTATTCTTAGACTGAAGGAAATCTGTCTCAAAGAGAGCAATATTGTCACCATCGCAAAGCACATCTATAACCGTTGTGGCTTCGTCTTGATTCCGTGCCTTTTTATGGTCTTTCCTGAGGGGTAAATGGCCACCCTTGAGAAGAACAGCCCGAGGCCCTAGGTTCTTGACTTGTTTAACTAGCTGGATCACGTCCGGAAGGCCTTCTGGCTCGGGTACATCCACGCCGGCGTCCTTCAGTAGCAGCTTTGCTTCAGGAATATTAGGTGTGAGAACAGTCGTCAGGGGCAAAAGTTTCGTCCGTAATTTTTCTACAGCTGCTTCAGGTAGTAATTTAGAGCCGCTAGTAGAGATCATCACCTGTGAAGAAGGTTAGTAGCTTAGTCTATTCGAGAAAGTTGAAGTAAGAGTTACAGGATCCAACACCACCGACGGGACCTGGTGGGTCACCAACGTTTCGGCGATAATATCAATTGTCTCTGCAGACGACAGCATTCCTTGGGTCCGTCAGACATACATAAAACTGCAGAGGATAAGGTATTCAATACCAAGTTTCACGGCATCTGCGCCGATGTCTTCTAGACCCGCATTGATTTGTTTCTTGACAAACTCCGCGGGAACAACGAAGATGTCCTGTACGCCCAAGGTGTTCTGGGCAGTCAGACCGGTGGTCGCAGTGAGAGCATAACAGCCATGGGCGGCCAGAACCCGCTGATCAGCCTCTAGACCACTAGATATGCATTGGATAGTTTAGTTTGACTGCTGTGTGGGCTGGCGAGAATGAGTAACGTACGCGCCACCTGAGCTGTCGGAGCCTGCGATTACCAGGACCCGCTTCACCGACATGATGAGGAAACTAAACTTTGAATGATTTCCTAATGGATTAAATTGGATAACCCACCGATGGGGGAATTAACAAGGGAGAATGTGTAGTAATTAAACTGGTTCAACAGCTGCGGAAGTGCGGCAAATGTGATGTTTTTTGGCGGGGAGTGTGGGGCATTATTTTATTTGATATAAATAAATATATATTAATAAACCTAAGTATTCATTTTACTTCTCGTATGTATTGATTCAATCGATATGCTTCTAGGTAATCTTCATTCCTTCATCCCAAACATAAAACCCAGTGGTAAGACTATATACAGATGCTATCCAAATTAATGTCCCTCGCCTGAAACTCCTATGGTAACATAAACCGGAACAGACTATCCATTTCAACCCATTGTCGTCCGCACTTCTTCAAGTATGCGTCCACCACGCCTTTAATAGTCTCGAACCGTGCGCGATTAAACTCAACCAGAGCAGCAACACTGTCTTTCTTTTCTCCACTAGTGTCTTTCTCAGCGGCGGCCCGCGCCTTATCCACATCCCAGAGCCCGGCAAAGTACAACAATTGGTTGTAGAGTTGCTTCTCCGAGTACTCATATGTCATCCGACCAAGGCAGCCTTCAGCGTGGCCTCGGGGTCCCAGGCACCTATGCCCGTATACACTGATCTGCCGCGTTCGGTTGCCGCAGGCAGAATCGTCGCAGACAAGCCAGCCCTCGTAATACTTGGAGGTCTGGGCCCGAATCTGGCTCTCCAGCTGGGCGATGATCGTCAAAACAGAGAACTGTTTCTGACAGGCTTTATTCGCACAGACGAGGCCGTTAGAGTTGCACATGTGGGATGATGCAGCAAGCCCTTCGAAGACCGACTTCTCTTTGCAGAACCGACAGGTCAGCGTAAGTCGTGCGGCGTTTTCAAATCGGACAGAATCCGGAATCTGTGACTCCAGTGGGAAAATATCCGCGTTCTGCTGGTTGCCACTGCTAGAACTATTAATTTGATACTTGCGAACATCCAGACCCAAACATTCGGCCAAGCGAACCGCATCAGTTCCGGGAATCGGGGCACAGAGACGCTCAATAGGAGGGAAGATCTGCTTCAAAAGGTAAAACTCAATGTCAGGCTTGAGCCCTGATTCAGACTTCATCACATCGGGAAGCGTGTACGAGCGCTTTGCTGGCGGAAGAGACGATGTTTCGGAATCTCCAGTCGTCACAATGTATGAGATCACATCGTTGGGCCGAACTGATTTGCCGCGGGCAAGCTCTCGTAGGGCAACTTGAACGGGAGGCATCGTCTCTTTATTAGGATATTCTTCAGGGCGTTTCGAGAGTTTCTGCGGGATACAGTTAGCGCACTGTTCACTAAAATTCGGTGGCAGTGACCTACAGTATAGATCACATATTTCTGGACAGGAATGGCGAACTCCCGCATTTTGCCTGCCAAGTCGCGCAGATAGTCATGAACCCGGTTGAGGACGATCTCTTGGTCTTCCCCAGAGAGAACTTCGTTCAAGAGTCTTTGGGACACTTCCTTTGAGAGGGCGCAATATTCACGGCGCTTCATATCCAATCCCTTTACCTCCAACTTGTCCACATACTTGCCATCCACTTCTGTCATGTTCACAGCGGCATATTTCTTTTTGGCATGTAATAGCAGGCGACGGAAGATATTATCGATATCAATTTCCAAAAGCCGGTATCGTTCATTCACAGATTTCTTGAACTCCTCTCCAACCTTCAGCGCGTCGCTAAGCGTGTCCATGTTCGTGTTGATCATGACAGAATCCGTATCACCATAGATGACCCTCAGCTGCTTTGATTCTGCCAATTCCTTGGTACTCCTAAGAATTTCACGACCCTTGAAGGTGGTGAGCATGGCCAGGGGGCGAGCGTAGAAGCGACTTTGCGTGTAACCCAAGCATCCGTACATAGAGTTAGCGGTCAGTTTGAAAGCCAATTGTTTCGTATCCCACAGCGCAAGCTGTTCAGGTGTTGCGCGTTTGTCTTTCATTAGCTTTTTCACCTCTCGTCGACGACCAACGAGAGTGGAAATAATCCGTGGGAGAATTCCCTGTTCCTGATCAGCGGAAGGAACCTCAGGCACTTTCTCGTCATTCTCATTTTCAGACTGCAATTCATGTCAGCGTGCGTAAGAGGCATCATCTGGAGGTAATGCTTACAGTTGCAGTCCGCTCCACAGTGGTAAAGCAAATATTGTATTCCTGGATGATACTCGGGTACAAACTGTTGAAGTCCATTACGAGGATGAATCGATCGTAGAGACCTTTTTCGGGTTCGAAAACAAGACCACCCTTGTACTTGTCTTTTTTCTTCTTATCTGTGGTATCATCCTCATCGCCGTCCTGGAGCTTCTCTTCCGCTTTTTGTAACTTGGAAGAATACTTATCCGGGCATATATACTTGTTCCGATGAAACTCATGGAGTAGGATATACTCGTTACGCTCCGCTCGGGTACCACTGAGGGTTCGTGCCCAGGAATTACCGGCAATATTGGTGAGGACTTTGGTCAAGGACAGCATTTGAAGTCGCAGGACCAGTGCGGCAATGAAGTAAGTGTCAGTATCGCAATGGTTCACATAATTCATCAGGCCATCTTTGGTGGTAGCCCAAGTCTTCAGTGCAGCTTCGCTGTCCAGTTCCTGTCGTGTATTGCCGGGTCCAAGATAGAGATTGCACATTTCCGTCAGACTCCATGATTGGCATTTCATCATGAGGGACTATTCTTTGTTAGCACAACGTACTACCACTGTTCAAAAGATGACGAACTCACCTTGCCCATGTCGTTGGCCACGTCACACATTAGTCTTCCTGCAATGAGATGTCTCTCGGCGAAGAATCCACCGCCCCTGTTAAAATTCTTGGGCCAGTCTCCACGCTTCAATCGACCCAGTCGATGCCATCCGGGGGTCTTCTTTTCCTTCAATCTGTTGAGCAAGATACTAAGGTCGACTTCTTGGAGCTGGTGTCCCATCAGAACATCAGGGTCCATCTTCTCGAACAGTGCCAGGAATTTACTGAGTAAGAATTGCTCGCTCCTCTCCAAGATATAAGTGCCTCGTTGCTTCTTGGTCTCTGCTTCAAAACCTACGGGGTATGAAGAGCCGACAGGCCGCATCACCGTGAACGTCTTGCAGGGAAGTCTCTCTGGAGGGGTCGTGTCCGTGAGGGAAATATTCTCGTACACTCGAGCGCTCGCCACTAAGATTTCCTGTTTGTTTTCTTTCACGTTCAGTTGGGTCTTGAAGGCTAGACTCATCAAAGTGAACGGGGGTGGCTCTAGGTTCTCAGAATCGGGCACTGGGGAAATAAGCGCCGGTTTAGAGACCTGGCATTCAAATTTGCACCAAGATGCATTGTTAACAGCAGAGAAGTCTGCTTCCTCAAACTTGAGCCAACAGGGTCCCATGATGTTCTTCCAGAGAACGAACTGCTCGAATAAGGAAGTGTTGGTACCGAAGACGTTAGAGAAGGTCTCTCCCTTCACATCCATGGGCAACGCAGGCTTATCATACGGGTATAGCAACTTCAAGTAATCGGCCTCCTTGGGAATGCCGGGCATCTCAAATGCGTACTGTCGAGTGCATTCTTTGATCTTATGCATCCCAACTTTGAGTTTTGACATCATGCCGTCAACTTCCTTATAGACGTCTTCCATGTCCACTTCTTCGTCCGTCTCCCGGCCATGTTTATGTCTATGTTCCCGGGGAAGGAAATAGAGCTTTCGCAGAATGTTGTCGATCTTAACGAATGCACTAGCGTAGTTGCCAGTCTGCTTATTTTTCACTTTTCCGAATAAGCAAAGACTGCCATTGACTTCCGTGAAGTCTATCCAGAACATGCGCAAGCTTCCATCTTCCTCCACGACATCCTGCGCACGTAGTTTTCCGAACATCCGCGTTTCTGACGCTGGGCTACTAAGAACATTTAACTTGTTCCTCACATCATTCCACGAAGCATCTACAATGTCTGCCACAGCCTTCACTGGAGATGAGTTCGCGGGAGTAGAATACAGTTCTTTCTTGATTTTCGGTGGTGGCCGGCTTCCAGTCATGTTGACACTTGAGGCCTTGGCCTCATGCTGGCCGGTAGCCTCTGCGATTTCCATCAAGTCGTTGTCTTCATCGTCGTCAAACTCCTCTGTCTTCACCGGAATGGCCGATTTCCGCGCTACTGCTTTGGTCACGGGGGATGATGGCATGGGATCGCTCATTGGAACGTCATCGTCGTCTGCCGTTGGAAGAGGTCCGTCGTCGTTATCCAGATCCAAGTCCGGGTTCTGGCCAACTGGCGACATCGGATCACTATTCTCATCCCTCTTCTCTTTCTTCTCTAGACGCGGTCTATGGGATAAAGGAGGGGAAAGGATTCGAACTTTGCGTCGAGCTTCGGATTTAATCACATTCTGCGTTGGAACATGATTTGAGACGACATTGGTATCAACTTCTCCGAGAAGATCGGCCATGAATGCGTCATCCTCGGCAGAGGCGACTGGCTAAACGAACAATCAGACACGGACCCTCGAGATTAGTTTCGGTATGCTGTGAGGTCGCACTTACTTTAGGCTTCGGGGCCGAGGTAGTAGCTCCCTTGTTAAAATACTTTGAAATTCCATTATTTATCTTCTCCTTTCTCTGCTTCTCTTCCTCGCGCTTCCTCTTCGCAGCCTTGCTATTCGCAGGCAATTCGCCGTCGTCGCTTTCGCTGTCATAGAAATCTACCGTACGTTCATTCCAAACCTCTCGGCCGTCATCGGCATACCCCTCGCCATTATCATCAACAACGAAGTCATCCTCGTCCAGGCGATTCCGAATAATCTTCTTATAGCCTTCGTCGTCAACCTCCTCGTAGATGTCTCCCTGTTCTTCAACCTCATAGGTCGACAGACGTTTCTTTCCTGCAGCACGCAAAGCGCGCAATTCTGCCAACTTAGCTCGGGCAGAAGCCATGGCGCCAGAATTATAGAACCCTAATGATTGGCGCCCATTAATCGTTATTCTCGGTGTATTCAGTTGAATTTCGGGTAGATGAATTGAGGAAAGGGTTTCAAGCGGGCAACGCGGAGACTACGCGTGTCGCGACATCAAACGCGCTTCACCGCCCAATCGCCGTAAAGTGGTTGTCCAGTTACCATTTGCGGTTAGTTCCGTCTCCAAGCTATTCTCATACTCATTACTTTCATACTATACACATACATATATCCCAACCCAAGCATCCGGATCAAACGAACACACTATCAACGACCTAGGCTCAGAAAACCGGGGCACTAAATCCATACAAGCCAATATGTCCTCCTCCATCAATCTCCCAGGCGACAGATAAACATTCACTTTCCCATAAGTCTCATCCAACACATCCAAATCCAGATGCACAAGAGCAGGCCAAAATACGACCTCTTCTCCAAGTGCGTCTTCAAGGAAGCCGCAAAGTCCACCTTCCTCTCTGTTTGCCCCCCAAACAGCCTACATACCGGCATCAATCACCGGCTGTCGCTGCACACCTAACTGATCTCGTAGCCCGCAGTAAATAAATCGACCATCGTAGCTAAACGGTGTAAAATTCGGCACGGTTCCCATTAATGTCTTTCACGATACACCACGGAGCATTGACAGGCCCATTGCATCGAAGTACTCGTTCTCGTTCACATCGGGCAAGTCCAGGTCATCGTGGGCGTCGAAATATATGAACGATAGAGCTTGAGCCTTCCGTCCGCAGGCCATGGCTGCGCTGGACATGCAATTCCCCGCCAAGATGAGCAGGAATGTGTTGTTGTCCATGGCTTCCGTTACGGCGGATGAGATTCGGCGAGAACGATCTCGAAGCTCCGGCCGATTTCGCCTTCGAAGTTGTCTACGGGAGGGATTTCATGGACGCGGATTTGTAGGCCCTGTTCTTTGAGGGTGGGAGGAGGCCAAGGGATTGGATGCTGCGGGGGCCGTTGCCTATGCGGTGGTCGCGGAGGCCGGAGTGGTAAGGGGAGATGATGAGATGATCCGAGTTAGGGTGTTGCCGGGCATTTTCCTTTCTCTCACTTTCTCTCTCATTTTCTCTGTATTGATTCACTCCTTTCGAGTAGTGTAGGTAGTTCGGTAGAGTTGGGATTTTATTCTTGAAGTAGTTTTCCCGGGTATCCGATGTTGTTAGGGTGTCCCTTATAGATTTACCCCAATCCCCGAGATCAATGGTGGGAGGTTTCTTCAATCTTCTGGAATCAGCAAAGGGTGTACTATCAAGTGTATGCTCAGAAAGAAAATTTTGTCTCCCAGAGAAGATAGTGTACGTACGTTGAGGAAGGCCATTGAGGAACCCGAGCATGTTCCCCAAAGATATTGGAGCCAATAACCTGAACCCGTAGGGACAACCAAGGCCGCAAGGCACAGCTAGATATGTTCGAGAGGATGACTCTACCTACATTTTGGCAAAGGCTTCATATTAACCGGAGTGATAAACCGCCACAAAAACATGAACGTGGGCACTGATAATATCGGGTTCATCGGCCTGGGCGCTATGGGAAAGCCGATGGCCAAGCAGCTGGCCTTCAAGCTCCCCAAAAGTACACGGCCATATGTCTATGATGTTGTGGAAGAGGCTATGAATGATATAGTGTCCAAATATACCGGCAAAGTGGTAGCCGGATCCTCACCGATGGATGTCGCGGAGCACCCAGTAAGTCGTTTTGAGATCTACTATGATACCGATATCAAACTACTTACACATCATCAATCATGTTTTCAATGGTACCTGAGGGCACACATACCCGATCTGTATACCTAGATGAAGAAAGGGGTGTGTGCTCCGCAGGTTCTCTCGAAGACCGACTCATGGTCGACTGTTCAACAATCGACACAGCCACGAGCCTCGCAGTGAAAGAGTACATAGCCATGCACCATCCCAGCACATCCTCCTATGATGCCCAGTGAGTGGTGGTGTCCTTGGTGCGGAGAAAGGCATCATCGCTTTCTTCCTAGGGAGCGGAGCGCAAAGACAGATCCTAACATAGAGAGTTTGTCTCCCCTCCTGCACTTAATGGGAAAGCAAGTCATCGCCTGCGGAAAGCTCTGCAACAACTATCTTTCGGGCCTAATTGCAATCGCGAGTTCTGAAGCGTTGAGCATCGGCATCCAAGCCTTCCTGGATCCCCGTGTTCTCTCGACTGTGTTTGCAGCTAGTACAGCGCAGAATCCCATCTGTGATGGATTTAACCCTTGTCCTGGTGTTGTTCCGAATGCGCCATCAAGCCACAGCTATCGCAGCGGATTCAAAGTTCAGCTCATGAAGGACTTTACATTAGTGGTTTCTACAGCGCAGCAGGTGGGAGCGCGTTTGACGCTCGGAGAGGCTGGGTTAAGGACGTATGAGGCTGCATCGGAGGATGCTTTTTCAACCTTCGCAGTATAGCATTCAGCTTGCCTTCTCCACTCATGGTAACAGATATACAGCTCCAGCTACCATGCACCGAGTTAGAATAGAAAGCCCCTGATGCTGAGGCCTGGGGCCATTGTTATCCAAAGATCTGATAAGCCGCCCCTTTTCAGAGCTGTATCACAGACCTTCTCTGGGAAACCAAAGCCTCGCGTATCTGCTCATCCCTTGGGAGCCATGTCTTAATCCATGCACTCCTCCACGTATCTTCTCTATTCAACATGCCACAAGGCTTCAGGGCATGGAGGGCGAGATTGCCCCAGCATCATCTCACTCGGTGCGGCACGCATTAAAGAAGTGGCAAAGCACTTGGGAGCTGAACCCGGTGTCGTCCCTCAGTCCCCTAGATAAGCATGGCCCCGTCGCATTCAACTCGAAGGTATGACGACTTCATATGTAATCTGAAGCTCAATCATTAGAGACTAACTTCGTCATGTACAGGCTGTATTCCACCTAGCTTGCATCCGCTTGGCCATAGACATTGGTCCAGGTCGCTCACCCCTTGAACAAGACCTTGGTCACATCGCTCGGAGACTAAAGGACAGCTCAGGTCTGCAAAGAGGCTCAATGCTTACTCTTGCAGCGAGGCATGCGATACGTAAAATCCCCTGGCAGATTCCTATGATAGCCTCTGATGCCATATGTTTTCACAGTAGGCTGACACTTCATCCCCAAAGATCGCAGCACTGTGTCCACCCATGAAAATGGCGTGTATTTCGATGGTCGCGCCCCAAGCTGCTCGATTATGCATGCCGTCTGCTCCCTGGAATATGCACATATTGTCAACAATGGAATAAACAGCAAGAGTCCACGTACTGTTCCACAGAGATATCAATGTAATCCTATAATTGTCTTTTACAGCTTAACGGGGAAGTGAACCCTTCGTCTAAACCACAACCTGTTAAGTATTTGGCCTCACAGCTTGCAGAAGTTTAAGGACAAGGAACGTGCATTTCTATGAGTGACCATATCACATCATAATATTCACAACTACCAAAGGAAAAGCAACGAAATTAGGAGAATAATCAGGCTTTGCTCTATCATGAGTACCGCCTGTGATGAACTCCGTATATATATTCCTGCTCTCTATTAGTGATACAGTCGACTACTCTTTAACAATGATTGCGAAGCAATCGTATTATAAGTTGGCTATCCAAATGTGATACTCAGTAGCATGTCTTACTTCTTATCTTGTGGCCTTCTTTGTTGGACTACTTTGCATGGCCGTTGTTGCTTAAACTTCGTTTGCTGCCTTCAGATGCATCTACGGCTCACGCTGACACTGGTTTTGTCCCTGCCAATCAGATCGATGCTTAAGCCACTGAATTAGCCCGTTCTCCAAAGCTCCCTCGTCATAGTAAAATCAAAGTGATAGAAAATCAAGGTAAGCAGCACACTGCTGAATAGAATCACCGTATACGGAGCCCCTGAGGTGGCTGCATGGTAACAGGGACGCTGGTGCGGAAGTAGTGTTTGTATACCGGAGAATTCTAGCACGATTTCACATTTGACGGAAGATATTTCTCCGTCCCTGTTCTCTAAATAATAAACGTCCGAGTTAATTGACTCGTGCGGTACCAGGATGCTGAAAAGTGTAACTTTGTGATCAGTCACGGATCAATTGATGCGAACATCTGTTCGATGCACTGATTTCCCATTCTATCGGGTCTTAGCGTAGCAGCAAAGAGCGAAGGATGGAGTGTGCACCGCACTGTTTTCTCCGAAGAATAACCAGGCCATCGTCCTACTTAAGCCCCACGATGCTTTCGGAACGACCACCCGGAATTCCGTAGAATGCAATTCGCATTTCCGGATACTGGATCGGAAGGGCGTGCCGATCCCTTAGCGACAGAGCAAAAAGCCTTATCCAGCCTTCTGGAGATCGGAGGCTCAACTGTGGGGAGTTAGTACTATGTAGCGTATGTACGGAGTCTTTTACTAAAATCTGTAGTGTGGCCGAGATCATCGCGTGCTTTCGTAGTTAATGTTCTGTGGAGAACAAGAAGCAGGTAGCTTCCAGGCGCTGTCTTGCGGAAATGTGAACTTCGGAGAAGGACACCCAAAAACAAGGGGCCACGAATTATTGATATGAGTACGGAGTACCATAAGGAGATTATTCTCGATATAGGAGGAGTCATTTGCCGGCTGAAGGTGAATCGTTGTAATGCTATCTATTTTGCGGCTTTATCCGATCACGGAATTCATATCAAGTACCTGAAACAGTCCCATACTCCGAAGTAGTCATACAGCTCCTTCCATGAACATGAATATGGCCCGATGTCCGTTTCTTCTTACCCACTCTGTAAAGTCAATCCTAACTAGGTTAGTCGCAAGGTGTACTAATCCACGTTGCTATAGCTGTAACTTGTCGCGCGGAAAGACTACAGACAAAAGGCCGTTAATTGTTTGGTGGGTCAGTCAAGGCAGTTGTCGATGCGTGTTTATAAAGATAGATATGATCACGCAAGTTAGATGAATCTCCTCGGAGTTGTAGGATGTCGAAACACTAGCAGTCTGATATAAGAGGACACTTGTCAAATGATAACCGTAATTGAAAAATATATCGGCAGAAACCCCCCTATTAAAAAGTGTCTTATCATCGGCTTCGTAGCCTTGTGCATATCTATCGTACAGTACATACATACATAGGTCTTGATCAAAGAAGGTATGTAAATTGGGTGTTATTACGGTAGCGCGATATCAAATTACAGGCGTCGAAGCATATGCAGATTTAGGGATATGATTCTTTCCAGAAATAGCTAGTGGTGTCCCAAAGTCAATTGGCAGTGGCTCAAATGGTTAGGTGGGGGCTGGCGCACAATTCCAGTACGGGTTAGACATAAACCTAGAATTTAATTCAATGCGCGGAAGTCGGGAATTCCGCTGGTAAAATCGCGAATGGACGGTCATTGGACAATAATCCAGAACTAACGTAATAAGAAATGACACCAGTATTCACTCTATACAAGAGACAAGATAAGCGCTGCGAGGCCTTTCCTCCCCGAAATAATCTGCTTGCAGAAAGCACATCATTTCATTTCGTTTCATTTTATTTTGATCACTAATGACAGAAAAGGTAGAGCAGTCTCGGGCGATATCCCTCACTAACTTCTACTGAAATGATATCTGGATGATGCCATGTGCAGAATTTGTAAGGGCTAACCCTCAAAAAGGAAAATCATTCGGGATTCCAGGTTCCTCGAAGGAGAAAGGACCCACCAAGAAATATCATGATGGTTAATTCTCGGAGCAAGCACCGACACTCCCCCCACGGAGAACTAAAGGAGACAAAGGTGGTGGAGCTTTGGATAGCGTCGGGTAATGGATCTCGCTCTCGATGCCGTCGATTGTTTGCGTAAACCGCAAGTGATAACTGCAGAAGCAAATCATCCATCTTAGGGCTCACAGCATTCTGGTGTTGACGGTTGAGATGTTACATGTTCCATGCATGTTCTACGGCAGCTCTAAGCGTTAAAGTCAAGTTGCCTGGACACCTAAGGTGTCTAGGCACAGACGTGAGGTGTTGGTTGGTTGGGTGAGACAAACTTTCCGGTATCCCACCTGTGGGCCAATTATTCGGCGATGTCCTAACTCCTAAAGGACTGGAACTCCCCACTGGTTAATCCTCAATTACCCTCTCAGTAGGAGGACGGAACACGGAGGACTCCGCTTTGTGTAAATTAAATTCCAAGAGAATTATCGTGTTTTTATTTATTTCATTCCTCTTGTATTATTGTTATCATCATTTTTCCCTCTAACTTTTCCTTTTGCTCTGTGGTCAAAATGCCTGGTTGGGGACCTGTAGAGTATTTTTGTCTTCTGTTTTGCTTATGGGTGCAACCATCGGAATAGCATTTACCGAGCACAGAGGATGTAAGTAGCATGCACTGTACTGCACATACAAAGGGCGTACATGCATCTGTAAATATTTTTAGTGCTTTTACCACAATACTACCTAGCTATCAATTTTGCCTTGGAGATGTAATCAGTGTTCACTGGTTCAGTCACATTGTCCTCGGATTTTGGCTTTTGAGTTAGGAGCGGAAATCAAGGCCGTCTTTCTTAAAATAATAACACTAATAACCATAACCATGGTGCTATTCTAAATCCTATACTCCACAGAACTAAAGCCGGAGGTGTGAACCGCAAGAGCAGTGTTATTGACCTGCCGTGTACCCTAACAAGAATTTCTGACGGGATTGCACTTTCTTCCAATCGGTACTCCGCACAGGGCAGATTCCTCGGCAAAATGTTGGCACAATTTCGCTGTTAATATTCGACTTAGACTCAGGTAATATACGGCTTTTCCAGTCAACCTATGATAACAGCACATCCTGTGCGAGAATGGAGTATTTGACTCAGTTGTCCAATAGAATAAATTCAAAACCCCGCCTTTATTGAATAAAGTCAGCTGCCAGGTATTATCTTAGGTAGTGTTGCAGTCGGAAAAAGGGGGCAAAAGGAAAACCAAAAAGGAAAAAAGAAAGCGAAATAATGGGTACATACATCCTAATTAATACGTATGATCCAGTGATTTTATTTAAATTTTATCTTTATTTTAATTCCCCCCCGCCCCTTTTTTTTTTTTTTTTGAATATTCTCAGCTTAACCAATTACGCGATAGAAATAGTTGCGATGCTTTCTTTTACACAGTACAGCTCACCTTTGTGGCAGAAAACGTAGAGGTTTCTTCTATGGCTGTCATCTGTGACTTTATACTCCGTACTAGATTCGAGATATGAGCCGTTAGTTAGTGTCCCGCCTACAGCTTGAGGGCAAGGTACTAAGGCAAAACCTACAGAGTAAGTACAGCAGCCAAACAGCTCCATTAATCCACGTGGAGAAAGCACCAAAATAGCCTGGACACGGACGCGATAGCACTATCCCTAGGTAGCCTACCCTGGTAGCACTATTATAGTACTACTAAGGCATTGACAGACCTCCAAAGAAATTGAGGCAGGTTAAGTGTCTACAGTACAGACAAGAAAATTGAAAACGGAAAATAAGCAAGGATAGATAGAAAAACATCCACTGCAACCGATTGACAACAGGAAACATGATGCACATTTTTCTACATCCTAGCCGGAACTGCAGGTCAACCCCTTTCATGTGCATATAGTTTCCATCCCATAATAATAATAAAAAAATTTACTAGGGGCGGACAAGTTGAGCTGTGTTGTCAGTGTGGGCCTCCCTGGTTGTATGTAATACCTGAACAATACCAGCGTGACGGCTACTACTACTCCATTATCTCATCCTACTCCATTTGTCGGATACGCGATGTCATCTTGGTGATTCCGTGATCTTAGGGCTTTTTTGTCAGCTGTCACTGACACACTACTTCGCTCGTCGCTACTACCTTATAACTAGAAAGGCCATTGTTGATTGGTTTCCCTAAAACATGGCAGGTGTGGATTACCTATTACGAGGTAGTACTGATATGTAAAAAGGGGGTTGGCTAACCCGGATCGACAGTCATCAGCAACCTATGGTCATCGGCCAGCATCCGAAACAACTTACGGGGGCATCAAGAAGAACTACCTAGGTATAGCACTATGATGATTCTGGTAGTATTACCCCATACATCCGGGGGAACCAAGGGGCTTAAATCCGTAATTTCGTCAATATAAGAAATTAGTGTTCGACAAGTTAATGTAAAAATAATCAATCCTTTCAATGAAGTATAGGTATGTCTGATAACATAAGGAAACAGGACGTAACCTAAACCGTCAGTACTTTGGAGACAATCCCTCGCGTGTGCAAGCGTGCCAACGGGGAACGGGGAGTGCCTGTACTCCATATTGATATCAGTTATTACTTACTCCAAAGCATCTATTGATTTCTACGACCCACCTCGGTGCTCATATCGCATGATTGGTATCATCACTCGAGCGTGGGACGCATTGAGTAAATTTCATGGAAATAGCATGAGAAGAAAGAACGGAAAAAGAAAAAAAAGGGTACATAATGAATAATAGTAACAATAATATACCTAACATAATCTCGACAGCAGTTATCAAGCTTTAGTACCAACCAGGTGTCTCTTGATTCCTTCCCTGGCCTTCACCGGCAGTGGATGTTGTTTGGGTTCCGCCTGCGCGGGGTACGACCCCATTCCTGACGCCAATCAACACCCTCCTGTCTGGCCACCCAGAGGAGAACTTTTTCCCAGATCGGAGCCGTGCATTGCTCGCATTCCTATTTTCTCCTACCTTGCGCATGGCCTTCCTATCAAGAACAACTTCCCGAGGATCTTGCAATTACTTATTTATTTATGTATTTATTTTTATTTTTATTTTTAATTTTTGACATTTTGACATTTTTTATTTTATCATCTTTTTGTTCCTTGGGCAATTGCGGTTGATGTCGTTGAATAGGAAGTTTAGAGGTGTGATTTCTAATGTTATTCCGCTACTATGTATGCGCTTTATAGTGGGCAAGGTAGTATCCGATCTACGATAGTAGTACTATCTCCGTTTCTCTTGCATACTGGCTATCTTGCTTGGACAATTGACTCGTCTCTTTTCTTCGCTGGTAACCTATTGGAATCTTGTTCCCTCATAGTTGATGATTGATTGTGAACGAGATTGAATTCAATCGGACATCTTTTTGGTCACTGTTGGTTAATATCTTGGTATTCCATTGATACTTAACTACCTACCTTGGATAAAAAGATATAGATCTACTACACTAAATAATCATTACCTAAGGCATATCTTGATACCAAGTGCGTTGCAAAAGTACGTCGTGGTTACGAGGATGTGGTAATAATTATGACCCTTCTTGTACACCTGACTTCATTTAGCGTTGCAGGCGCTGAGGTCATAATCGACCTATCAGTTTGTTTATGTATCCTCTTTCACTTGACAGATACTACCTATGTAGATAGATATTCTACTATACTCGATATTAGCCGAAGGCCTCTGTCTTCGAAATTTTCTCGAAATCATCCTCTTGCTGAGGCCTGAAATACATATCCATTAGCGCGCAGGCTGTTGTTGAAGGTTGAAACCTAATGTCCGATGGCGTGAATTCTCCCTTGACCTCCATTGGGCTTCTTAACCCTCGTGTTCTCCACTGACGCGTTCCTGACTTGCGCAGTGAAAGGTACTAGCTTGTACCGGGTTACACAGCCAATACAGATGATATATTACAGGATCGCAGGTGCAAGAGAAGGACAATAAGAGATCAAGAGATCAGATGCAACGAAACTTGGGGAGAGGTTACGACCTTGGAACACAGAGAACACGCATCTTTTAATGCGAATGATTGACGACCAGTCATCGTAAAGGTCGAGAATTGACTCCACCGAAGTTGCGCTTCTCATTGGCACATCTCCAATCATACTTCCGTTAGGATCTTTCGTGCCCCCTCTCCTCTGGCAGACCTGTAAGTAGAGGTACTGGTAAGAGTAGCACAATTGGGAGTGACAGTACAGTATCTTTCCTCGTTCTCCTTTTTTCCCACCAGTGATTGTTGTTGTTATTATTTATTTTATTTCTCATCTTGTTCCCCCCCTTCCACAGCATCAACTCACTTCTCTAACCGAGAGAACAGAGCTATCACCGGCATCAACCGCTTGTAGGATCTGTTTTGACTTGCCTCGAGTGTTATTGGCTATTCTATTTGAGATATAATCTAACGCCACTTATTCCCATTTTTTTTTTTCTTTTTTACTTTTCTTCCCCCTAGGACCGTCTGGTTCTGGGATTTTCCCTCCGTGGACCCTGCACGCGCTAGATGGTCGTTTCCCCCGACCTGCGCTACACCTTCTTTATCACTAGCCCGGCGCTATCGCGGCCTCCTATTCCCAGACTGTCCAAGCCGTTCCTCGGGCACGCCATTCCTAGCCCCATCTTCATTTGTGTTCACTAAGACCTTGATACCTACCCACGCTTCCCGAACGTTGGCTAGCGATCTTGGTTTAGTATCCACGGGTGCATACGCTAGGTTCACCAGGTCCTCCCTACAGCCAAACTCGACAAGCACCGTCCGTCCCGAATTGCGGGTAGACTATTCAAGCTCTAAAAATCCCCCCTTAACTATATCAAGTGGTCATTTTCAACATCTGATATAAAGCTTTGCTACATCTTCCCACCACCACACGACCCGAAAAGCGGGGTGAAAATTCCCAAGGGAACAGAAAGAAAAAGCAGAACAAAGGATTGAACAGAAAAGAAAAAAGGGGGGTGTCTCCAAGAGGGAAAAAATTTTTTAATTTCGCCACCTATCGCGGAGTGTTCCGCCTTCAGGAGAGATAGAAAAGAGGAGGGACAAGAAAAAAAAGACAACAATTAAGAGAAAGAGATAAAAAAAATCCCACAGACAAGGAAAGCTTAACCGGGTCACGAAAAAGCACAATACAGGCGAACAACTGAGGGGAAGGGGGCCAAAAAAAATAATTCCTAATACTAATAGAAAAAAAAAGTCTTGGGGCCTCATAATTCATTGTGAAAAAGTGGGTCGAGGTACTGGCAACTTGAACACTTGAACAGACCCGTCACCACGAAGCGCGACTGTCGACCCTTTCCTCAGGGTGAGAGGGTAAAAAAAAATCCAAAAGAAGAAAGGAAAGGAAGAACAGCGAGAGACTGAGAGTCTGTCTGAGAGGGTGAGTGAGTGTGTGTGAGAGACTGAGAGAGTGAGGAAGAGCAAATAATAATTAATCATCCGGGTGGTTCCCTCCAGTAACAATACCAAACCGCCCCCCCTTCTTTTTATCTAATACCATTCGTTACCTACCTCTCATCCTTTTGTTACTTTATTTTCTCTGTCCTTCAATTACCTTCGACCAAATTTTCCAGAGGGGGAAAGGGGAAATACCAAAAATCATTGGAAAAGAGAAAAAGAAAAAAGAAAAAAGAAAAATTACGGGCCCACGCGCCGCTCCACCGCACTCTCGGATCCCACGAGGTGCTCTAACCTGCGACCTGCGATTTTTCCTCCTGCCGAAAAGCCTCTTTTTCTTTGCTTGTCTCTCCGAAAAACCTTTTAGGTCGCCTCATCTGCTCAAGTCTCTCTTTTTTTTTTTCCGGGTCGAGTCAAACCATTTTTTTCACCGTCTCGATTTTAGGGTGATTGTACTACTACTAACCTGTGCGGCCACTCGTGGATCGAGACATCGCCTTTGGCGCTATCACCCGTTTGAGCAGTGGATTCTGGCACTTAGTTATTTTATTTTATTATATTACCCATTTCTACTAGCCGGTGCTAGGCTATCGACGCTACTTTTTGGCTCTTGGCCTGGCTACTTTCTAAACCCTCTACCCCCAAGCTTGCCCGAGCGCAGGACAGGACCGTCTCTCTCATTCCCGCTGGTTCCTCGTGCTGTCGTGTCGACCGCCACCCTGCAAGGCATTCTCCGTCACCCTAAGAGGCGACTAAGGCGATTAAGCATCGCGATCCAACATCTCCGTCTCGAAGAGACACTACACCCTCGTCTTCTATTCTTTTGACCTCAGAAACCCCAATTTGGGTTTTTCTTTTATTTTCTGGATTGTGGTGCTCTCCAGTGCGACCACTCGTCTCACGCGTCTATTTTTTTTTTCTCATACACCCTTTCCCTTTTTTCTTTCCCCCTCAGGTTCACTCTTTCCAGTCAACCATCTGCGCAAAAAGCTGATCAAGTGATCATTGCTCACAACCCGGAATCTCAATTCACTTAATAGTACGTTACAACAAGGAAGGATCTCCAGAAGCATTCACGCGACGGGGATCTTGTTCAAGAAGATCTGAACCAAACTTTCTCCCCCTGCTTCATACCTTTCCCATCTCGGCGCATCTTACCCCAAGTTTTATCACGTTCACAAAGCTCATTGTGTTGTTCGACGCGTCTCTAAATAGGCACGCGAGTTTCTAGCTTGGAGGAGTTTATCAGGGATATTTATCCGGTAACGGCGCAAATCTTATTATATGGACAACAGACCGGCTTCGGAGTACGCGCAGTCAGGTTCGCACTTTCCATATCCACCGTCTGTCGCGCCCCATTCTGAACTCCCAGCTGCAGACCAGGCATCTGCTGCTGCTACTGCTCAATACACGCCCCAGCCCGAGGTGCGCCCTAACCCTCAGTACACACCGCAACCCGAGGTTCGCCCCGCCGCCAATATTTCCTCCTCAAACACTCCGCAGTCAGACTACGGTCTGAATCAGCCGCCGGCGGCCGCGCGCTCTCCAGCTTATCCTGATTACCTCGCCCGCCCGCCCCAGTACCATCACGCGCCGAACACACAGGCCGGTGGTGCGGCAGGTATGGCTCAAGCAACAAGTCCGTCTATGCATACCCTCCATGATGGGCAGCTACATGACCATCGCAATCACACGAACGTGAAGTCTGACGCGGACGTTCCTATAGATCCCTCAATCGCGGCCTCCAGCCCCACCTATCCTCCTCCCTATTCGCCTTACCAGCCGCAGGGTCATGAAATGGCCCAGTATCAAGGTCACCCTCCGCCGCCGCCTCCTCAGATGTATGCGCGTCCAGATTGGTCGCATGGGTATGGTCAACATCAACACGGTCTGCCTGGACCTTATACCACTCCTGCCACAACGGTTGGTCCCGCCTCCCCTGCTGCGACCGCAGGGCCGCGCCCTGGCCAGGTATGTTTTTGATGATTTTGGCGTCTATTTCCAAAGGCTGCGCATTCGCGTTGATGGTTGTCTTGGACGCCTCCGGAAGTGGGGGCCGCTGTCAGCCTGGTCTTTCGGGGTCGGGATGATATGCGGCGCGCTTTTTTCATCTTTAACTTTTTACTTCATCTTGGGGGTTATGCTGTCAATGCTCAGAGGCTCATCTGGAATTTTATAGGTCTACTCGTTCGTTCCAATCCCCGGTGCACAACAACATAAGCGGCCGCGTCGTCGGTATGAAGAAATTGAGCGTATGTACAAGTGTGGGTGGAATGGCTGTGAGAAGGCATATGGTACTTTGAACCACCTGAACGCGCACGTTACCATGCAGTCTCACGGAGCCAAACGAACTCCTGAAGGTATGTTGTTGCGCCCTCGATTTCCTTGTGTTTTGAGAGGGGTCGCGGGTACTCATTTAGGCTAGTGCGAGTGCCACGCGCTAGTCGAGTTACACCGCTTTAGCGCGGCGGGATCGCAGTAGCGCGAGGAACCGGTGCGGAGGTTAACCTAAACAATCCGCTGCCGTCCTCCCTACGAGTGACGTCGTGGCATATGACTGTCCTCTAGTCGTCCCCCTATCTTTCAATATGTTGACTACTCATAACGAGTGTGGGACGAGGCTAACTATGTTGCCGTAGAATTCAAGGAAATTCGCAAGGAGTGGAAGGCTCGCAAGAAGGAGGAAGAGGCTCAGCGCAAGGCCGCCGAGGAACGTGAGCGTGCTGCTGCTGCCCAAGCCGCTCAAGCCAACCAGGTTGATGCTCCTGGCCCTGGTGACCCTGCACAGGCCGGCCAACCTCCTGCTTATCCTGGAAGCGTCCGTCCTCAATTGCCTCCAATTGGGTATCAGCCTGCTGACGGCCAGGTGCCTGGTCAGTATGGTGCTCCTGGTGGTGGCATGGTTTACCAGGGCAACGGACAGATGGCTTACCCTCCAAATTATCCTCATTCTCCTTATGGCCAGAGCGGTCAAGTATATCAGCAACGTAAGTAGTCAGTCCTTTGTGTTTGCATTATTGGTTAGGACCGGGCCACGAGGAATATCCAAAGAAAAAGAAGAAAGAAAAAATCTCGACATGACCAAACACACCACAAGAGAACGAGATAAAGGAAAGTTTGGGAGGAGAGGTCCTCCGGTCTATCGTTGTACGGGTTGTAGCTGATCGATAATGGCTTTGCAGAAAACCAATCGACCAGCTACCCGCAATAGATATCCAACTTCCCTCTCTTCTCTCAGCTTGAATATTCTAATACCAAATTCTCCTAATCGTGTATCGCCACCCCGGATCTAATTCTCTAAAGTCTTGCGCACATGATACCATTTCCTGGCCTTGATTGCTTCAGTCAAAAAAGAGTGGCCTTGCGACTTACGCTTCTGTCCCAGTTATGTTTTTTTGAATTAGATCACTTGACAAAAGGAAGAAAGTTTCCTTAATTGGGGGAACCCCTACTTTGTTTTCCCCATCGCGGATACCGGCTATAGGGTTGTGATTTTGAGATGTCTGGCGGGGCAATCTGCTTTAGCTGATGTTATTTCTTTCTATCTATTCTTCATTTCGTCCCTCTGTTATCATGCGTTTTATTCCCTGTGGATTATGCAGATCATGTTTCTATTAAATTCACCTTTCTTATGTATGTGAATTATCTGTTATGGCTCTTTTGCTTTCATCTTCGACTGCCTTCCCTGCTTCGGCCAAATTTCATGTTACCCTGGGTTTTGGTCCCCGAAACTGTGCATTATTCTATGGTCCATGGCCTTTGTTCATCTATTGCGTCAGGCCATGGTCTGGTGGCTAAACTCTTCTTTGCAATTCGGAGCTTACTTTCCCCTCTTTCGCATCCCTTATGAACTCCTGAATATCTATGATACATGTCGATAATTGTGGACATATTATGCACAGACCGTGCGCTTTAAGATCTACTGTTCCTAGCATTTTCCATATATTGTGATTCTTTCATACGAATAGTGTCGGTAAGTTAATTGATGTACAATGGATGCGTCAGTGAACTTTATCGCTCCAAGAGCGGAGTGCAAGGTTGTGCTTGTATTGACAAATGGTAGTCAATGAACACACAATAGACACATTTATTGTAGCCTAGTACTTACTAAACCACTATCAGCATAGAGTATCAGTCTACGAAATTGCAAAGCGAAGCACCGCATTCTATTCTACCAGTCAAACCTACATCATGAGCCCGTGGAGATGTACCCTAGCAGTCCAATCTAACACCTAGTATGCTGCAAGTCTGTTTTAGGGCTGAGAAGGAATTTTACTGGTAATATGCAAGCGTGCTAAGATTTAGCGGTGCGACCATTCCAGCCAGGGTCGCTAGTAAGTAGTACAAAGCATGTACGATGTAAGGTTAATCTGCTAAGGTATGAGACTAGGCTAGTAGATCTGTAAGTTCGGAACCTTCTCTGCCCACGAGGCACACATGGTTTGGTTTTAGGTTATCTTATGGTTGGCGGGGCTCCCTAGGGTCCCGGGAAGCCATTGCAAGCAAGATGCTGGTCGACTAGCGGCTGCTTCCCTAATCATATAGTTGAAGCTAAGACAAAGCCGGGCATCCTGTCATTGCTCAGGGCCATGTCCACCTGCGGTTCAACCTTGCCACTAGCGGCGAAAGAACGTTTAGTTTCTGATGCCTGAGGCATAAAGGTTAGTAATATGCATACCTTGAGTCTGTACATTACAAGGTACATTAATAGTACATATTAGTGCACGGTCTTCCTGCCTGAGGCCAGAGTAGGACGGGGCCGGAGATACTTTCCTCAAAGAGTGGCCAGAGGTGCTAACTTTATTCTGCCTAGCGTTTAACCCGGCCGATACGATACGGCGATAATTTGAGCTATCGGAGCTGCGCATTTATGATATAGGCTCGCTGTCTTCCCTCTTAATTCTCTGCCGTTCCACTCGAAGGCTGCCTGGATTTGTGCCGTTGAGGGTTTCGCTTCCTCCTCCTCCTTTCATATCTTTTATGATCTTTGTGTATATCCGTCCTGTATCTCTCCCATTATCGCCTCTCCTTTACGACTCGGCCTGACGTTACCCTTCGAAAAGTTTTCTTTGTTCAAGCATAAGCCTGCGGACGTCGATTTACCTTGCACAACTATCCCTAAGATATAAGGACAAGTGATACAAGTGAAGTCACTAGCATTCAAGATCACAGCCGGGTTTCGGGGCGGTTCAACGGCCTCCGGTCTTTAAATGCTTCGTTGCAGCAATGCTGGTGCTCTTCGGACGGGCGTGAACTGTAGTCCGTTCAAGAGAATACCCGTAGGTACAAAATGGTTCAGTGGCATTCCAGGAAAGGCTAGATATACCTCACTTTCACGTGCGACATCGCGAGTATTAGCACCTGGGCACATTGGTGCCTGGCCCTTATCTGCCGGCGCAAAGGGATACTCTACAAGTTCTGATATTTCGAAGCCCACCCCTGTGAGCAAAAGGCTGGCACGAAATATATTCCTGGACCGTGAATCTTCGAAGAAACCTGAACGTACCACTACGAATGATATTCTGCTAGCAATCGCGAAGGCAGGGACTTCGCCAAAGGCCCGGGATGAGTTGCGGGAGACCACGTCTGTCACGGTCTCTGGGAAAGTCGTTGAAATGGAGTTAAAATGGTTGCAGGACCCTCGCGCGCTGTCTGATCGAGTCGCAAGGCTTCTGCAGGGAAATGACGTGGTATTGGCTGTGGCGTTGGTCCGGGCGGCGCAGAAGGAGGGTATGGAGTGTACCGTGGCCTGGAACCATCTGATGGAATACTCCCTGAGCAACAATAGCCCGCTGGCGGCTTTAAAGTTCTACAATGAGGTGAGATCCTTTCAGCGTTGATGCTAGATTTGGAGTGTTCGCCGAGACTAGGACTGACAATCTTGCTTTCGGTTTGTAGATGAAAAAGCGAGGCCGCATGCCTAATTCGCTGACGTATACTATCATGTTGGATGGCCTTGCCAAAGTAACGAAGGATGCCAGCAAGGATGCCCGCATCAACCCTGTGTGGGCCGCGTTATCTATATACAAGTCTATCTCTGCGCCCAACTCAATTGTGAAGCTAAACATTATTCACACCAATGCGATGCTCAATGTATGTGCACGGCATCTTAGCATGTTGACGTTATGGCAGATTGCTGGTGAGCTCCCTGAAAGCGGAGAAGGCTCCCCGGATTGCACAACGTATAGTATCATTTTGAGAGCTATTGCAGACTCAGCCCAGCGGGATGTGTCACGGTTGAAATCCTCTAAGGTGGAGGAAATCCTTGCAAGGAAAGCTAAAGCTGTCAAAGAGGGCAAGCGAATATGGTCTGACGTTGTTTTTCGATGGAAGAAGGGGCAACTCGAGCTGGACAACCTGCTCGTAAATTCGATGGCCAATCTTCTCTTGGAAGGAGCTACCGATCGGGATTGTTACGATGTGTTCGCATTGATAAATCAAGCTACTGGAATCCCAATTCTTGCTAAAGAACCTCCATCGGATTCCCACGGTCAGCGGCCTTCCTCGAAACTGCGAAAGAAAAACCAAGAAAGCGATATAGTGGACGATGTGCCGTTTGTCGATGATAGCAATATGTTATTTCGACCATCGGAAGCTGAATCTGAAGAGCGTGAAGAACAAGAGGGCCAAGGCGTAGAAGGGGGGGAAGAGGAAGAAACATTTGAAACTCTCTTTGACCCTGTCATTCGCCCGGGATCTACGCCTGCGCCAACGCAAGGCAGGCCTAGTAGCGGAGCGTCAACTCCCTCCTATATTTCTGTGGGGAATAGGGAACTCGCGATAATTTTAGAGTCTTGCTTATCCATGACTCAAGGAGTCACAGCTGGAAAGGCCTACTGGCAACACCTTACGCAGGAAAACACCAATTATAAACTTGAGCCCGATAGTGGTACATATCACCAATACCTTCGACTTCTTCGGATTGGCCATTCTAGCCGTCTTGCTCTGGAGCTCATACGCGACCAGATGGTGCCTACTCAAATGACTGAGGGACGATCTTTCCGCATCGCGCTCGCATGTTGTCTCCGTGATCGCAAGAATCCTAACGTCTTCAGCAATGCCAATGGCCTCATTCACCTCATGGAGACGTCACTCGTGCTTCCTCATCCTCAAGCATTGGACGCCTACCTTTATTTGATCCGTATCTTAGGCGAAAACCCCCAGCTTCTCATATCGTTGAACGGTATTGACGGGAGCAATTTAAGACCAACTGGCCTCAGCACCATCGGCCAGAAGTTGCGAGTAAGCTTACAAGCTGCCGCCCTTGAAGTTGTACGTCCCTCTATCGTCAAACTCGCCGAAGCTATGGAGCATGGGCGAGTATCTCCAGCTCCAGTCAAACGTCGCCGCAACGACATTTCTACCCGACATACGGTTTTAGGAGAAGAATCTCTCAAGGTATTGGTCACGGTGCGAGGTCTGATCGACGAAGTCTTGAAGACAGAGAATTCTAGGCTGCTTTCTAAGCTGATTTCTAAAGAAACCCGCACTCAGCTCAAGAAAGACTCACAGGACTTGAGGAAATGGTCACGGGCTGAGATGGTTGATAAATACGATTCTACTCTGGTTGCGCCGACTTCGCAACAAGTTCTGGCACTCGAAGATCAGCAAGTCGTCAAGGATTCCTTGGATATTGGCAGAGCTTCGTAAGAATAACAGGAACTCGTGCAGTCTGCACATGTCATCTTATGACCTGTTTGATGGTTGATCTAACCTCAATACTTGCATATATCGGCGTTAGTATATAGTCTTAAGTGTACACTATCATGATGGGCGATGAGGTTGTTTGTATGTACAAATATCGGCTGTGTTCGTGTAATAATAGAATAGACGCATTAGACATGGAAGACCTCTCAATTCTGTCCGTTGATTTTACCATTGCGGTGGCCTTAGCGTACCAAAATATTAATACATTAATGCAGAGATTAATCCCCAGTTAGGGTACGAGGACGATAAGATCCACGTGTTCCGCCTTCCAATTTCAGCCCGTGCCCGCGTACGTAAGACGTGCATTATGCCACTGTAGCCTCTCTCCTACTAGGAACGAGACAGCTCATATCCTCCCCATCTCGTTATCCCTCGGCAAATTCCTTGTGCCTAGCGAAGCTAACGCCTGGCACCATCGACAATCCAGCAGCTCTGGTAGCATCTGGGTTAACAAGCAATGCTCCTATAGTGCTAACCCCTTCCCGCGATCGAACTCCAATCTGAATACAACCGATACCTACCATGGCCAGCGTATCACATACCCACCCCCACGGGGATCTACACGATGATGAATCAATTCTCGGTGATGATGCTATTGAAGCTGATGAAGGTGAGTTGAGCCTGTCATTGACCCTCCGGACCGGGTGTTGCCAGTCACTGACCCGTTCCCCAAATCATCGGTTCTAGTCTTCGACGCTGATGACCCACTACACGATACTGATACCACCCCTTTAAGAGGCAATATTCAAGCCCAGGCATCGAGCTCCCGAGGCGGCGGCCTCTCCGGTAACTACCTGACTTCTTCAATCCCCGGCGAGGACCGTCGCGCAGCTCAGAACACCATCGATGAAACCGTCTGGGAAACGTTGTCGCGCGACCTGCTGGCAGTCTGGGAGAAGATGCGCCAGGTTTTGTGGCCCAAATACCTGATGGGTGGGATGTTGCAACGAGGTGGAGGGGGCATTGGGGGTGCGGCCGAACGAGGGGAGGCTACCGGGTTCGGTGGTGGCGGCAGGCTGAGGAATCTCGTGGGCCGCTGGCCGGACGCTGATACTGTCTTGCAAGGTGGGATGAGCGAGGGTTTACGTGATTGGGATCTTTGGTAGGTGGCCAATGGCGGGATACCGTCACCTTGACCCGGTGCGACCTAGGGTATGCTAACGCGAACCGCTTGTGTAGGGGTCCGCTCATTTTTTGCTTACTTTTGAGCTTTTTCCTGGCGATGCGCGCAAAGGGGGAGCAGTCGGACTTGGTATTCTCTGGGGTGTTCTGTATTGTGTGGATTGGAGAAGCGGTTGTGACATTGCAGATCAAACTGCTGGGAGGAAATATGTATGTGCCTTCATGCTTTCTCACTGTGACTATGGGAACGGTTTACTAATGCTATATATCACTTTTTAGATCCTTCTTCCAGTCCGTCTGCATCATCGGCTATACGCTCTTCCCTCTCGTCATAGCTGCCCTCCTCAGTGCGCTTGGCCTACCGACTATTGCACGGATACCGGTATATCTTGTCTTGATCGCATGGTCGTTAGCGGCAGGTATCAGTATCCTTGGCGGATCTGGCGTGCTCAAGAACCGGGTCGGCATCGCAGTATACCCTCTGTTTGTGTTTTACATTGCGATCGGCTGTCTCTGTTTTATTAGTTAAGAGTAGGAGCGCGTTGAGCCAGATACTAGCGATCTAATAGCTCAGGGACTATCATGGATTCCCATGGTATCGACGGGAGGGAAAAGAAAGGAAATTCCCGGTGTAGGGCGTGCGACCTAACTCATCAATAGCCTTATCCTATTGTTCTTTTGTGTGACTTGAAGCTGTGCTTTGTGTTTCTATTTTTTATTTTTATTTTCTACGTTTATTTTTTCCCAATTGTATTAGATTTTTTTTTGTTTCTGGCATGTTCAGATATCCAATTGAAACAATGTTTTCTTACCATGGCTGATGGGAATTTTGCTGCTTGTTATTATTATTGTTGTTGTTCTGTGGTTATCAGATAACGTTTCCCGAGGAGTAATTTAGATAATACTAGCAGTAAGTCAAGTCATTTGCTACTGCGGGGCGGTGACCGGACGACTGCCGACGAACAACAAAGCAGTTTGTCGTCACTCCGTTCGTGGCTCTCGATCTGCACTTCTCCCACTAAGCATTACGTTCGCTTCTCGACAGAGATCGGTAGAACTTGGCTTTTAGAATTCATTTCCTCTCCCGTCAAAGGTTCCTTGCGACCACAGCGTCCACCGTCGATCCGATCCTCGTCCCCACGTCAACGATCAGCCGCCTTTCGATTTTGAGGGTCGAGGTTGCTCGACATTTACTAAAGGTGCGTTAGATGGATTTCTCACTTATGCTGCGACTGGACAGACTAGTTTACCGTTCCCCATATGGGTAACTGTCGCTCTGTGCGGCGCTGCTACGTCTAGTCATTCAAAGCGATACATCCTCCATCTCCCTCGGTGCCATCGCTCCAGACTAATCTGGTTTTTACGTTACGTCCCACAGACCCCTTCTTGCTTCGATAAAGCTTCGCAAAATTGACCACTCTGGCCGTGCGAACCGCTCAACCTTTTTTTCTTCGTTGACGTCCGTTGTGGCCTTATAGAGCTGGTTGAGAACCATAGGAAATGGCGACCGACTCGCGAAATGACGTTGGGGTGAAAGGTACCTACAACACCATGATGTAAGAGGTATCGGCTCTGCAGATTCTGACGTCTTGATTGAGCAGATAATTCTCGCGTAGATCCAATCGACACTAGAGGTACGTAATGAGAAGCTCCGCGCCTTCCTGGGCGCGCCGCTTCAGATGATGACATGAACGGCATCTATTCATTCCCTTCGATGGCCATGCGTTTTGTCTGACTAATTGCTTGGTAGTCACGGCGGATGATTCTCAGGCTTCTGATAACGAAAGTGGCGAGCGTCCTGTTCGCAACAAGCTCAAGGAGACGTCCATCACCTCGGCCCCGAACCCTTCCACAACCGGCGCTTCTGCGGAACACGAGCAGAATGGTGAGACTAGCCGATCGAGTAGCAGGGGTAGAAAGCGGTCTTTCGACGAGGATCAACCCGAGACTTTGGGTGAAGACAACGGCCATAGACGGAAGAGGTCGCGCGACTCTAAGGTCGATGAGGACGAAGACGTTTCCTCATTGAAGGCGCCTGAAGTCCAACCGGCGCAGACTCACACCACGGCAGATCCCACCGGAAATATCCTGAGCCCGAAGAAGAAAAGAAGTCGAGACCAGCTGGATAAGGATGAGCCGAAGGTTGACACCGTCGACAACTCTGATAGTAAGACTTCTGTAGAGAATGACACCTCCACCGAGGCGTCCGCAGGGGAGCCGGAAAAGAAGCGTCACAGGGACGCTTCCCAAGAAAGGGTGAGTATCTGCAGCCTTATTCCCTTGACCAAAATAATGTATTCACATGCTTCTCTTCGGCAGGCACCTCTCAAGAGCGCATTTGCGAACGCATCTACTGTTTCACCATTCGGCTCGCTTGGTGCCTCGAAGCCCAAGGACGAATCCTCTAAACCAGCTGCTGTCACATCCTCATCTGCCTTTGCCTCTTCAAGCCTGGCCGCCTTTGCCGGCTCGGAGAAATCGCCTTTCGGCGCCATAGGGAGCTCCGCTACGTCCGTCTTCAAGTCACCAGCTACCACTGAAGCAACCAAACCAGCCACTACCGGATTTGCAAGCGCTGCCGGCACTTCAGGATTTGCGTCGCTAGGCTCTGGATTCTCCGGCTTCAGCGGTGGCTTTGGGCCCGTTGGTTCAAAGGGTGGCCTCACTAGCTTCGCTGCGCCAGGTGGGCCCAGTGTTATTGGCAGTTCTAGCAAGGACAAACCATTTGGAGCGGAAGAAGAGGTTGTTGAAGAAGAGAAGGATAAAGTAGCCGATACGGCCCCTGGGGAATTCGAGCAGGAGAAGACCGATGAGAGGTTTTTCGAACGACCTAGTACGTCGTCCCATTCTTATTTTCTGCCATTTTTACTTCTCATAAAATCCACTAACAACATTTGTAAAACAGTTGAGACAGGGGAGGAGGAGGAAAAGACCTACTTTTCAAGCAAGGCTAAACTCTTCCAGTTCTCGAATGGGGAGTGGAAGGAACGCGGAATCGGTACCTTCAAGGTTAATGTGAAAATCACTGATGGCGAAGAGGATAAAAAGGCCACTCGCTTGATCATGCGTGCCGACGGTGTCTTGCGCGTTATGCTAAACACCCCAATCTTCACCGGTATGACCGTAGGTGATGCCTCGGGCAACGAACCCAAGTCCAAGCAGATCCACCTAGCAAGTTTGGAGGAAGGCCGATCGGTTCCTACCTTACTGAGGGTAAGTTATATCCCGGCGTGCTGAACTTTTTTATATGAACAAGACCATTGACAAGGGCGTAGATGCCAAGCGAAGACCTTGCCAAGGAGCTTTACCGTGTTGTGCGTGAGCTCCTGGAATATCAGTGAGCTGAAATGATAGATTAGCAAAATCCTCCGGACATTGCTATCCGGTCATCGGAAGTCTTGGAACGTGGCTGTATCACATCTAGGGGGCCTTCAGTTTCGAAGGCGAGCATCTACACACACACACAGAGCAGTAGATTCAGATGGGTTGGCATTTTGCATTTGGTGTGAGGAGTACGTGTGATCTGGAGCGTTGGATGGAGCCATGGATCATGGCTGGCACTGGATTCTCCTTCGACTTCTTTCTTTTTCTTTTTCTTTACTTAACTTTTGAATATACACCCACTGCATTCATTTCCTGTACAGTTACTCTATTTCTTTAATAAAGCCATCTCCCATTCTAATCAAGGGGTTTAGTCGTGTAATAGTATTTTCAATTCTGGGGCGGTGACCCGGGAGTAGGAGGTTTGGTTCAATCAAGCAAATTAAGTAGATTATGGGTTCAACTGAGCAGAAGGAGGGGAACAAGACGTTTTTCATGTACACTCTTATTCGTCCATCTCTATCGAGAGTGGTATACCACCCTACCTCCCTCGCTCTGGGGGCGGCTGCTGTCCGAGACAAAAACATCTTGAACGTTGCGCTCAGGGTCGAGCGGCTGATCCATCTTGCTGAGCCATCCCAAAAGTCTCTCCAAGCGTGCATGGATGGCGGCCGATTTAGGGCTATGCTCGGGCGACCCGGCTTGCTTCGAAGAGCCGTAGATTGATTGAGTTTCGTCAACATCATCGCCTCGTGGTATATGCTTCCAAGCTAGCAGCTGCTTCAGCGGCCTCGGCATCAGTAGTAGCTTGGTAAAAGCAACCTCCCCGGCCTGACTACACCTCTTTGCTCGCTCCGATTGCGTTAGACCATCACGGGTGGCGATAGCTTTATAGCGCTCTCTATCTACAAGTAAAGGCAATGCTGTACCGGGCAGTATTCCATCTGTTGTTCGAACATATGGGCAGGCTCACCACTGTTGCTATGCTGAGAGCCACCACTAAGACACTTGGAGAATTCTTCAAAGTGGAATACTAGGTGTGTTAGAAAATGTCAAGAGAATGATAGTGGATGGCGGGGATTACCATACATCGATCTTCGACAGTGTTCATTTAAGGGATATCAACTGATCCGCGAGATTAAATAGATGTGCAGCATGTGCTACAGGGAGGTGACAGTAGTATTTTGCTGGCGGACAAGGGTGTTGGGTTCAAAAAGGGTTTGTACTACTTTGGCTTCTGTTTTAGAGTCTAGGGCGCTCAGAACATCGTCCAGCAGAATGAGATTTGGTCGATGAAAGATAGCCCGGACCTAAAGCGTAGACGGAGTGTGAGCCAGGCTCTGCTGCCCGGTGTACTTCTGGAAAATTTCTTCTGAGTGAAGTTACTTACGAGTCGCTGCCTTTGCCCACCACTTAACATGACACCTCGATTACTTACAACAGTCTGATCACCATCCGGGAGTCCGTACATATCATGTTCTAGAGCACAGAGTTGGATGACGGATGAGTACCACACTTTTTCTGCGACATCTGCCATCCCAGTTATATTGCACCGAATACTAGTGTCGTTTAACAACCATGGTGGCGGCGCACAGTATGCTGCTTGGGTAGGAAAGATGGAAACCCGATCCGTCACACCAGGGCAGTTCTCCCGGCATCACTTTGAGCAGAGTGGACTTGCCATACCCTACAGAACCAGAGAAAATGACAAGTGATCCTGAAGCTGGTCTGACACTGATTCCCTTTAAGGCAGGTCTATAAGAATCAGGGTATTGGGCAGAGGCGTCCTCAACCCTGACGGCAAATTCTGCACCGGGAACTACTCGCATCATTGATAGCTTGCTTAATGACTGCCAGCCTGCTGCGAATCGTAAGTCGATAGACGAGTTAGACCCAACCCTTTATGAAGGCTTGAGCCAGGAGAAAAGAAGCACTCTCTGCGGACAATAGACCCAAGGCATGCCCACACGTTCGGGTTAGCATGAAGATATTGGTTCGCAGGAATGTACCCGAACTGGTCCGTTCTAATTGGCAATAACAAAGACCTGATCATCTGTCACACACGAATCCCCTTTTATTAAAAAGGCAATATGAATCTAGCAATGGGGGTGTATGTCTGCCCGTAGAAATACACCGGGGAGGACTTCGTATCTCAGGTTCCATCGTATCATCCCTTAGAAGATAACCAGGTGACCGGTGGCCCACCAGTAGAATATCGCATTTTTGGAGAACTTGATCAGGCACGAATCCGGCTTTGTGCGGAGGACAGCTCTCCTTCCACCTATCGTCGGCACGGAAGATGCATTGAGTGGAGCAGTAAACTGTGAAGAGAGATATCTCTGTGAGAGCCCGAAGAGCCTCAATGGAGAGGTCTTCGTTATAATAAATGGTCGGGGCTGAACCGTCTCCTTCACCACCCAGACTTTGGATACCTGTTGCAATCGGTGGAGGCTGTCGAACGAGCATAAGTATTTGAAATGAGGATGGCAACAACGTGTGAGTCGGTTTGTCGTTTGCGCTCTTGATAATTAAGCTTGCGGCGGGAGGTAGCGATCCATGATAGCTGAGGCCAGACAGTCTCGTTCAGAAGGGGGTTCATCTGATCTGGTCATTTGTCGGGGTCAGTGGCTTGACGCGCTCCTCCATGAGTAGGGAAAACAAGGCTTGCTGAAGCGTCCTTGATGTGGTGATTTGCCAAACGCGGCACACTCGTCGTGCAAGGAGGAGAGTTCGCATATCTAGGTTGATGAGGATGGGGTGCAGTATCTCCCATAGGGAGAGAGCCTTGGTGGTGGAGTCTAGCTCCATTTTTACGCTCCATTTTAGGCTTTTCCTGGTTTGACTGTCAAGAGAGAGAGTGGGAGACAGATGAGATTAGGTATTAGATGATGAGGGTTTAGTGATCTCTCATTTGAGGAGTATTAAGTATTCGCCTTTAGGGCTCATTTGGGAATAGGTCCTCCAATCTGCTAAACACCCGTCCGTATCGCAGAGAGCCTCCTCGAAGTAGCTGATGTCCCTCGGAGTTGCTTCTGCCTGGTCCCTTTAATGATGACGGCCGCCTCTTTAACATCCTTTTTGAGAACATAGGTGTTAAACCATCTATGCAATTAAAATACAGCGGTCCCTTTCATGGTTCTCCTAGCATTTTGCCTTCTCTATTTCTCTGTCTCTGTATGTCTGCGACAAATCCGAGCCCCAGGCGGAAGCCTGGGCGAGTTTGTCGATAGTATCACGTACTCTTTTTTGTGGTCCTGGGACGCATCCAAACTTAGAAGCTCGATTCTACGGTAACCCCAAACTTGGTGAAACAATCTCTTCAAGATAAGTATTTCCTCATTATAGTAGTAAAGTACCATTTTTCTGTCTAGTCCACATCTAGCGGGCATGACTATCGGCCGCAAACTCACACGGTGATCCCGCTACAGTGGGGCTCCTTCCAGCCCGCCAACTACAGCGCGCTGTAGATGCTGATGGCCATCCAGGTGGGGTCGTTCCTGTTGACAGAGGTCGAGCGTGCCCTGGGCATATACGAATGGGAGCAGAATATCTCTCGGGAGCACTCACTGCGTGGGGAGTGGACGATGGGCACACCGTATAAAGAACACCGCTCCCCTCGACATAAACGGACTCGGCCACGGGAATCTGGAGAGAAGAACGGCAGGACCACGCCAAGCAGTAGAGGATTACTGAGCCGCGCTATGATCAAAATGAAGGTGTATGAAATCGAAGGGGGAACAGGAGGCCGGAGAGGGAAGATTGGGTCGTTACGGAAGAAGATGAAGAGGGTGAAGAAGGAGTTGGAGTGTAGTATCCATCGATAAAGAACAACTTCCATGCCTTATAAATACCCCGGCACTCATGATACCGATCTAGACAAGCCATTTCCCATTATTATGAGCCATATTGCTTATTCGTATATTACGCACTTGTTATATCATGTGTAAAAAGAAATAGCCCACCGATGCCGGATACTCATAGATGTTTTCTTAACCTTCCTGTGCGATTTCGCGAGGCTTTTATGACTCTTATTTACTAGGATGTTAAGGGATATAAATGTTTCGCAAGGCTAAAGGCTAAAGTGTTCATATAGGGGAATTCTTGGAACATAAAATTAATATGACCCAACCAGATCTGGGCCATTAGGGTCACCTCCCCCATTGACCGATCTCGCTGCGCACACTCCCCCAGAGACTTGGCAGTCCATCTGTTATAATGCTATTCAGTTTGCTAATCTGTTGACTGAGAGAGGAATTCTGAATGAGGATGTCAAAGCAAGAGGCTCTATTGTGCATCAGAATCCAGGAAGGGAATTCCAGGTGACCATGATTGATTTTGCGTTATGAAAGTTCCGCAGGGATTATGGAGCTGAAGAAGACAGGAGGGAATAGAAACCAATATAGGATGAGGGATTCCAGCATTCGGACTGCTCTTCACTTCTATAAGCCCAGTGTTTAGCTTTATACTTTGTTGTAAGCATGTATATACGATAAAGATAGTTACAGAACTTGGTCCTAACACAGTGCACTCCTCGGCCCCAGGTCGGCCCAGGTCGTAGATACAAAAATCAGAGTAGATATTATATTTTATTATATTGCGTTATATAAGTAGAGAATAATTTAATTTAACCTTAGACTCTTAATACTCAATTAAAGTAGCAGACGGCAAACTAGCTGCTAGAAATGGCCACACGTGAGGCCGTTTTAAGCCGTCAATTTGCCCCAATTCCAGCCACGCACACGCTCACGCAATCTTCGCCTGTTCCCTGATATACCAGGAACCAAACTATCTCAACTCAAACTCTTGCGTTCTTCCTACCTCAGGTACTCAATCCTCTAGGTCATGGGTGCTCTATCCAGGGTGCTCAACTACTTAAATGATTCAAGGGCTGAATGGGATCCATAAGATCCCGGCACCCCAAGCCGGCTGGATCACATTATTTCCATAAGAGTTTACATTTAAGACAACATTCATATCACAATTCTCGATCATTCAATATATGTAGCCAGCACGATTGAGAATTTGTTTGACAAAGGTATTTCAGTTAGAGATTCTTATTTCGCTTAAGGTATCTCAGTTCCTTCAGCCAAAAAAAAAAAAAAAAAAAAAACAAGGTGGTAAATCTCACCGCCATCTGTTATAGACTGCGCAAAATGGCTGCTCTCAACGCTGTTGCTGACTGCCAATTTACCTGCCTTTTCTTTGATATGCACTTACTTTATTGAATAATCCCAAGAAGCCACGGCATAAGCGTCTAGTTCGTCTTTACTAGTACTTTTGCCATTCCCAATATTGTATTTGTTCCGTTTAAAAACTAGATGGATGATTATTACAAGCATGACCTTGATTAGGTTGAACAGTTAAGAGTTATAGTATACAAAATGAACAAGTACAGAAGCAAGAATTTAAAATAATAACACGTACAGTGAACTTAGACATGGGAAGAATTGAGAGATCGAGTAACAATAGGCGCAAATTGACGAACAGCCTCCTCAGTGGAAACATCAGGTCCCAAGCTCCATACTGCGCGCACTTCTCGTAGAAGGATTGGACAGAATGTGGTTGTATCTTGACTAGAATTGTTTTCTCTCTCTCGAGATCCTTGATGCCTCTTTGCCGAATGAGGGTCACCTGGTGTGATGCCATCAAACTGGCGTTTTTTACCGCTGTCGATTGGTTCTGATCGCACTGCCAGGTCGGGTAACTTATTACATGATGGAGAATATTCATCATCAAAAAAATATAGGTCGTATAGCTGTCGAAGCTTGAGACAAGAGTCTCTATTCACAATTCCAAGACGTGGACTTCCTAGAGCTTGTATACATCTCCGAAGACATGCCAATGGAGCCCCATGCCACTCTCGGGGCTTTGACAATACTTGTGCAATATTGAAATCGAAGCGACGACGATGGAGATAAGATTTAAGGAAGACAGGTAGATACTGACCTCCAATAGCATCAACAGTGATTATCCCTTTACTGACTTGATATATCTTGTACTGTTCAGAAGTGGGAGTCTCTCGCTTTAAGATCACTCCTTTCTCAGCTGCTATTTTCCGACGTTCCCGGTCCTTAAGCTCATATTCAATAAAAAACTGAAGATCTTTTGGTATAAAAACAAACCCGGGGTCATTGAGACAGTCAAACTGGTCATGGCATGATGGGCAAAGAGGAATCGCGTTCAGAACTGAGGTTAACGGAAAGTCTATCAGGCCAAGTTCAACCCAGAGTGATGCCTGCTAATTGTTATTAAAGTTTTAATATTTAGATAATATAATATATTTTTTACCTACCTGTCGATCTTCCTGCGCGACGTGGCAAATGTGAGGTGGTTCGGTGCCGCACGCCCAGCACTCATCTCCGTCTATCTGTCTGACCCGTAACTTGGTACTCTCTGAAAATGCACTAGACTTAAGTGATGATGCGCGTGATGTTCCGACGCTCGTAGCATCAGACATAATAATACTTGTGTATATAGTACTCGATGGCTCGTATCTATCAGACGATCCAGGAGGTAGCGGAGGCGGCATTAACATTCGATCTCTCCTGGAGTCTGCCATCTTGAGTCAGTTTCTTGTTGAGAGGACAGTCGAAAGACCATTTCACATACTCTAAAGTGTGTTTTGACCACGCGAGTCGTTGCTTCCCATTTCTCAACCATCTTCCTACCCAAAGCGGTTGAGGAAGGAGACTTCTTTTACAACTGAAGCAAAAGAAGGTATAGGGCCTAGATGATGAGTCGTTAATGACGAAAGAACCCGCGTCAGAACCCCTCCCGGATAGATAGGCGGTAAACAGGACTACTTTGTTACCCCGCTTGGCGTTTTGTAAAATACTATAGAAAAGATAGAAAATAATTATATAACTACATAAGAACTAAAGATGCCACTATACTATCCCCTATCCAGTAATATTACCCTCCTTATCACCACGTGAGCCCGCGTCTCATCGCCTCCACATTCTATCCAAACTTCTCGTTTGAAATCCTCACCTCCAATCAGGGCCATTCAAATCTCACAATGGGGCACCAACATGACCAGCCTCAATCCCCAAGCAGATCGCACCCCCTCAATCCCAAAACGAAAGCAAATACCTGACGAAAGCACCCCCCTCAATCAAGATAGCGCGTCGACCCCAAAACCAGAACAATCAAGCAAAGGCAAACGACGCAGAAAAGCCCCTTCCCCAGGCTCATCCACCAATGAAATCCCCAATGATGCCTCAGATACACCCACGGAAACTTCCACTCCCAAAGGAACAGCCAAAAGGGGACCGAAGCCTCAAACAGCTCGAAGAAAAGTGACCAAACGCACTCCGTCTGCGCCATGGCCGGACCTTTTCAAGAGACTAGCACGTACGCACCGCGCTTTGAATATCGTATACACGTTCTGCTGTACGCGGAAGCATTTTGCAACAACGTTCGAGAATATCAAGAAGGCGGTGCAGGGGCAGATGGGCGAGGAGTTGACGGTTGAGGAGGTTGCGAGGGTGAGAGTTCTTGTACCGCGGACGGTACGGTTCGAGTACGTCGACGAGGCAAAGTTGGAGGTTATGACTGTCGGGGATAAGGAGATGGTGGAGACGTATGGTCGGCATGGGAGATATGATCTTGATAATGGTGGGGATGATAAAGCGGACGCATCTTCACAGGCTAAGACTCTACTGTTTGAGTTCATAGACGGCGACCTGAAGAGGGAGAACCAGCGGTCCAAGTCTGGGGAGATCACCAAGCCCGTGCGCAAGTTGAAGGACGAGGATTTGAAAATGCCGATCTACAGCCAGAAGCAGATGCTCGCGTTGATCGAGAAGCGGAATAAGAAGTTCTCGGACGCGGTTGATGTGTTCCTTGTACAGTGTGAAGATGATGGTACTGATCCGGTTGAGAAATTGGAACGGGAGAAGGATGTCTGGATCCCTGTGTCTCCTGATGATGGTAATACATTGCCTACGACGCGTGGCCCGCCGCGGCAGATTCCCAAGGAGCGTAAGTCTATGTCGGAGATTATCGCCGAGATCCGTGAGATGGAATGGTATACGGCGCAAATCGTGCCGGAGGGTCATAGGGTGATTGATGCCCAGCCCGGCGTATTCGGGGAGCTGGCATTTAGGCTTTCGCAGAATCTCGTCAATGCCTTGTATAATACACGTGGCATAACACAGTTCTACTCTCACCAGGCGGAAGCGATTAATCATTTATACGAGGGACACAACGTCATTGTTTCTACATCCACCAGTTCCGGTAAATCGTTGATATACCAGGTTCCTATGCTACATGAGCTGGAAAATGACCATGATAGCCGAGGACTGTATATATTTCCCACGAAAGCCTTGGCCCAAGATCAAAGACGCAGTATGAAAGATCTTCTACAATATATGGACGGGCTGCAACATACGATGGTCGAGACTTTCGACGGTGACACCCCAATGGAGAGCCGTAATGCGATTCGCGACGAGGCGCGAATTATCTTCACAAATCCCGATATGCTGCATATAACAATCTTACCACAGGAAAGCGCCTGGCGCACATTTCTAAAGAACCTGAAGTTCGTCGTGGTTGACGAGTTGCACGTTTATAATGGTCTCTTCGGGTCTCATGTTGCATTCGTCATGCGACGACTGCGTAGAATATGCGCAGCTGTGGGAAACCGACATGTCCGGTTCATCTCTTGCTCAGCCACCGTGGCAAACCCTGAAGAGCACATGAAGGCGGTCTTCGGCGTCGAGGACGTCAAATTGATAGATTTTGACGGCTCTCCATCTGGCCGGAAAGAGTTCATATGCTGGAACACACCCTTCAGAGACCCCGGTGATCCCACCTCGGGGCGTGGGGACAGCGTCGCTGAAACCGCGCGACTGTTTTGCCAACTAATCCTCAGGGGCGCAAGAGTCATCGCATTCTGTCGGATAAGAAAACTCTGCGAAGTCCTCTTACAAACCGTGCGGGCTGAATTCCAGAATCTCGAGAGACCAGAGATTGGCCAGTTAGTCATGGGCTATCGTGGCGGATATAGTCCGCAAGATCGACGGAGGATTGAGAAGGAAATGTTCGAGGGCCAGCTCATGGGGATTGTGGCGACGAACGCCCTCGAGCTAGGCGTTGACATCGGTTCTCTCGATGCTGTCATCACACTTGGTTTCCCATACTCCATATCCAACCTGCGCCAACAGAGCGGCCGCGCCGGCCGCAGGAATAAAGACTCTCTCTCCGTGCTTGTCGGTGATCGATACCCTACAGACCAGTTCTACATGAAAAACCCCGAAGAGCTATTCACCAAACCCAACTGCGAGCTACAAGTAGATCTCTCCAACGAACTAATCCTCGAAGGCCACATCCAATGCGCCGCATTTGAAATGCCCATCCGCCCCGAAGAAGACAGCATCTACTTCGGCCGCCAACTCCCCGACTTCGCAGCCACGCGCCTCATAAAAGACGCCCTGGGCTTCTACCACTGTCACTCCAGGTTCCGCCCGCACCCATCTCGCTGCGTCTCCATCCGCGACACAGAAGACCAACACTTCGCCGTAATCGACACCACCAACGCGCGAAACACCGTCCTCGAAGAAGTCGAAGCATCACGAGCCTTCTTCACCATCTACGAAGGGGGCATCTTCCTTCACCAAGGCCAAACGTTCCTCGTCAAAGAACTCAACCCGGACGCCCGGTTCGCCCGCGTCGTCCGCGTCCATGTCGACTGGAACACAATACAACGCGATTTCACAGACATCGACCCCATCGAAACAGAAACAATCCGACAGATCAGCACGACGACGACCTCACGCGCCTTCTACGGTGCCGTCCGCATCCACGCTGTCGTCTACGGCTTCTTCAAGATCGACAAGCGAGGTCGTGTTCTCGATGCCGTGGCCGTCGATAACCCGCCCATCGACATCTTCACCAAAGGGATGTGGCTCGACGTTCCTAAAAAAGCCCTTGAAATCCTCCAATCCAGACAGCTGAATATCGCCGCTGCTATACATGCCGCCGAACACGCCGTCCTGTCCCTGCTCCCCAGTTTCGTGATCTCTTCTCCCGGTGACGTCCGAACAGAGTGCAAGGTCGCGAAGAAGGAACTAGGCAAGAATTTACGAATCGCCGTCGAAGCGCGTACGCAGGAGAAGGAGAATATCCAGAGTATTCTCCGTCCGCCTGCCCGCCAACGACCGGCCCGACTGACTTTCTACGACGCGAAGGGTGGATCTTGCGGTTCCGGGATCGCAGGGAAGGCATTTGAATTTGTCGATGTGCTTCTTCGACGCGCAGTGGCGCGGATCGAGGCGTGTCGGTGTCTTACGCCGCAGGGGTGTCTGGAATGTGTTTGCGATGAACGGTGTAAGGAGATGAATGAGGTGATGAGTAAAGCTGGAGCAGGGGTTGTGTTGAGGTGTTTACTTGGGTGGGAGGTAGACGTTGATTCCTTGCCGTGGGGGGAGGATGTGGATGGTGAAGATAGGTTGGGAGAGTTGGCGGGTGGTTTGGAGACGGTTGTTCCAGCTCAGGAGGTTCCGTTTCGTCCTGGCCATGCCCTTTGACATATGAGAGGGCCATCTAACTATGAATGAACCGCCGATATCTGCGAAAGACTGGTACTATATCGGCTAACCTCTTTATGACGATATTCAAAATAATAGAGATTATGATATGTCAATATTATTGTTTACCAGAGGTAGGTGGGTTCATGTTTCCACCTGGATATGTATGTCTCATATGTATGTGTGTATAAAAATAAAATCGTAGAAGCCGCATGAATAAGCCATTTCCCCGAGGTATCTTTACCTGTCAATAATAGGAATGGAAAACGATATTAATCTATGTCGACTTCTCTTTCTCTCATTTTTTCTTTCTGATTTTCAGTTTCCAGGGTTAAACCCAAAGAATGATGCTAACATGCATGTCATAGATTAATAAGAGGTCGCTCAAGGGGTATAAAGATTAGTCAATCAAAGTGAAGAGGCTGGAAAAGGATAGTCTTGTCATCAGTCGAAGGGCGTATTTTGTGGAAATCGCATTCATCCATTCAAGTACGGATGCGAATTGCTTCACGGCGGAAGCTTAACAGAGGTGTCCAGGTATCGTTGGACTACATGGTATATGAACCAGTCTCGCGGGTCGCAAGCGATACTGATGCCGATGGGTGTGCTACAACTTCGCCAGTATTCAATATTGCAGGCGCCCACTTCCTGCTGCGGGTGCCACGGTAGACTTGTTGCTGTATGGGCAGGGGTTCCGGGTAAGGAAGCCCGTTTATCGGTCTTCCTGTCCCATGGAAGATGGGCTATTCTCGCTGGAAGTGTCTTCCAAGCTGATGTTCCAGAACAAAGACCTCATATTGCGAACACTCTCACGGAAATTATCCCGTGGATTAGAAGATCGTTCCTCCGTCATAGACCGCACCTCTCGGATGATATCCGGATAGCCTTCATCGTCAGGAAGCCACCAGTGGTTTATTTCTGGTAACTGCCAGACAGTGGCCAATAGTTGGCGGAATTTGGGAGCAGTCACATATCTAAGACGGTCAGTCCGTTCTCCATCATTGCGTGTCAGAATGTCTTACCCGTTTCGCTCCATCAGAGCAAACTTTTTCCGACCCCACATGACATGTTTACTGTCTTTGGGAGCAAACAAGCACGCCATCCCAATACTGTTCTTGAAAGCAAACATATATCCGTTCTCCTTCTCCGGCCACCTTTCGATGGCCTCGATCAGCCGGCATTGCTCCAGAGCCAAGCTCTCCAACTCCGATGGCGACGATTGTCTCACCGAGAGGAGTGACTGGTACTTGAACATGGCTTTCGTGGAGTAGTAATCGATCCATGCCGCATTGACATTCCACAGTCGGCCCCGATGCAAGACACCGGGGACATAGGGGTCGACAATGTCATCCTCCGTCAAAGGCTGCTTGTCTGGAAACTCCCAAACAGTGTACTCCGAATCCCGGAACTTTTCCAAGATATTCCGGACTTCCTCAATAGTCTGGCCGAGCTGGTCATTCTGAGCGATAAACTCGTCAATCGGAATCATCCCGCGCGACAACTTGGCATACAATGATGCCATTTCTAGCCCGAACCGACGATTAATCGACGCGGCTAAGGCCAGCTGCTTATCTGCGTCCTCCGGGTATCTGGCAGCCTGTTGAGCATCGTAGTTTTCTTTCGCAACGTACCATTCCCGACCTAGGACCGTCTCATTACCAGCTAATATCCCCGCTACAACATCAAATCGGGCGTACCAAGGGAATATCTGGTTGTGGAGTTTGTTCGTTATTATGGATTCAGGGGTCAAGAGTTCGCGCATCAATGCATGAGCAGCTTGATGGTGGTCGATCAAATTTACCCAATCACCAATGAATTCCTAAAGAGTCATGAATTAGCGTTTGCAAGTGGGGAAACGCACTTTCCGGGCAAATATAGGGGGGAGGGGGTGAAAAGAAATTGAGTAAGGTGAGAGCCGAATGGGGAAGAATGACATCGAGACATACTTCAAAAGTGGTGAGCACCAGTACCGTGATCAGTGTCGCTTCCCAATGCTCTTCGTTTGACCCTAACGACTTCCGCAATAACTTCAAAGCCATGTTGTAGTATTTGAGAAAGGCGTATAGCTTTCCGTTGCCGGTATGAACGCAATGGTGGTACGCAGCGAAGCCGACGACGGCATAAAGAAGGGGGTCATACTGCAGCGCAATTTCGATGAGATCTTGATGGACGAATCGATCACCGCTACCCGAGAGAAAATAATGTCGCGAGGTCATATACCCTTGATGAAAGGCGAGATAGAAGCGGACGTCCTCCGGTAAATGGGCGGTGTTGGGCAAGGCGAAAGATTCAGAAGGGTGCAGTCCGACACTGGCCGACCGCACACTGGCTGAATCGAGCCTCAACGACGCCTCGGTTGATGGCGAACTGCTGACATCCCTGAGAGACCCCGGGGTTTCAGGGGCAGTTGTGACCGCGAGTAACTGTTGCTTCACTCTTCGTCTGGCTAGGGACTGTGCACTACGTTTGTTGCGAAGTTCCAGCTTGGATTTGGTCCCATTCGGCCCTGTGGAGGGCGAGAGACGTGCACTAGACCCAACACTGCCTTCTTCCTCCTCATCCTCATCCTCATCTGCAATAGGTTCCAGGATGTGTACATCGTCCGCGTCGAGGTGGCTGGAAGAATCACTCCCTCGCGACTGCGGCCGAGATCCTTTCGACTTGGCTCCGGAACGAGATCCGGCGGAGGACATAGACCCGCTCGTCCCCGGAGTGGGATAGACACAGTCGCGATTTCCTTTCCGGCATCTGTCGCACACCGGGCGGGACTCGTCACACTTGATCCGACGGGCTCGACATGTGAAACAGCCACTTCTGGTGCGCTTATGTTTCTTCAGGTCTGGAAGGGCGGGTTGCAGCAGTGCTTGCGATTTCGGAATTGGCGCAAAGGCAGCCGGCGGGGCAGTTCCCGGTACGCCCGGTTGTGAAGGAGGTTGTGTAGAAGGGTTATGCCAGAGGGCGACACTCTCCGGATATTGTCCGGCCCCCAGAATCGAGTAGGCGGAGAAGGCCGACGGCTCGTGGAGGTGTTGTGACGGATGCAAGAGAAGATTGTTTAGAGGTGTTTGGGACGGTGGGAAGGGGTTTACCATGATGACGATGACCAGCCGAATAGCATTCAAGTGCACCAGCACCGGAAGAGTCGATCTAATCAGCTCAGAGCTCGTCGGCACCGCAGGAAGGGGACTCGAGCCACTTTCATCATCCAGATGAGTAAGTTACCTGGGAAAGATGTTGTTGATTAATTAATTATAGAGTCGGCCAAATCAAATAAAAATAAAAAATAAAACCTTTAAGATATCATGGATCAAGAAAAATGGGGAAGGGGGAAGAGAGTTGAAACGAGCGTTCTTCGCGAGAATGATGGATAAACGGACGAAGTGGAATCGCTGGAGACATCAAGCAGTCAACCAAAATGGTTCCGGTCAAGAATAGGAATATGGATCGGATTGGATTGATTTAGATTAGTGAGATGGATGGGGAAAGTCAAATCCCAGGATCACTAGTGCATAGTAAGTCTGGGAAGGGTGTGAGAATTGGGGAATTGGGACTTCGATGAATTGAGACAAGGACAAGAAAAGAAAACGAAGATTAAGTACAAGAAGAATCACCGCCCTCCAATTGCCCTAATTGAGGCATATCTCTACACCTTCCAATCACTATCCGGTACTACTATATGATCATCCTAAGATTTCCCTCCCACTGATCTCCTCCTAGTTCTAAGTTCTATTGAATGATTGCCAAATTTAGAGCTTCGGCGATGAAGATCCCTCATGGGCTGCGGCGCGCCACTCATACAGAAAGATCGGATATAGTACAAAGTACTCGAGCATATTCCACATCAAGAGTATTTGAATTGAAAAATAAAAATAATAAAATAGATGGATAAATAAAAAGAAAAGAAAGGAAAAGAAGTATGGGTATTATTATTTTTCCCCTACATCTGCAAGTAGAAGCTCCTTACTTCCAGCCAATGTAGTCATTTTCCACACAGGAACCACTGTCACTCAATCTGGGGCACCGGAGAACTGATAATAAGCAGATAAAATAAATAAAAAAATGGGGATCCATATTATGGGGCAAACCGACCCAGCTATCTCACTAGTGGCGCTCTGGGTTGGTATGTGCGCATTTGCTCCTCAACATGGGAAAAAAAAAAAGAAAAAAGAAAAGAAAAGAAACGAAATGAAATGAAAGACCCAGAAAATGATGTGTGAGTCAAAAGAGACAGAAAAAGGGGTGATTAAAGAGAACTGAAAGAGGAAGAAATAAAGGTGGTCTTTGCTTTCAATGCCTTTTGTTTAGAGAAAGCCAAGATGAACGGTTCAGCTCAACTCTCCATCAAGCCACTGTCTGTCTCTCTTGTACTTTTTGCTCCACTGCGTATGCAGAAAAAGTGATGATGTCTCGTCGGAACTTACGGACTAATAACCGCCGACTTACCCTTAATTTTTCTTAGTGTTTATAATTCGTAGGATTATCTCAGACTACTTAGTTTTCTTTTCTTTTTTTTTGTTTTTGCTTTTCTTTCTTTCTTTCCCCCTTCTCTGTTTCTACCCTCCAAGCCTCGGGTCTTAAAAGCAACATATCTCTCCCTCTTCATTAAAGGGACCCTGGAAGATGAACGATACAATACGATGGCCAGGCGGAATTAATTCCCGGAATACGACCTCCAATTGGCTGGTTAATTCCATCTATCGTATCATGGAGCCCCCATGGAGCCCCCCATGGAGACAGTCAATGATCATGCAACCGAGGTCATATTTGGCTGATCCATGCTACTTCTGAGCTTGGGATTAGTCCGCCAGCGGAAGTATACCTAGTTCCCTTACATAGGCGACCAAAAGGACCCAGTTGGTCCCCGACCACACTATAGGTATTTCCTCCTTTGCCTGCCAAGGATCTTAAGAATGCCGAACATGTGTGCCGTTTATGTCATCCATCGGGCAAACATGATTCAGGTTCTCGGCACCGTCACATCTGCAGTTTCTGGAAGTCTGGCCGGTTCCTCCTGTGACTCGCGGAGCTCTCCGCCCAACCTTCTTCCTCGGGGAATGTTGTGGATACAGGCGAAAAAAGAAAAGCGAAAAAGTGACAAAAAAAAAAAAAAAAAAAAAAAAAAAAAAAAAAAAAAAAAAAAAAAAAAAAAAAAAAAAAAAAAAAAAAAAAAAAAAAAAAAAAAA